GGAGGCATCCGGAGAACGTTGGCGCATAAGCATCTGAAAAGGTGGGGATAGCGGGAGGTTAGTGCCTCAGAAGTGAGAAGAATGACGGAACGAAAGACGAGACGGCGAAGAAGGGCTCTGAAAAAGGACTTGGGGAGAACACAGGAAGGGAACACAGGTATGGCCCGGACAAGAACACTAGGCGCGTCAGAACTAGAGGAGGGACTGAGAAGATTCTTGAAACAACGTGTTACAGATCTGTCGACAGCTCGCTCTATCGTGCAAAAACTCGCCGCTTCTTGTGCATTCAAGGACTTTCGCGCAGAAATGTATTGGCAGGAAACTGTGTGCTCTGATTAGCTTGAAAAAGTGCGGCGTCTGCTAGCCGTCTAGCTTTTCGGGTCAGAGAAAAGATTGCAAGTAGATCTGCTCTTCTGATCACTGTAACAGCTCACCTAGCTTTTTGGGTCACAGAACGCTTAGTGACTAACAGCTTCGTGGCTGTCCGTCTCTTTCCAACAACGATCCGTCCAATTTTCGAGGAATGGACAAACTCACCCATAAGCTCACGACCATGGCAACGATCATTCCCAGCAGAAGCAATCCGCGGAAGATGCGAAACAGCCGCCTCTCCCCGCGCCCGATCTCCTTCCTTCGCCGGGGGGGGCTTGCGCTCCTTACGTTTGCTCCCGAACTTACCCCTGACTCCGTGCGAGCCATGTCCGATTCCGGATCTCGCGTTTCACTCACTAGAGAGTTGATCTCGGTCAGTTGATCCCTATCCAGCCCGTTTATTGACTGTCTACGTGACCCACTGCGGTTATCAGCTAACCCGGCGCTAGCGGGCCGGGTTTCGGACGCTAACGAGAGCGTCCGGATGATCCCCGCCTCGACGTCCACGTTTTCGAGTGATCTCGTCCGACGATTTCGGATCTCGCCTTCAAAGTGCCCCAGCGCAATAGATTCGTCCTTCGGTGCTGGCACTTCCGACGAGTAACCTCGTTCCAAACCCTCTTCTTCCAACCGACTTAGCCCGCTTCTTGACCCCCGGTTTGCTCCCTGAACCCCCGTCTCTTGGGGCTCGCCACTTACGTTTCCATTCCTCCTCTTCGACTCCGACTCCTCCCCATTGCCATCCCTTAACCACCGACCAACCCGACCGCTAACCGGCTCACTAGACGGCGCCGACAAGTAGTTTACAATCTCAGTAACCACGCCATCCACTTCGACCGTTGCTAGCGACGCTCTTCGACTTCTTTCCTCCCCTGCCGGCAAACTTTCGCCGACCCCCTCAGAAAGCTCAACGGTTCCCGGCTCCCCCAGATTGACCGCAACCATCTGCAGATCCGTTTCTTCCGCTCCACTGCCAGCTGGCGCCACGTCTGGGCCCCTTCCGTCCGCAATCCGCTTGGCTTCCGGCGGAATCCGTTTCCACGGCCTCCAAGTCCACCCTTTTTTCCGTTTCGCGGGTCGGTGTTCGAGCAACTCTGTATGGGAGTTCTCGGGAGAGCCGCTCGGGACCGTCGGATGCGGCCAAAAGGGCGAGTATCGACGGCCCAGAAACCACAAGTGCCACGCAATTTCAAAACTCCATGTGAGGTAGACTGACGCGAGGGAAAGGAACAACGAGAACGTCGCCAGCGGGTAACCGCTGCCGGTCCAGAAGAGGAAGCTGGCCGTCACAAACACCTGCGATGAGGAGTTACAGCTCAGGGATTCGACTCAACAGAAATCTAGAAGGGAAAGGAACTACAGAAAGCCAACTAGCGGGCAGTGAGCTAGACCAGGGAGCCCAGCAAGGGCTGCACTTGGAACAGAAAGCTGGCGGTCACAAAAAGCAGAATCTGTTAGCGGCAGTATTTCTCGTTCATTTGCAAAGATGGTCATCAGCTTAGGATCTGATGGTTCTTAAATTTTTAACGCTCCCTGTCTTCATACATCCGACAATTGAGATGTCCTCAAAGTTGAACGAACACTATAAAGGAGGCTACTCTCCCTTCTGAGAGTAGAATGTTCCCAAAGGCTACCACCATCACTCAAGGAGTACTTTGCAAACACGAGCGCAATCGCGGCTCGTCGACACTATGGCGACTCAGGAATTTCGGAGGTTGGAAGTTGGAAGTTGGTGTGCTTGGACTAACCTCGATCGTGTCTGCCCCCGAGGAGAAGAAGAACTCGCGAAAGCGCGCGTGCGTGTAGCCCTCTATGTGCGTGCTCAGCTCGTCCTCAATCATCAGCCACTTGATCGTCGTCCAAACCAGGAGCTTAACCCGCCAAGGCTTTACGCCCTGCCAAACGAACGTTTTGGAATTAGGCATGAAACGTGTTGGAAGATTCATTGAGGTTGTGAGTTAAACCCCTGCAAATCCCCTGAGGGCCGGGTTTTGCGGCCCAACGCAGAAGCCTAACCCGTTAAGGATTTACGCCCTGCCAAAGAAAGGGTTTGAGTCGTTTGAAAACGCGTATTTGACCCACGACGAATCCACCAAGGGTCAAAGGCTGTCGTCCAAATAAGAAGCTTAACCCGCCAAGGCTTTACGCCCTGCCGAACGAGGGTTATGAGTTCAGCTCAAACCGCGGTGAGGCTTGGTTTTGATCCACGACGAACTCCCTGAGGGTCAAAGGCTGTGGTCCAAACCGGGAGCTTGAACCGCCAAAGCTTCACGCCCTCCAAACAAAGGCTTTGATTAAAAACATGAACTCACGAAAGTGAGCTTTCGAGTTCTGAAGAACACACTACAAGCGTACTGAGAGTCAAAGGCTGTGGTTCAGAGCAGACGCATAATCGGCATTGCAGAAAAGACTATCAGGGTTCCTACCGAGAAACCTTTAGTCAGCCAAGCGCTATAGTCCTAGAACACTTGACAGCTGTCTGTTCAATCTGCCGTGGAAAGGGGAACGTTAGGAGCACATGACAAGACCACCTCTCAGATGCTGCGCGTCAGTCACACCAGCAGATTGCCTACTCGAAAGTATGCCACTCCTACTTTCGAGTAGTCCCCAATATGCTGACGCCTCGAAAGCTCTTTTTGTTCTTATCATTAGACTTGTCCATGTCTCAGAATAAACGACGCATGCAAGTAAAACGACGGCCTCACCTGCTGCCTCATTTGCACCGCAAGGTTCTTCCGCAACTTCCCAAACACTAATCTTACAAACTGCTAAAGCTCCGCTTCACCGACTTTGATAGGCACCTGCAACCAACTCAACGAAATTGTTTCTCCAATGAAAAGCTACAGGGAACACTGGACGTAAGCGAGTGACGTCACGGCCTCACCTCCTGTCTCAGATACATCCCCAGGCGCACCAAAAGGTCCCCGATGTCCATCAGGCCCAGTAGCACACAAATCCATGACAGCGCCTGCAAGAGGTCTTCGTTTGTGTAGAGCTCCCCACTTATGTAAAGCGGATCGCCCGATTCCAGGGTTGCATCGGGAGCCATCGGAATATGAGATACTGGACTCGCCAATCTGTAACCCTTGCGACCAGCAACCGGTGAACGACGATTGACACTAAGCTGAGCCAAAGAAAGAATCTAGATTAGAGAAATGTCGAGGACTTTTACCTGGTCTCGAAATGGTAAGACCCTGAGTACCGTTTCATTATGCAAAGCTACTACGAGAACCAACCATCTTCCCGGCAAAACTCCAGCTGTTCTTTAAACACAGCGGATTTTTCTTTTGGGGATCGCAATACATAGTTACGTCGTGAAAACATCAATCGAAGACGGGTTCGAGTAACAACGTCCGGAACGATTCCTATACAGATCTCAGTGTGGTGCTGAGAATATCTTCATGAAGGAAGCAATTGGATGCTGGATATCAGAGATTCATAAGGCATTGAACCCTGTCCCTGTGACCTACCTGTAAGAGGTCCCCGCTTATGGTTGGAAACTCTGACGGGTCCGCGCCCGGGCTCTCCTCCACAAAGTTGATGCAGTCGAGCACCCGCGGCAAGTAGAGCGTCCCCAAGAACCATGCATTCGTGATTGTGTTTGCAAATGGGAGCACACCAATGACGCCGATTGCCCATACTGCGGCGCTCGCGGTTTTGAAAGTGGAGAGCGGGTTTTGAGGTCGGAGTACCCGCCACGAGCCCATCGTCCCCGGCACCTGCGGCGAATACATTCTTTGTTGGCTTTTGCGGTGCCATGATTGTTCGTTTGTCTCGTAATCTGCTTGTTCAGCGTAAACTCTCAGCCGTTCATGCGCTGGAGAGATAGATTTCTTTTTATAGCAGAGGCTACCTTTAAAGCTCAGGCTGAAACTGGTGAAATCATAGGACATCACCTGAATGCTACTGCTGGTACCTCTGAAGAAATGCTAAAAAGAGCTCAATTTGCAAGAGAGCTAGGAGCGCCAATTGTAATGCACGATTACTGATTCCTCAGTCGGTTGCTTGTCTATCAATTTGGTATTTTGATACGCTCCCGTGTTGGTTGCTCCTTTTCCAATTTCAGCTTGTCCTTGGCTCTCCTTTTTTGCTCTTTGTGGCCTCTGCCTCATGACTTCGTTTGTTTCTTTGACCAGCGCTTGGAAGTTCTCGAATATTGAACCTGGACTTGAATTTAGATAATCTGAATGAGAGGCGAATGGGGACTAGAGAAACACCCGTATGTGTTTTTTTCACAAATTTCCCGAATTGGAAGAGAAGCATGCTTCAGATGAAGTGGAGAGGTCGGAGCTTCAAAAATGGCGACCAGCCTTGTGTCTGTTGCGTCTTGGAGAAACCTTGCCTGACATCAACGCGTCAAGATACCAGACTTCCAGGCCACGAAACGGATGGAGTGTCTATTAAGAAGAGGGGCACTCTTTGAGCACGCAGTCAGTCCGAGACAATTTCTTGACCAATACTTCTAGCTTGCTTCACTCGACACTGGATGAAACCAGAGTAGAAACTACCTGACACTACAGGGCTCAGAACGTCTGTGCGTGAAGTAAGACGAGATCAGAAACCTCGATTCTGTCACCTCGCCACAAGACCAAGCGCAGCGGCAGTGACTCGTGAACCACACGGTAGAATTCAGACATTTCGAGTGCTTCGACAGAGTGGCAGAGCAAGCAAAGAACGAGCAGTGAGGTAGTGTAAGATCGGTCTGCGCCATACCTTTTCGTAGCAACTCCGTACTTAGCTTTCAAATGGATCGAAACGCCTCAATTGTAACATTGACCGCGTGTCCGTGGGGGACTTTCGGTTCCGTCTTTGTTGGTGGCCCCCAGGATCCCATTGCAATTGCTTGAAGGTGCAGAGCTGCAAGAAGCTCCCCGCGATTAGGAGCTTCCCCTTTCAACCTGGAGAACTGGAAGGTATAGTCAGAGAGCTGAGCCATAGCAGCCTAAACATATGTAGTTCGGATCTCCCTTACCAATTGTTGGAAAATGGTGAAGTGGTCGTTTCATGTATCCTTGTTTGGCGTCTAAGGAGGGGAGTAGACTGATGGCAGCTCACACTTGCCAACTGAATTTCACCGGAAAAGAGATGCCCTTTTAACTCGCATTTGCCAGAACCGTTCTTGCAATCAATGCTACCTACCACAGCAAACCGTTTTGCTAGTGTTCACTAGTGAAACAGAAAGGCCAACAAACTCTGAAGGCACTCGCGAGAGTTATTTCTCGCCTCATGAAACTCGAGATCAAAGAGGCGGGGGAAGCTAGAGCTTCCACTACAAACTGCAAAATGTGTTGTCAGGATGGATGTCACAGTCAGCAAAAGTGTATGTTAATGACAAGTTTCGTCCCGCAAGTTGGCCTCAGAGATCTTGAGTTTGCTAGTGTGCGTCGCACAGCTGGCGGCTCCTCACAGCCTTAAATGCAGGCTCTTTCCCCGGGAATCACCCAGGTTTAGATTCTAGCATTCAAAAGTAGAGAGCATGCAAGTCTTCCAAGCACGTTTTACATGCAATTTCCTAGTCTATAACATCAGAGCTCAATACAGCTTCTAGAGAAAAGTGAATGGTGCCGGAAGCGTCAACCAAATGGTGCATCAATATTGCAGTTCCTGATTTAACATTGCTCAAATTGTCAAGCAAGAATGCATGCAGTTCCATGTTCCTGTCCCAATAATTTGTTAAGGCATCAGAGCATGTCAAGCTCTCTTGATGAAGAGCGAATTATTACTGTGACCCTCCATATCAAAGCCCCTCAAGAGAATATTTGAAGTAAGTATCTTAATTTCGAGTTGCACAAACACCAGGACGGCTGAAACAAGCACCATTCTAGGCTCGCTACTTTTTGCAAGAAGCAGTCAACGTGCTGGATACTGTCAGATCAGCTGGAAAATGCAGATTGACAAAGTGCACGATCAAGGACAGCCGCTTGCATACACTACCTAGATTGCCATGCACGATGCGAAATGTACCCTGTGTGACAACTCTGACATACAACTCAAAACAATTGCATTTCTCTTGCTGTGAATTCCCAGCTCTGCTCTGTGTTATCGAAAGGGACCTGCAACATAAGCACGTCGCTCTAGCTTCTTCATTTGCTCTCACTTACGGCTGTTCTCTGACAGGAACGTTCTTCTATGACAAGTATGAGAAATTGAAGCTCACACAAACAGATTCCAAGCACCACTTACTTGTCAGGAAAGCGGAAAGAGCACTGCATTGCTCACCTGTTACAAAGAAAAACTCAGCCGCCCTGAGCTGCAAGTCTTTCTCCCCCGCTAAACAGCCAAATGTACCACTTCTCTTTGGACTTTAGCGTACACATTATCATTTTTGTTAGCCCCAGAATACCGACCTGGGGAAAGCGCCACACGCTGGAGCTCGTTCAGGTTGCTGCCACATGTTGACCTCCTTGTGCAAGTCTTTACGAAGAGGAGCCTTTCAAACTGCATGACGCAGAGGGAACCTAGCTGCAAAACCAGAATAGAACCAGAACCTGCTCTCTCCTCTAGTGACTACCTTGGACTCTTTTAGCTCTTGAACCTTCCTCCTTGGACAAGGAACACTGGAAGTCCTTCTCCTTGAGCCGTTTTGGGGTTTCTTCACAAAGATCTGCCGTTGGAAATGCTGATCGTCAACAGCTTTGCACTTTGCTTCGAACAAGGCATGACAATGAACACAAACGCGTGAGAGAATCACGATGGGGCAATGCCCAATGCAGAAACTGCTGGCTCCAATGATCATGCATGATGGCACTTGAATGACGTAGGTACACTTGACAATTGCTAAAATATGGCCACGTGGAGGTCAACAAATACTTTCCGACTCTCCGAGCACTTCCGAGCAGGCATAAAAATACCGAAGGGATCGTCGGCAGTTACACATGGCACAATCCACCGGAATGGAAGTTCCGGAATCCGGAACCTCGGGGCCGTCCGTTCAGAGATTGGAAATTATCGACCGTCAAGCTTTCCCCTTCTTCGCGCCAGATTTTCCTGGGCGCCTTTGAAGTTCTGCCACTTCATGCTCCAGCCTCAGGTTTCTGAGGCCCCTCATTTGCAAATCAGACTCCAGAGTCCTTGGGTTCACATTGCGTTCGTGTGACTTCAAGAACATCAAAACACAGCGGCAACCTGCAGAAGATTGTGGGAGAGCGCGCTGCAAAAATTCGGCAAAGGAGCAGCTTTAGCCTTAGGTAGCTTTTAGAAAAGTGGATTTGAGCTGTCACTAGGCTGTTGACAGAAGAGAAGCTTACGTTGCAGCCCTGGCTACAGCCTTCAACTCCAAGAAACTTGGTAGCGGGGCTATGCAAGTATGGACGACCTTAAGTTGAACGTGAATATCAACATAGCAGAACCTGATCAATCAGCAAGGAGCGGGGCTGGACATAACCCACCCGAGCAAGCGGATGATGGTACGATCAGAGAGGACGGTGACGCTGAGATGGGTGATGTCAGAGATGAGAAAGCGGCAAATGATGAAGTTGGAGAGGATTCAAGGGACGAGAAGTACGATGACATGGAGGAAATCGAAACGTTAAAACAGAAAGGTATGGGGAGCAAAGATGGTGAAGTGGTGAACAATGAAACAGGGGCTCTTGAGGCGGAACCAGACTTTGAAGAGAAGGAGAAAGACTGGGACGCTGAAGATGAAGAAGTAGACGCTTATGCACATGATGAGGAAATTGAGGCAGACAATGTAGAAGAGGAGTGCAATGAAGAACGAGAAGCCAGCGACGGAGTCACTGAGGCCCAGACAGGAGCTCAAGAAGGCGATGAGACGACGGGTGAGAGGGAACAGGATGGGAACGCTGCTGGGACAGGGAAAGGTCAAGCGGAGGCTGCACAGAAGGCTGAGATCATGTTGCCGCTGGCACGAATAAAGGTAAGCTTCTCCAAATCCTGCAGCAAAGCAAGATTGCACCTAGAGCAGTTATTAGGTAAGTGGCTTTCTGACAGGTTACCAGCGCAAGACACTTGGACGCCTCAACCACTCTTTTTTAAGTAAGGTTAGGCAGTCTCGACAGCGTACAAACGTGAGACCAAGGAATTGCTGGACAAAGTGGGGCCTTCTTGGGCTTCGCTCAGTAATCTTGTCAAAGGAAACTCACACTGCAAGTTTAAGCAACATGGATGTAGCCGGCAGCAGTCTGAGGAGGAACACATCATGCCCATTGTTCAACAAAGCCCCTCAAAGACCTATGCCACATCTTCGCAGAAAATACATGAGCCCAGGCCCACTAGTCCATTCCTCTTCCATCTTAGCAGACTTCCTCTGCCGCAATCAGCAGCAAGTCTGCTGTATTGCCAAAATTGCCCGTAGGGAGGTGTAGAAGTAGAATACAAATCAATGCTTGGAGCATTAAGGCCAGCAGGATCAGGACCGAAACTTTGTTTGCAATGCCATCTTCCTGTGGGGCTCCCCTTGAGCTAAAAGGCAGCGTCTGGCTTCGGAAACTTACAAACGTTAGAAGTCACAATGAGCTGATCATGTCTCTTTTCTGATTGCAGAGGATCGTAAAGTTGGACCCCGACATTAAGCAGGTCTCCTCTGATGCCTTGAAGACGATTGCACTTGCGACGGTGAGGCGTTTTGAAAGCCCCTTGACACCCAGTGTTTGTTCCACTGGAAGATTGACACTGGTTTCTGGTTTTCAACACGGCAGTACAGAAGACACAACCTTCTACCAAGGTTGTAGGACATCCCTCAAGGTTTTGATAAAGGATCTCTTTCTCGCTAGCAGCTTGTTGTCGAAACACTCATGCTCAACGCAACCACTTGAAAGATAATGAGCAGACTGTGGGCCAGAACAGTCTGCGAGTCCAAAATAACATTTGGCAGACCTTGGAATACTGAATCTTGTTCAGGGGAGTTGCGCTTGGCAAAGATGGGTCCTATCATACTTCTGGAAAGTGGCCAGTAAAAGCCTCAGTTTGGGGTGATACGGCGTCCAGTCCTGATGCTTGGAACCTGAGCCAGGTTTCACTAGGAACGGGTTCTTGAGGGGCTTACGAACCCTGATATCCGACTGAGATAGCTGACAGGGAAGACAAGATCAGGTTACTTTAAAACGCATAAGGGTTTTCAAAAAGGGCAGGTGGGTTTGCAGAGCCAGCATGTGATCATTTCAACTCAGCTTCAAAGCACTATACAGCAACAAAAACATACCTCGAAATTTTTTGAACACCTGTCAAAGTCCTTTTAAGTTCTGCCAGGACTTTCTCGTAGCAAATGTTCGAATCAGCTGCAGAAATCACATATTCTACCCCTGCAGGAGCTGTTCTTGGGTTCGCTTGCGGAGTCAACAGCGCATGTGACGCGCGCTGGCAAGCGGTCGATGGTCAAAGTCGAGGACTTGCGTAAGCCACATTTCTCAGATTCTCGCTGCGAGCCTCCAAATTATGTTGGCGTTCGCGTATCTTTGATTTGACATCGTCGCCTTCGGCCAAGTGCCAAGGGGGTGATGACACGACGGATTCCGAGGTCTCTTGCTGACGATTTACCTGCTGATCCACAATTGTTGTTTCAAAGTCTGGTTTTGGCAGGGATTCCGCTCAGCTTCAAACGGCAGGATCGAGTTTCGACGACTGGTGTGCTGCTCCCGGATAAGAAGGTCTTCCGCGAGCTGCTAAGTATGACCTTTTCCGTCGAGCGCTGTGATTGTTGTGGTCTTTGATATGCTGGGTTTCCCACACATAGAGCTCTTCTTGGAACTTTTGCCTGCTTTCTTTTGCCAGAGTCTTCAGTGTGGAGCTCGTCCTGAGAGTGCGACAACCATGATATCTTTTCTTTCGTAACAACATCCATGCAAGAGATCCAAATCGAACTGGGCGTACATACAAGAGTTGGGCGTTGCAACATATGGAAATCATAGGCACCTCAAACATCTAACAGAGTCGACCATGATTTTTTCGTCAAGTACGTCCAGTCAAGTCCGTCTACGTCGCCCGATATTTTGACATTGCTCCACTTCTCCAGCTTTCAAAGCCTGCCAGCCGTTGCTCAAGATACAAAGATGGCTGGGATCACTGCCCAAACTGTGAAGCCGGCACATCATCTAGGTTTCGGTGTAACCAGTCTCCTTAGACTCCTGAGCCCTCAATTGCAGCAGTCTGATATGTAGGCCCCCGTTCTGCATGCACTAACTCTTAATCTCAAAATTTCTCCAGTGCAAACCATCAAAAGCCGGCGGCGATACAAGGAGTGTATGGGCACCGACTTAGAGTACTTGAGACCCGTCGATGCAAATCAGGCTGCACGGCAGGAAGCAAGGCAAGCGAAGGCGAAAGAGAAGGCGGCCCGCGAGCTGCCTCCGGGAGTCAAGCCAATCACGAACTTCTTCAAAAAGTGAAAAGCCAGTGGCTAATCAGTCGGACGTGTTGTTGGTAAACAATTCCTGCAGTGAAAGGCGTGCATAGCAATGGCGGATTGTCGGCGAGTCAGTCTGATCTGTCATATGTGACATGCAGATCATCGTCATTCTTCTATGTCGCATGCAACTATGATATGGGCCGACGCTTTCGCATATTACCAACTAATACAGAAGACCAGTCGTCTATACAAACTGATCGTTCTGGAGTCGGACCTTGAAGCCTTATCCCGACTGTCTACTCTAGTGAATACGTACGTTGCTTTACAGCTGTTACTAGCGTATATGGGCCATAAGTTAGGTATAGGACCTTTAAGCATTTTGAGGGACTACTAGCCTGGCTACCGGTCACTAGCTACTTGCCCGGCCAGTGCATCATGGCATGTGTAGGATCGAGTACGTACTATATAGCGACATGTCAGGCTGAGGCGGACTGGACTAAGGAAAACCGTCGGCCATGCCACTGCCCAACGCCCGCCGCCAGCCACGCACTGATGTGCCATATATGATGATAAAGCTAAAGAAACCCCAATGGGCCACTCCGTTGGCAAGAATTCAGCTAGACTAAGTTCGCCGGGTCCGACCTTGCATTAGAGTGACAGTACTCATCTTTGATTCATGTCTGACAAAGCTTGGCACGTGTTGTGTATACGAAAGACCCGATGAATTCCCAGGATCAATGAGTACTGGTTGAAAGAATCGGACGCGAGCGCTTATAATTAAGCGACTGCCATGAGGACCGCGTTCACTGAGAAGAGATAGCAACTAGTTGCATGGCGAGAAAAGCCAGCGCTCCCCTTCCAAAATGCGTTACTGCGCAGCATATAGTAGGATGAAGAGTGACTCGGACCGTTCAATAAGGGCCCAGGCCTTGCTCTGAGTAACGTGGTCAATGTGTCGGCTTCCGTTCTAAGCGGGTCGAGTCCGACGGGGGCGCCTCCGCCTGCGCCAACTCCAAGTTCTGTATCCTGACCGCCTCGTCCAGGCTCCTTTTCTTGGTTTGCAACTGCAACGGCAGACATGAAAGAAAAGCTCATTGAGGACCAGGACCCTTTACTGCAAGCTGCATTCAAAGGGGGTTTTATGTTTGTTCCGAGCTACGCCAGACTCCACCAACTTGGACACTACTTCGTGTAATCTTTACTTTCGACCACTTCAGCCTTTGTAGTGAGCGCCCGGCTTTCATCAACAGGGAACACGATAAAGTACACCGCAATAATTGGGAGAGTCGGCTCCCCGTGCCGTGACTTGAGGTATGCTGACTGGACTCGAAAAGCGCTCCGAACATGTTGACCGTTAGATTCGGGGGAAAAGATGCCCTCGTTTCTGCCTGACTGAGTGGCTGGAGCGATCAACAATAGGCGAAGCGCGATAACTTTGGGAAATCTAACGTCGTTCAGATTTCTGAATAATCCAGATTTTGCAGCTGACTGAGCAACTAAACTGCGGTTCCTCTCTGAATGGAGCCCGTCTGAGCAGAAGTAGGAAGAGGGAGGGAAGGCTGGGCATACGGCCGCTCAAGAAGCAGAGCGCAAACGTTGCTGCGAACTCCTTGAACAGGGACCTCGCGACCAACCAGAACGGAATTGCGTTGGGGTAAAGGAAATTGGAGGAGAAAGGGGAGGTCGAGGAGTGATGAACGAGTAACGTCGACTATGCAAAAACAGGAGTCAACCGGCCACGGCAATCGCAGTACTCCGAAAATTTCAATGCAGATCCCAAAACGAGGTTGTTGCTGATACTGGTGACGGCAAACCCTCACCGTAATCAAGTGCGTCATGTAGCCGTAGACCGTGCACCCGGCCACGGTAATTGCGCAACCCAACACGTTCAGCCCAGTCATCGGATTCTGGAACAGTATCCAGCTCACGAGAATCGACACCGCGACCTTAAGATTGCCCGCCACGTTGATGGTCACAGCGCTGCAGAAATACATCGGTCGGCCGGTTCGTTTTCTTAATGCCTTGCGAAGTGATAACTGGTCTTTCGCGGCGGCAGATTTTGGAAAAACATTCAGCTCACGAGGATCGAAATCAAAATTTTTGATTGCCTGCCACGTTGATGGTCACAGCGTTGCAGCAAAGAATCGGTTGGCCGGTTCGTTTCCTTGTTGCGTTGTGTTGAATACTAAAATTTTGCCGCAAATAATGCGTAAGCAGAGAGACAGATCTGAACACGATGACACCTGGGAAAACTTTTTGCCGAGCGGAGACCATCGGATCTGCTTCTGGGTCAACTCGCTGCCGCAGAAGCAAAGCATAAAAGGAAAAGTAACAAGTAAGTGCGTACAATCCATCTTAGAAATGGGATTCCGCAGCGTGCGGAGAGTACACGGACCGACATGCCAACCTTGTTGTCTTGAAGAGGCCGTCTACGTGACGTCAGCCCAGGTCACTCGAAGCAGACAGATTTGCTCGGGGAAAACACTTGCGATATCAATTCCTGGCGACAACGTAGCCGAAAGGTGTGCTTCAATGTCGCTTACGTGCCGTTATCTAGGACCAGTCCAACTACGCCCTCTTTAATCGCATAGAGATCAAGAGTGAAGTCCGGAAGCAATCGTCCACGGGCTGAAGGTCGAAACGTAGAGACGCCTTCTCAACCCATCGCGGGATAGCCCGCAGTCTTAGAAAGGAACAGGTTGGGAGGACCGTTACGTATTTTTGGTCTGATCAGTCCCAAAATCAATAAGAGATGGCAAAAAAATCTCGACGAGGTGTTGCTCACCTGGTTGCCTTGACCGCGTAGATAACCGAGAGGTTAAGCCCAAACGCAATCACCCCCGAGACGAAAATCGCCACGCAGGGGGTTGCAGCCTCCCACCCCGGTCGGTCCGCTCTCCAGGCGACGATTGGCCCCCACTCTAGATACAAGGCCGGCAGAAAAAGCAGTCCCACGGAATACGGTGCGAAGTAGTACAACTGCACAATGATGGCGCGAAACCAAAGCGGTGTGTTAGCTGCGCAAGGGGGATAAGAGGTCGAACGCCATGGTTGCAGCTTGAGCAGATGGCCGATCGGTCCGCTCTCCAGGCAACGATTGGCGCCCACTCTAGATAGATTGCAAGCAGAAAAAGCAGTCCAACGGAGAAGGGGGCAAAATGATATAACTGCGCAAGAGAGTGGGAAAAAGCAAAGAAAGCATCACGGCGTGTTGACCGGCCAATCAGGCCATTAGGCGGCGATAGACGACCACTCTAGGTAGATTGCCGGCAGAAGTGTGATCCCACGGAGTAGGGGGCAAAATAGTACAACTGCACGAGAGGGTAGCAAGAAGCAAAGCACCATATGCTGATTAACGGCCAACCAGGCCGTCAGGCGGCAATCAATGCCCGGTTTAAGGAATCGGCTGAAAGACAAAGTCGTCCCGCGAAGTAAAGGTGCGAAATAGAAAACTGCGCAGGGGACAATTTTCAAGGGTCAGTGCCACAGCATATGGGAAGCACCAACCAGTGAGGCTGTCAGGCGGCAAATGATGCCCACTCTAGATACAAAGCCGGCAAGAAAAGTAGTCTATCGGAGCAGGGTGCCAGTGGGTACAACTGAGCAAGCGGGGTCCGAAAAGCCGAATCGGTTGCCCAGAGGTAGCGCATATCGGGCCAGTCAGGAGGTCAGGCAACAATTTACGCCCACTCCAAGTAATCCGATGGCAGAATATCCAATCCACGAAACAGGGTGCGAAATAGTCAGGGTAATGGAAAGGATGATACTTGATCGTGCTTATCTGAAGAACGTTCACGAAGCACGCAACAGGGAATTGAGCACCTCGCGCAGATATGAACCTGACGTCATCAATCACGTCCTCAACGACGTCAGAAGTTGCGAAACACCATGTTCAGTGATGCTGCCCACTTCGAGCTTCCCCCTCTAGAGCAGCTCGCTCAAGATCATTCTGGGGGCGCTGGCGTTGGCGGAACGCGCACGAAGCACTCAAAATTGTCCCGAGTAATCAAAGCTGACGCGTCCGATGACGTCAGCACTCGCGGCTCACCGTGTTCATGCTCTCGGGTTAAAGCTTACCGTTCATGAGCAGCTCACACATAACCATGTCAAAGACGTTGGCGAGACACGCAGCAAGCACTCGAGTCCGTCCCACAGATATGAAGCCAACGCCAGTATTGACGTCATTGATAACGTCAGCATTAACGGCTTACCGTGTTGATGCTGTCCAGCTCGAGCTTGCCCTCCATGAGTAGTTCGGTCATGATCATCTGGAGAACGTTGGCGAAACACGCGGCGAAGACGCAGATCTTTCCGCAGATATAAAGCTGACGTGATCAATGACGTCATCGATAGCGTCAGAAGTTGCAGCTCACCGTGTTGATGCTGTCCAGTTCGAGCTTGCCCTTCATGAGCAGTTCCGTCATGATCATCTGGAGGGCGTTGGCGAAACACGCGGCGAGAGCGCAGATGAATCCCGTGAGGACGAAGCTCAGTTCGGTGACGGTAGTCAGCGCGACTCCGGCAACGATCGGCAGAAGGGAGGCCCATATCCGGACGTCGTAGTCGCGCGCGAAGAAGAGCGTTTCCAGAATCACTGCAGATTCGGAAAGAATTTTTTGCTGAGTCGAGTCACAGCATGCGGAGAGGGGGTAATCAGGATTGGCGACCTTGCATCGCCTTTTTTCAGGAACGGAGTATGCGTGCTTGACTCGTGCTGGCAATCGAAATCCAATGCGGTTGCCTCTAGAAGGTTGTCTTTTTGGAAGCTGTATTTGCTCTACAAAAGAATAAGTTTTTACTGTCACTGAAGGAGATAATGATCAACGAAACTCAGAGAGCGATACTGTTCTTTCTGCTTCACTTCTGACTTTTCCTCCAGCCGCGATTCGGAATTTCAAGGAGCAAGGAAGTCCATATCCAAACGACGTAGTCGCGTTCGTACAAAAGATATCTATCGTCATTGCCACGTGAAACGAATCACTTGCTCAGACACAGCAAAGGGGAGGGGGGGGACGGAGACAACAACTGCTGCGGTAAATCTCCTGTCCTGCGGCTCTTGAACTCGCTTGCCAAACAGGATGTAATGAAACAAAGTGGGTCTGGAGATGCAAAGAGGACATCATTGCTCAATTGTAGTCGTAGCTGACGACGAAGCTCACAGGACTTGCAGCGGTTTGTCTAGTACGGAGACGGAACCTAAGACACGAAATTGGATCCGGAAAGAGGGATTAAAGAACAGGAAACGCCAGGGCAAGGGGTGTGAAAAGAAGAACACGAGAACGACGCAGAAGGAAAGGAAAAAAATGAGTAGAAAGCGGTTGCCGAACATGTCGTCAATGTCAACTCGACAAGGGTCGTATTAAGCAACTCCGAGACGGAGTGTTTGACTTGGCTCTGCCCTTGTGAAGTCAGGAAAGCCCATCATTAAATGCCGTACTCAATCAGAAGGGATATGCACCTCAGAGAGCTGGAGTATCTGAATTGAGGGCCGCTTAGAGCTGCTGGGATGGAGCAAAGCGAATGTGCCTTAGAACTCCCCTTTGTCTAGATAGGGTAGAGACATTTCTGACAGCATCCACAACGTGATGGATCATCAAAGCATGTGGAACGAATATTCAACTGCGGTGGCCAGAGATGGAGTAATAACAGCTACTACGTGAATAGAGATCGGGGCATGAGGAACGGAAAAACAAACACCGACTCCCGGAATGAACTGCTTGACGGTCTGCATACAGCTGCCCGGTCTCCAGCGAAACGCCAGTAACCTCCAATATGTCTTTGTCTATGGTGAGGAGAGACAGTAAAAACAACACCCACGACTCGATAGATCGTAAAATCATGAAGGAGAGATACTCACCTCCAACCGCTGGAGTAAACGACTTGACGGTCTGCATGAAGCTGACGGGGATGTAGCGGAGCGCCACGTTTCCAAGAACGATATTCGCCATGGAGAGTGCGGACACGGGGAGGACGCGTGCAACGCGGTCCTGCCAGCTGGCGACCACGATCAGGGGGGTCAACTTGAAGACCTGCATAATAAACGTTTGAATACATCTTGATTCTACCGTACAGAGTGTGATTGGGATGAAGACCTGAGACGTCTGACATGGAGAGATGCACATGTGCGGTCCTGCCAGCTGGCGACCAAGACCAAGGGGGTCAGTTTAAAGTCCTGCAAACGAATCTGACGAAGTCAAGATTCTGACTGCGTCAGCCGTAGTCAGGGATCTACCTTGTGGGGTGTTTCATGGGAAGTCTCAAACGTAATATGTACTGATGGAGTCAGCTTGGAAACTTGACACTTTTTTGTGATCGAGAATGCGTTACGCGGTCCTGCCAGCTGGCGTCCACGATTAGGGGGTTCAAACTAAAGACCTGCCGAGGATCTTGACTATGTCAAGGACTGTACTTTGGGCAACCGAATGGCTTTTGAGAGGAAGGGTAAAAGCAACAACAAGAACTGTGGCCGTTCCACTCAGTGGTTGGTGTTTGCTGGATGTTGACATAACTGTGTAGAGCTGACATGATTGGACCGAGAAGTGATTGCCACATCATCAATGGCAGAGATTGTAAAAGCTGACCGCGGCCAACAAATTGGTCGAAGGAGCACAGAGCGTCTCTTTCAAAATCAAACAACTTGAGAATTTCGGAGAGGCAGGACTGAAGGGGCAAGTTAAGCATCTCTGTTGAAAATCTTGTCAGACAAACTATTCTGTCGGTGAGACCAGTGAAGAAAGAGGAGAAGGGTTGAGTATGTAGAAATGTAGAGTTGAGTTCTCACGTGAATGTACAGGTATGCGCCCAGCCACGATAAGCTAAAGTGAATGGTGGTCAGCGTGAGTGGAAACGTGAACTCGTACACTTGGAAGATGTACTTATTTAACAGTACTATGAGTACATTCAACGTCCACCATTGAAGAATAGCTGCGGCAGCCGCAACTTGGCCCCTAACTTCAATGTCGTGTGCCCCTTCTTTCCCTGGTTGAAATATTGATAAGAAAGAAGAAGGTGGGGAGGGTTTTCGGCTTGGGCTTCCATGCTTGTTTGAACTCTTAAGCTTTTCTTGATTGTGTGGAGCAAGGAGCGAGGCGGTTTCAGAAATGATTCCGTTGGCAGCCATGATTCTTGCTGAAACCTACTGGAGTGTCAGGTGCTAGGTGTTCCTTCTCTGATCTTTAACAGCACGCAGCATTTCTCGACCTGACAGCGTTGGCTTAATAAAACTGGTCTCCTTGATCCAACCAGAACAAACCTCTGTCCTTCATTTCAGCGTCAGACTTCTTTCTAGCTCTTCGCGCTTCGCTTGATCTGCGTGTCAACGTTGGCAGATCTCTCAAGATCTCTCGAAAAACGTCTTCGCGGAGCTTCATCTGCCTCCCAGTCCCATGATCTGTCAAAGTACGTTGGTGTCCTCCCCACATACCGTAGGTGGTATAGGTGGTACAAAAAAAAAAATCAATCCTCTGTAGTGCATCGAGCGAGTCAGAAACAGCGTACTCAACGACAACTTTGGGACACTGGCGAGGGACAAGGAAGTTCAAAACAGAGAAGAAAGCTTTGTTGCCAATGCCAGTGTTGGGCATCAAACCCTGAACATCAAGTGACCAACTGGCCGGAAAGTGGGATGTTTTCAAGACCGTGGCGCCGAAGGGAAAGCTGGAAGGAAGATTAGGGTTTTGAGCGCCTACATCTTGGTGAGCGGCATTGGAAACGCCCTTGCCATCCCTGCAAGAGCGTTACCTTTCAATCTTTGAGCTCGTGAAGCCTCCGTGCAAAACAAGAGCTAGCTCAGCGCTTACCTAGTAGGTGGGCAGCAGACTTCAGATGCCGCATCTGATGCGATTGGAGTTTTTCTGAACCTGTCCGCGCCATTCTTTTTGGTCCTCTGCCAACATAGCAAAACAGTTCCCTCAAAACCGAAGCACAAGTTGCAAAGAGGAGCGTAGCGTAGCCGCCCCCATGTCGAAGAAAAACAAGCTGAGCACGAGGAAGCGCCTTCACGATGCGGAACTTAAGAGTGAGTATCTGGTCTACAGAAGGTTGTCTGTCGCGAAAGGATTGCCGTCAAACTCTAGTACCTGGCTTCACTTGAGAACGGTAGCAAATTAATGCTCTTGTCAGAGTTCTCATCCAGTTTTGTTACGCTGTGGTAACGGCGGCAATCTCTTGCCCGTGTTTCTTTTTATATGTGGCACATCCCTGGGGCTTTCAAGTCTTTTTTCACTTACTTGATAGTAGTTACTTTGAGTTTCGTTAGCAAGAAGGCCTTTTGAGTCCTGGTGCCAGTGATGGGACGTGTCAGCAGATTCATGCAAGAAGCTCATATGAGTCAGCATCGAGAACCACTCTGATCAGAGTTTCATGGTGACTGATCGCTACACTCAAAACGTTCATGGGTGATGGAAGAGGATAGTGCGGACACCATTGAAGGCGGTTGTGATCCTAACCCAAACCCTAACCCTAACCCTTACCTAACCCACCTTTGGATTGGTCAACGCTTAGTGGCATCATGAGCACTCTGGAGAGGGTCATGTTCTCTTACTTGATCAGAAGCGCCTCCGGATCCCATCCTGCCTCGTTGCGCAGCAGTGCGGATTTTCCTAGCACGTAGTTCAGCAACTTCAGATGGGCTTTAAAACTGGGCTCAAACCAACATAAGGTTGTCTTATAGGGAACAGTTGTAAGACCTTTGGAGTTCTCAAATGAAGGTGCTGTTTATTCAGCTCAGTTCTGTCGCACCAGGAGCATTGGTAGACACTTCTGCTTTGCCCATAGGATTCGTGTTGAATCCCGTACTGTGGATTGAGAATCTTCGTTGATTATGTGGATGACTTTAAAACCCCTCAGCTGATGTGTAGCTGCCTTCCACAAGCTTTAGGTTTGATCCCTATTGTAAAGTCATATGAATCATGCTGGAGTCGGCGCCAAAGAAGTGCTGCTTGTCTTTGCCCCATTACGCCCCAGGTGTAAACTTTTTTGGAGATTTGTTCCTGCGCAAAAGGTTTGTCAGTATCTGGGGCAAGTTTGGTAGTTGGGAGTGAGCAGGAATGGACCTTTTGTCCGATTGGCAGCCAATGTGGGGCTTTGGAATTTGCAACGTACTTTTTCCACTCCCCTCTTGTCCTATGAACCAGCAGTGTTCCTGTTTGCTGAATGGATCTGGCCCGGAACCTTCTTTCTGATCCTTTTCTTTCTACACATGGAGAGCTAGCGCTGGTAAAGAAGCAAGAGACACCTGCGTTCTCGTTAAGGCAATTGCTTTTGGTCGACAGGTCAGGCTAGCTTAACAACAGGTCAACCTCTCTGGCAGACTGGCGAAGGTGCAGCCAAACAATGGATCCGTCCCTCGTGTCATTACTGGAAAGAGAGATGTTTGTCCGCCAATCGCGTACATGTTGCTCGATTGGATGGTGTCGGAAAAGAGATCTTGATCCTGAAAGAGCAGACTACCAGATAATCATTTTGGAATCTTGTTCGTCAAGTTCGAATAAAACGGGCGGACAATGACTATCCCTCCTGCGAGCCTCGTAGTGCCTGTCGCCTGCTCAACTTAGGACTGCCGCTGTTGGGTCCTCGTACAAGCCCCTGGAATCGAGTTGAGGACCTGTTGAGTACGGGTAGATAATGTCTGGCGGTCTGATGGGGCGCCCCCAACTTTCTATCCGGAGGTTTTCAGGGGATTTGTTCGAATGCAGAAAAGGACTGTTGCTGCTGGTCTACTTGGGTGCTGGTACATGCCAAACCGAGCTCTGAAAAAGGTTAGCCTTGCTTATTTTCTATCTGGCAATCGAGGGTCCTGATATTCTTAGTTGGGGTGCAGTCTTAGTTGGGGCGCAGTCATAGGATCTGATTCTGACGTCTCGCCGAACTTTTGCAGAGGAGCGAGAAGAGAAGGACAAGCGAGAGGCCAAGATGAAGAAAAAGGCGGAAAAGCTAAAGGTGAGACGCAATCCTCGGAAATCGAGGCCTGTACTGTTGCCCGTTGTTTGCAGGCTGGGGTGGCGGAAGTAATTGCCGACTGATGCTGAACTTTTCCGTAGATGGAGTGCTTGGACGGCCCTAAGTCCAGCTTACAAGTTCTTCTTTTGAATGATGTGACTTCGAAGAAAGTCTCCACTCAATCTGGACGAAAGCTTGCGGTGAAACAGCCTCAAAAGTTCCGCGTATGAAAGTGCCCGGTATCTTTGTAGCTTGTTGTCCATTGCGCCGTGATTGTGAGATTCCAAAATCGTACGGGGCTGCGGCACCTAGTACGAGACATTAGACATTTGCAGCAACAATCGCTGTTGGTTTTTAACGTCAACAAGTTTTTGTTATCTAGTCTTCAGCCGTTGGTGAAATGTCAGGAGGTTTGAGTTAAGCGCGAAAGCCGTTCCTCGAAATTTCCGGAAGTAGCATCAAGTTTTGAAAGCCGGCCAATGATTGGAAGACTGGTGCGCCCAATCTCGGACGATTCTAAACCCGAACGGGCAAACCCGATATCTAATTTCGGACTCAGTTAACACAGTCTGCGGCTCCTCGTGCGCGTCGGTTCTCGATGTCGTGTGTCAAAGTACCATCAGGAGACGAGCCGCGCGCGACAGCGTTACACACGCGCGTGTGCAGCCGCAGACTTGTTCGGATAGTCCGAAATTAGATTTCGGGTTTGCCCGTCCGAGATTGGGCGCACCAGTCTTATATTCTGTAGATCAACTCTGTGATTCTTTTATTCCACATCGCAATGAGCACTTACATGTCGATTGTCCCTGGTTGCTCCGTAGGTCAACCCTGGTAGTTCGTTGGCGAAACAACACAAGAGAGGCTTAAAGGTGGGTCGGCAAAAGCAGTTCCGGTTAGCAAAGCCGGCCGAGAAGCGGAAGCAGAAGGCATTGAGTGCAATGGATCTTGATTAACATAAGCAGCTCTACGTGTAGTAATTTATGTACATATAAGGGAGCATTGAAGTTCTTCTCAGGTCTTACGATCTGAACTCGGTTCAAGACCGAGGTGATACCTTCGAGCTTGTTGTGAAGTCGCTTGACTTGATCACGCGGTTAAATCCAAGATTGGCCCGACTGTACCTGCATAAGTGTTATCTGTGAAGGTAATAGGGCTTACACGGGGGACGTTTGCAAGTAAGCTAATGCATCATTGGAACCGAGAAATTTTCTGAGGCCGTTGTCCAGACCCACATTTATTCACGAAGTATGCCACCGGACAGCGCCCGGGCCCAAACCGTCCGGGCGGGCCCGGGTACGGCCGAACCCGGCCCGGCCCGGGCCTGGAATTGGAACCGGTCGGAGACATGATTGCATGCCAGTTGAGTTGTTGCGCGTTCAATCCGACTCATGCAGATATGCCAACTTATGCCTCGGTGCGCTGGCATCATGTGGCCGCCTCGATCTGCATGAATGATGCCGGCGCTGACAGCGAGTGACAATCGAATATTTGCATTTACAGCCGATCCGATCTAGCTGAATTGCCGGGGGCCGGAACTTGTGACGGTTGCAGTCATGGTAGAGTGCAGTGCCTTTTCTACATGTGTCGTGTTGAGCGGAGCTTACCGTCGGCCAACGGTCTAATATAGTAATCGGATCGCGCCAAACGCCGCTCTGAGGCCTTCACACACACACCGTGGCACGAAATATCAAATTGACTGGGAGCCATACCTGCTTGCTAAGGCACGTACATGTATATGCAACGATAGTGGGTTTGTAACGTACATGAAACTTCGAAGGTGTATCGTGATATATGGCGTCAGATATGATTCATCTCTTCAAGTTGCATGGAGCGAAACAGGCGGCCGACCGTGGCGGCTAGCTCATGAGCAAACATTTAGTAGCATGCTGGGCCGGGCCGGCGCGGCCCGTCTGCACTATTATAGGCGACGAGCTTAGTACGCGTATGGCAGTGCGTGGGTCCTCATGGCATCTATACGAGTCGTATGCGTATACAATCATGCACATTAAAATCTTTATCAGTCGGATCAATCATGAATCGACCCTCTCAAGCTCAAGCCGGCCTGCTCTTACACACGTGATTGCGAGTTTCGAATGATAATGCCGGCAACTGCTCAAGCTAGGTAAATCTCCTCCCTCTAGAGTCCCAGCTAATTCTTCAACCCAATTATTCCCCTTTGGCCCGGTCCCAATCAGCCACGAGAGTTTCTCCGCTAAAGCATGTTGCCGAGACGTACAACCGCATTCTTCTGCCGGCTCAATCTAAATACACGATTAGATATACAGTTTCAGGGCCAGAGTCAAGTACGTCTGACGGAATTTTCTTTTCTCCCGCGCTCAAATTTCACCCGCTCACCGTTCAGCTTGTACAATTACAAATTCTAGTTCCGACCCTGATATTCGTACATCTACGAAAACTTTAAGCGCCGCCGCCTAAGTTCCTTCTTGTTACCAAATGCTTTGTACTGTTCGCAACGCCGCGTTGTTCTGGGGATATTGTACAGGTGAATCATACCTACCCTACACGGATTGCAATGTCCCACGGTAACAAGATGCATAGCTCTCTTGGACTCGGTTGACCGACTACGGTGCGTGTTTGACGAGGCTCTCTAATTAGGATACACTAATGGACCGCTCCGTAAGAATGGGGCCCCGTACCGTACACATCCCTATCTTTAAACTTGCTCCTTACATGACGAGCTGATCGCTGAGGGGAAAAAGCGAGCATCTGTGCGTGCAAAATAGCGGCAACGATACCTGAATAATCCTGCGTGCCAGATCTTACACCGCCTTGCTTTTAAGTTACGAGTGTGCTGCAAGAAGGGAAAACAGCGGTCGGCTTTAGCTCAAGCACTCGAATCAAAGATCCGAATTGTGTCAATTCTTTTGTTCTTTGCCTTGGGTTTGCCTTGCTTCAAAGGCTTAGCAGACGTACTTGCGGAAGCAAGCGAAAGCAGTATCTCATATGCGGGAGGTAGCCGTTCTTCGATTTCTCAACGCCTTCAAATCGGCTCGCAGGTGCCAAGGGCAAGGCCCTCAGCGCAGAGTTTGACCCGAAACTCGTAGAAGCAACATCAATTTGCAAAGATTTCCAACCCATACGCACCTGTTGTACAAGTTGACGGTGGCATTGTGAGCCGCCACGTAGTCGTACGGGTGCTCGTTCGCCTTCTTGGAAAGCGCAGTCACCGTCTTGCTCAGGGACTGTCAGCAGCGAGAAGCACGTGAGTCTGTTGGTCGTGACAGATATGAAGATGAAAAGCAACCCTTGATAAGCTAAGGGACCGTGGAGAAACACGGGTGTAAGTCTATCAGCGTGACCGATATGACGACGAAGTCAAACCCTTGATAAGCTAGGGACCATGGAGAAACACGGTCCAAGCGGCCCAAGAGAAAGAAGCGCGTGAAGAAAGGACACACAAGAAGTTTTGGCTCCTATTGGTCTCGGCCCATTGGGTAAACAACCAATGTTTAACCGTTATTGCTCCAGGCTGGTTACCGCCCACATCTGGCGATCGGACATATCACCACTTCTTGACCAGCCCATAACCATCCAAGGTTAACGGCCAAAAATGCTTGTGAAAATGCTTACGTTCAGAGTGGGCTGGACCGCGGCGCCGGCGGCTGAGTTGTTCATCTGGCGGATCATACGCAGCGCCTGGTTATCGAGGTAGTTAGCGACGTAGTTATCGTCGTCAACAGACACTTTGCTGGGCGCGTAGACCACAAAGGAAGTGATTGCGGCGGCGAGCAGAGCCGCGACGACCAGGGTGAGGACCCACCCGAAGAATGTCTGCAAAAAGGAGCCAAGGAATCTGGAATTTGGGTTTAGGATGATAATTTGTCGTTTGAGATTAATATACCCTGCCGGGCGCGCGTAAACCACGAAGAAAGTGATCGTGGCAGAAATTAGGGCCGCAACGACCACGGTGAGGACCCACCCAAAGAACGTCTGCAAATGGGAGCCGAGGAAGTCAAAAACGCAATTCGTCGAAACCCATGCTCCGTCCCGACTTCTCCGCTCCTCCTGCATGTGCAAGAATCGGACGGTATGTGTGCAGTTTGCAGAAGTCGTCCATCAGTTCTCGCGTGAAGGGATCTCAAAAGCGAAGGGACGTGAGTACGGTTTAAAGCCGAAGCGCAGAGGTTCCGCAAGGGGCTTGAAGTCACCGCTCAGCATCCGCACGAATCGCTACCGATCCAAGGCACAATGGATTGACTTTCTTTGTCTTCTGGTGACTCATGTAACAGCCTCGTAGCCCATGACAGGCCATGTAAGAAAGGTCGATCCTCAAGGGGTAACGACGCTAATAAGACAAGTTCCTCAAAGCCCCCTTAAAGAGGGCGTATTCAGATGCATCTGAAATTAGCGACGACTGGAGAGCACAGGATGCCGCATTTTCGGTCGCCGCGAAAATATCCTGACGTCATTGCTGCAGCGACGTTGACCTGGGCTTTTGCCGCATTGAGATCGCCGCAACAGCCACGTGGGTTCCTTCGACGCCCTCTTTAAGGAACGTTGTCCGCGGAACGAAGCTAGCACGCTCACAGCACGCTCACCCTGAAGATGACCCGCCAGTTGACGCCCTTAGATCCCTCGAAAAGCCCCATGGCAATGAGGGCGCCGGTGATGACCTGGGTCGTGGAAACGGGCAGGCCTGCACTCAATAAGCAAAGTATTGATATGACCAATTTTGAAGGAAGGCAGAGAGGACGGCCGTTTTCGGCGGAACGATGCAACTCGGATCTTCCAGCAGGCCGGAAGGGAGTATAGGAATAAGGGCAAAGAGCAAGGATAAGAAAGTCGCGAGCACGGCTTAGCTCTGTGGAATTGAGTCTCAGATCAGAGACACCGTTCGATCAAGTGCGGGTTTGAAACAAAGTTTTTGCACGAGGAGAACGCTTCGAAGTGCAGCTAACGGGGCGATTGCAACCAGTCATTTTGAGTTGTCCGGCTGAGAGTCACAATCTGGCTGCTAACTAGGCTGTTTACCAGATTCGAGTCTCAGGTTGTTGGACAAACAGCCGGTATTTTAACCCTTCTCAACGGTTGGTTACCGCTTAACTCTGTTTGTTGGGCCACTTGTTCACCAGTCCGTAACCATCCAAGGTTAAGTACAAGAAGCTAAAGTGGGCGGGGTGCTGACCGAATCTCGAGGAGATGATGACGACAGCCGCGGTCGAAAGCTCGCAACAGAAGCCGCGCGCGTTCGTCAGCTTCACGGCTTTCACGCCCAGCACCTGGAGGATCTTGTACCCGTATGTCGCCAAGCCGACCACAATACCAGCCCCGCCTGCAATTTGAGTGCAGGAATCGGTTTGAAAGCGGGTTTCGTTTCCGGTTGAGAGGATTTTTGGCTGCTAACCAGGCTGATGGCCAGCGGCAAACTCGGGACATTACTGGTCAAACAACCGGAAAGCTTTAAAGGACCGGAGCATATTCGAATGTGGATTTGAGTGGTTTGGATTTTGTGAGCAGGGTTCACTGATGCAACTCAGCATAGGCCTAGTTCAAGCACGAGGATGTTTCTGCGAGCGAACGACTGATTTCAAATGGAATTGCCTTCCGTAAATATCTGGAAGTGGAAGAGCCCACAGCACGAAGTAAATGCTGTTTCGCTATCCGCACACGAGTGCATTAAGGAAGATCGTTGACTCAAAACACGACGCAGCAGAATCATGGAACTCACAAATGGTAAGTAAAACGACGCACGGAACTCGAACGTCAAAACGACCTACCGTAGGCGAGAATCCACTTTTCAACTGGGGACTTGGAAGGCACCTGGCTCGTGTTCCTGCAAAGAAAAGGACGGCTCAAACAGTGAGGTTGTGAAGCTCAGCAACGGACCTGGACTTTTCCAACTGGGCACTCTGAGAACCCACTCGAATGAAGGAAAGGGTCCAAAGTACAACTCGTGGAACGGATGAGGAAACAGAGATGGACAGGATTCCAGACGCGCACTGAAGACCATCGCAGATCACACAGCACAAAGCGAGGAATCGATGGAGGGTGCTGAGCACTTCTGAGTCCGTGAAAAGGTTTGCGTAAGGTCCTCTCTTCAAGGGCCGCTTTCGTCCCTAAGCGGAGAGCCGTTCCAGGTTTTCTTGATACCCTGATCATATGGTTGAGTTGGCAAGCTCCAGAACGGTCGTTCATATGTATACTAGACCCCCTGTTCTAGTAAAACCGTTCTAGCACGAACGTACACATTACGCGAACGTTTCAGTATGTTTAACAGAAGCTGCATATAACAAAAACACTGGAACATCCTAGAACGGCCGCATTCTTTACAGAGAACTTCGTAGAACCGTTACTAGAACGGGAGAATTCGTTTTACGTACCAGATGGTGTAGACAGCAGAGTAGGGCCCCAAAGCGTTGGCAACGTCGTTGGAGCCGTGGGAGAACGACATCACCATAGCGGAGAAAATCTGGAGTAGGTGAGAAGCAGAAGGTGTTGATTCCAGTTGGGTTTCTTCCCCAATCTCACTCAGGCAGAAGACACACAGGATACTCTGGCACTTAATCACGGATGGGTATGGGCTAAGTATGGGCCGGTTTGAAAGCGGTTTTATGTCCATTAACCAGATTTGGGCGGTGACCACCCCTTTCAAAGTCTTTGATCTGGTCTACTCATGCAGAGTGTCATTCGTGCGGAGAGTCAACCATGCAGAGAGTCATTCGTGCAGAGAGATGCCGAGTAGACTAAATGGACTCGGACTCCCCAGAGCTTGAGGAAACCGAGTGCAGGGGCACAGGGCCAGGATACACCGAATCAATTTTCCTGACAGACGTTGAAGTTGGTGAAAGACCGTTGTGTGGCGTCACTGCAAAGCTGCTTTCTCACTAAGGTAAGGGGAAAACTGATTTGAGGTCATCTTCGTGACCTTGATTCCGCTGCCAAACGCGCACCTGGAGGTAGCGGAACAGCCGCTCGGTCTTGAAGTCGAAGACTTCGGCCCCTTCCCAGATCGTACCGATGCGCTCGTCTCGATCGATGGCGTCGTGGACTTCGTAGGTAGCGCCGAACGTCAGCGTCTTGACCACAACGTTGCCAAAGATAAATTTGCCCGCGTTTGTCTGCGCGAATTTATTCACACCAAACCTCTCCATGGAGCGATGCCACATGGTGTCCTTCCCTGCGCGAGGTCACGAGATATGATGTTAACGTGACAGCGAAAGTGTGAACAGGCTCTGCCGTCACCTCCAAATAGAGCCGCCCACAGACCCCAACAAACCCACCAAGTATCAGGGCCTTCACCGACTCCGACGTACGGTAACAAACGTTTGCAAGAGAGTGATCTTTCAGGCTGATACAAATGCGGCCTCTTAACTTGTTAACGGAGGCAATGCTCTGTACTGGGCAGCTAAGATGCAACTGTCAGCCATCTCACAGATGGTTTCGCCGTTTATCATTGAAATTCCTGGGCTGATACGAAGCTGGTTATGTGTCCAATATCCAAATTTGGGCGCTAAATACCGGAGCCTTCGAGCAAAGTTAGATACCGGTTATTGTTTTAAGAACCTGAGACTCAAATCTGGCAGTCAGCTTGGTTAACAGTCAGAATCTCCTGTGGCTCGGTGGACACGTGTCTTACGGCCAACGGCTGCTTCCTCTTCGGCGACCGCACGCTGGCGCGCAGCGTCCTTCGGGTCCAGCTCGCCTGCCTCGATCCTGGCGGCCTCAACTTGCCGGTCATTTCACGGCTGCAAAAACATGGGTTATCATTTCAGAAAAAGCACTGCAAAAGCCTGTGCAAATCTCAGAACTGCAAATAGAACGAAGACCAGCTCGATCGGAGAAGAAGTACAGAACCCAGTTTCCGGTCCAGTTCCGGCCGTCAGCTTTAGTGCTGCGAGAACAACGGAGTTCACATCTTCTCAGAAGAAACACTACAAAATGCGTTTCAAGGTTCAAATCAGTTTCAGAGCTGCAAGAAGAAGGAAGACTAGCTCCGTTGAAGAGGAACTACAAGACCAAGTTTCGGTCCAATTCCTGTCAGCTTCAGAATTGCAAATAGAACAAAGATTGTTCCAAAAGAAGCAGAGCAAAATTGGAATCTGGCTGCGCTTCGAAGCTGCCAGTATAATAGGAGCCGTATCAAAAGAAGACTCTTAAACCCACTCGCTTGATTGTCCGCTCTAGTTCCAGCAACCCAGCGAGGCTGTCACTAGAAGAACGGCGATCATGTTGTGTCATCACTTCCACTTTCGGTCCGCTTCAGAGCTTTGACACGGTGCCTGTCATTTCGACAGAAGCATTGCAGAAACCACTTGCTTACAACGTCCTCTTGAGGCGCCCTGTCGAGGCACACTAGGGTTATCAGAGTCGATTAACAAGCTTCTCAATGGCCCCTGTTACGTGTGCAGAAGCATTGCGAAACCCACTTGCTTAACCCGTCCTCTTAGAGGCGCCCGTCTTGGGTCAAACTAGGGTTATCAGAGTCGGTTAAACAAGCGCGCGCGCGCGCTCACCGCTCTCTCCGAGCGTCATCTGCGTGGACCGCCTTGTAAAGGAAGGGCATGATGAAAGCTGCCGTCAGGATTCCCATGCCCGCACCGATCACGATGCTGATCCAGACGCTCTTGCCGTCGGATACCTTCTGCAAAGACCAGAGGAGCTGACGTCAGCAAGAGGAGCTGACGTCAGAGGAAAGCCAAAACTCGTTGGGCCTATCTGAACTGGAAATGACATCTGCGTGGACAACTTGCAAAGGAGGTGGGGAACCTTCGTGGACGAGAGCTTGCACCGAAGTTAACGTCTGCATGCACGTTTAGCGGTGAATTAATCAAACGGTGGATGCTGCACTTGGTAAACGGCAGGCATGCAATGCGTGAAACAAGGATTAGTATTGCAGGGGTGATAGATAAGGAGCGAAAGCTCGGGAGCTAGGGTGTTTTTGCTGCGCAGAGGCGGGGAACTTACATCCCAGCTGTTGTTCTTGTTGCCGGTTTGGATGATGAATATGACGACGACAAAGAAAGTCACGAAAACCAGGAATGGGAACAGCTGCAATACGCAGTACGCGGGTTAGCTTGGGCGTGCTCGAAGCTACGGGCCGATTAGCATCTACTCATAAGACAGAACCCGCAACACGTAAGAGGTTTTGTCACCCCTTCAGAAGTTTATCCTTGCACACCCGACTTGCAGATGAATATCACCCTAGTCTGCAAGTGAGACGCTTTTGCGACTGATAAAAAATCCTCATGATTAACAAGGGACTTCGGGCAAGCGGTCACTTTTCACGTGTGAACAAGCGACCGGAAAATTGTTTCTGTGCTTCTACATTTACTCGCTGCCACTCAAATGTCTCTATCAAAAAGGCAATCTGCTACGGCGGGGAATGGACAAGTGGCGCTAAAATGACGAGCACAACTTACGAAGAAGGCGCGGATGAAGGGAGTGTTCCGAGCCACTCGAATGTCCTCGTCGACAATGCATTTCACGACTGTGGGAAACGGAACAGAGGCGCTGAAATGACAAGCACGACTTACGTAGAAGGCGCGGATGAAGGAGTGCCGCGACCGGAGCACGAAGGTGCGCAAGAGGAAGAAAATAATGGCGACCAATACGCCGGAGCAGATCGGTGACACCACCCACTGCGAAAAGCGAGAAAGTCAGCAAACGTCAGCAACTGAAAGCAAACGTAAAAGCCCAAGTCAATGGTCGTTGCCTTTGTCAGAGGCTTGGGGAGTAGCGAAACCACCGTGACTGCGCAAAACACAAAACAGACGTGAGCAAAGATAAGAGCCCACATAAACTTGAAGGGTCGCCGCCTTTCTCAGAGGCTGGGGGAGTAGCGAAACCACCGTCACTGCGCAAAATACAAAACAGACGTGAGCAGACATAAGAGCCCACATCAATGGCCACCGCCTTTCTCAGAGGCTTGGGGAGCGGCGGAATTGCGTGACTGCGCATGACGGAAAACAGACGTGAGTGAACGGAAGCGCCCACATGTTTGCGCCCTTTCTCAAGGGGCTTTAGATCGATTCAAGCTTCGAGGTGAGAGCACAGTTTGTGGTCAGAACAGCAGGCAACGAGCGCACGTGAAGAAGGGCCCAAAACGAAACCAGCAGACGGGAGAAGACCTTCGCCGCTTTTGCTTGAATGGAACGATCCGAAGGAGCTTGGTGTTTTTCGTTGCAAAAGGAAAAGTTCCTAGCAAATTGGCAACGTCCGAATCGGCGAGGATATTTGGGCGTCCGAAACGACAAGGATCACTGACGTTCGACCAGCTGGCGGGAACACCACAACCGAACCAGTGTGGATCACATCGGGAAAATCAGCGGGCATAACTTGGACATGAGCGGAGTCAGTGACGTGATTTTGTGACATTGGACACAAAATTTTGGCGGTGGGTGCTCAAACGTCCAGATGTAAAACAGGTGACCAGAACCCGCAAGAACAATGAAGCAAACTCGAGCCAGAGTGAGCCTAAACGAAGCTAGTATTTGAAACCCCTAACCCAAACCCACACCCAAACCCAAACCCAAGTTCTTTTCTTGCTCAGCACCCCAGCCGGATCCCCCGGCCAGGTTATCCAAACCCAAAGCACGCCACCTGTCCCAGGCACTGATAAGCGAGACTATGGTTGTCGATCTAGAGACCGATGACGTGACCCATGTGACGTCACGATGATGTGCCCCACCTGGAGGAAGATGATGCTCATGCCCTTGAGGTACGGGAAGTCGTTGTCGCCCGTCGCCTTGTTGATGTTCTTCTTGCTCCACACAATTGCGTTGCTGCCACGAAGCGCCCAGGCCATGCCGACTATCGCCCCGACTGGAAAAGGAGGGAAGAGCCTTAGTATTGTACGAAAGGAACGGTTCGTGGAAGAGAGAAGGGGGCGGCAACCCTGAGTGACTTCTGACGTCATCCAGCCTTTCTTCTGACGCGTCGGACAGGTCTGAATTCCGTCCGCAAGCTGCAGACCTGGCTTACGGGATTCAGACAAGGTCCGCATAAGGTCCAGACAAAAGGCTTTCTCTTGGTGGATCGTGGAAGAGAGATAGGGGCGGGTTGCTAAATGAGGAACCGGCAGGGCGACCCTTGCCGCATCAAGTTACTGAAAAGGATCGAATCAGTTGAGGGGTACGTTTGATCCTTGAGCAGTTTAAGCCTCTCCTAGTTTCCTCCTGACTCTGACTTTCACTCGTCACAACTTGTCTTTTGACGTGACCGTTGCCTTGTCAGAGCGCAGCGATGCACTTATCGGCTAAATCAAGAGGGACGCCTACGAGAGTTCGCGATTGGCAGTGACGAAGGTGCTCCAAGTCATTTTGGAGGTGAGATTTGCCACTCTCGCAGTCTGATAAAAGAGGTTCTACACCGTTTATAAGACTTTGGGCTTGGGCAGCCACGACTCAGGAGAGTTAGAGACCGGAAACGAGCGAGTACCTGAATTCAGTAACTCTCGATCCTGTTAGGGGCCGATGAATTTCAGATAAGCACCCGGGGATCGGGTGGGGTTAGTTTGGCGTTAAGGTGGGTGCGGATACAGAGCGCATAATGTTTTGGGTTAGGGCTTTTTGATTAAGCTGCTCGGCGCTTATGTATCTCAAAACCATTTCCTGTTGAAAAAACTCAGAGGTACCAAATCGTACCTGTGGTATGAGTGGTGGAAACCGGCAGTTCCAAATGGCACGCAAGGTTGTCCCAGAACGCGGCCGTTATCATAACCGCCAGCATGCCGAACATCAGCAACTCTGCAGACAAGGAGGAGCGTGCGCCGAGCAGTTAGTGACACACAAGTTTGCGACTAACCCGTTTTAGAACCGGCCTGTCCTAGCCAAGTCCGATAGATGACCAGACACATACGATAACCCATGGAAGCTGTAAGACAGACTCTAGATCTTACACCCGAGTAACTTCCAAACTTCTTGGATATATATCCTTTTGAACCTCTAATGTTGCAGGAAGAACGACTCACGAAACGCGGAGCTCGTCCCGATACAGCTCCTTTAAGCCCCTAAAACCAGCTCCGACATACTCTCACCACCAAAACAGATTTGGAAAGAGGAAAAGCAAAAGCAACCGGTTTTCAACCCTCTTGGACAAGAATGCGTTCAGCTCACATCGACTTCCACACCCCCTCAAAGCTTTCAGGTACCGGAGTTCAATGAACCGATAGTTAAAAAGTGCTTCCCACGATGCCCAAGTGAACGGAAAGACAACGCCGACTTCTGGCTCGTATGTTTAGGAGGACGCAGCGATTTGTGGAGGGTTGCTTGGAACATTTAAGCTACTGTCCCTCGAAGACTCCATGCGAACAAACAAGGAAGGTGCATGCACATAGCTGTGTGACCAGATCCGCCAGAAAAATGGTTGGAAGCACTTCGCATTAGCTTCAAGAGGGTCAATCGTTGACTTGACCCAAATATCGGAAATTGACGAGATCGCTTACCTGGGCTGTCGCTGAAAAGATTTACGTTGGCGATATTGCTTCTCACAGCTGCAAATGGAATGGCAGACAGTTGAGTTGACAAGCAGTCAATCAATGCAAGGTGATCCTTGTTCGTTGGCAAATTGAGGTCTCGAAGGTTTGCAACAAGCGCACAGCTGTTGAGAAAGGGAATCGCCCACTCCCTACTTCTGATCACGCTTTTAGCAAAAAACTTTGTTTCAAACATGCAAGACTCCAAGAAGCGGTATCTGGCTGTATTGCATCACAATGGCAAAGGATCAGGCAACCGCAAATTTCAAGTGTGTGCCAGGTGCAACAAGCTTCAAACACACTTGGATCCACGCCAGAGGGGGGCTCGTTGCGCTTACTGTCAGTTACTGAGGCTCCCAGTAGTAACGCTCCCAGGAACTCGCAGACAGCTGCTACCATTATGGCCTGGGTCATGGTCAACGCCCTGGACCCCACCGATGTGGCAAACGAGTTGGCCTGCGCGTCAAGGAAAAGGGAGGGGAAAGTGAGAAGGTGCTGAAGTGCTCTGCTCCCCTTTCAGAGGATTCCGGACAAAGGGATCCCTTACCTCCTTGAAGAGAAAGTGACCCAGGCTTCTGCAACGTATGCGCCTCGTACGTCCTCGTAATGGATGCTTTCTGAACCTATGCAGAGAAAGAAGAACTGCCCCAACAGGGCAGACAGCCAAAGTACTTGGAGGATCACTTTTCAACCCGCATTGTGAGAGCGTCAAATTCCTCAAAATGGCGAGGCAACTTGTTTGCAGTTTCGGGCGAGTGCTGTTTGCGAACCTTAAGTAAGATCGCCCCGAAAGACACCAAGTTTTGGCAGAGACGGAGTAAGCAACAGAGCAGCTGTCGGCCGGCCTTCCCTTCTGGACAGTCGTCTACTGTCCATTGGAAAAGAGTCTCCGACCTGGCAGTCATAAGTACGCACACTGTGTGTTCTCAAAAAGTGAGGACTCACCACATCGTTGGCGCCAATCCCAAAGGCGCAGATGAAACCGACGACAGTCGCAAAGCCGAAGATCCATGTGTATTGGTCGAACTGAACCATGTTGACCAGAGGTGGAGGCAAGCAAGGACTGCAGTGTCTGCATAAGACAGGAGAGAGAGATCATAAGCTGGTGGGAGAGGAGATCCTGAGCTGGTGCAAAAAACTGAAATATTTTCCATCAAGGATAAAATGCCAAGCAGAGAACAGTAGCGGGGAGCGTAGATCCGCTGATGCATCGAGCAACAACAGTCGAAGCTCCCAGTGTTTTCGAAACATAGTCAGCCAGCTGGAAAGCGCAGATCAGCTCGATACATCAAGCAACAGCATCAGATGCTCGCTATATTTCCAACAACACAGTCAGCCAACTGGGAAGGAACTGGATAAGATAAATGCTGCTGTAACAATCAAGACTGGCAAAGCACCGGCTCACTAAGTCTGCACAGAAGTCAACGGGTTTGAACAAGCTCAAATGCAATCCAGCTGCGCATGACAAAGCCAACGTTCCTGCGTGCGCCTTCTTCAGCAGCTGCTTGCGCCGTTTCGTGTCAAACCAATAGGCGTCAATGTGCTGCTTCTGAGCTGGCACTGTTTAAGAAAGGAAGGGACGCTACGCTGCTAGAGGCTGTGCAGTGCAATGAAGTGACTCACCTTTTGAGAACTTGCAGCTGCAATTGTGGTGGCCCCAACGTTCTGAGCAGACACGCAGGGCATGAAAGGCCACGTTCGAACTGATCTTCTCAGGCAAAACCCGCTGCCGAGGGAACTGACAAAATGTGGCCCTCGGAGTCGGAAGGACGCGAACAACGTCCATTTTGGCTGCGCTTGAACCGAATGAAGCAGATTGCTTACATTGCACTGACATATGCGCAGGAATCTTTCTGGGAATCTTTACAAGCTGGCCCAGATGATTGTTGTGCCCAGCGGAGCTGGCCGCTACCTACAGCAACGACAAGCGAACATGTGTCACAACGACAAAGGTGTGAACATCGTACTAAATGAGAGGGGAAACGTGGAACGCCGAGCCTGCCGCCCTTCAATCGTTGGCCTCCAGCTGGCAGGGGAGTCCCCCTGCATATGATGAGTGTATGTATGTATGATACACAGGCTACAGCAGAGTAACACGGTATGTCAGCTGAGCTGCTAGGTATTGAATGCCGAGCCAAGTCGCTTTCAAGGGACTTCCGACTCCCCTTGCAGAACTTTAATGCGAGTTCGAGAGTTCGATCCGAGAAAGAAGCAATGTATTGGACGCAGACTGATCATGCATCGTATACCGTATATACCGTATATACCGTATATACCGTATATATCGGTAGCATTCTTTAAGAACGGCATGAAAAGGTGACGGTGAACCGTGATACGGTAGGTACTAGGGCCTAGGTAGACAGCTAGTGACTATAGCTAGTGAGGTATTAAAGTACTTAATACAAGAAGCCTGGCACTGGGTCAAATGTCGACATGGCTTTTGCGACTTCGGCGTAGTCCCCCAGGACGGAAGGAATCTTTTTCTTGCATGCACATCATTTGTGATGCCTCAAATGAGGGCACATATGTCATTTGTCGTTTATGAATTTATGTAGGATAATAATAACGTCTCACCTGATTCCCCGGTGAGCTAGCAATAGTCCCCAGAACAGAAAACCTAAACAAGTTGTTAACCGCGGTCCACGCCCATGCCAAGGCTAACCAAAAACGTAACCTCACCCGCTTCCCGGGCCCCCGATCCTACCTGGAAGTTGGATCTATCCTACCTAAACCGTAGATTTATATGCTTATACAGGAGGGATCCGAGACCCGGGCCATTATTGCGCTCAAGACAAATCTGCGGCGGTCTCATGCTGTGCAGCACCGGCACTAGTCCTAGAACACCCGCCCGGCTCGTCACAATGCCCATGCCTGGCCGAAGATCCCCGGGTACTGGTTGAATAACCTACCGGTATTAACGCTGCGGCAGCGCGGCAAAAGGTGGAGGGTTCGACATCAACCGGGACACAGGGTCGTTCGGATCGCCGTTTCCGGAGACGGCACGTTGGTAACGCACCCTTTCTCTGGCCAATGAGAACGCGTTATTGTGACTCTGATGTCATTGTCATGTACCGGCTCTCGAGCTGTCCAGAGAAAGCTACAGCCTACAGCCTACAGGCTACAGCTAGCCGGCCAGCTACCAAATCGAAGAATCGTAAGATGAGGCTCTGCAAAAGCTCATCCATGCTTCCAGCGTTCAGGAAAACATTGTGGCCCTTGATTGAAGCACGCCATCTTAAGCTAGAGATGTGGCAGAGCTTTGCGGCTGGTCAATTGGCTCAAGAAAAAGCGGAGGCATCACTAGCTCCCTCAATCTTCTTCAACGGTGCTTCGGTGTTGAAGTTGGATACTCTTTCTGGAGCGGAGCTAGCTGGTAAATAAGCATACGCAAACTGATACCTCTCTCTTTTCAGTCGCTAATTTGACTTAATTCAGCTCTCAACTTCTGAGATCTGTCGGCACCTCCTTAGTTTTGTTGCTGTCAAAAGCTGCCAAAGGCTTGGATACTTCCTGTCTTCTACAACCTCTTGCAGAAGCCTTCACATTCTGTCCTTGGCAAAGCCTAAGCTACCAACGCGCAAATTCTGATCAGTAATCTGCATCAGGTTGACATTAATCTACTGCATGAAAGCATTTGACGGAAGCAGCTGCCGGGCCTGATGCCAGCAACTTTTCTTTGATGGAGAGAGGGATTACAGGTTAGCATCAAAGCTGTGCTTCCCTAGTGGTCTCGAGAGGCAGTCGCTTTTGTCAGCGAAGCTAACACCCCGTCTCCTGCTATCCTAACAAACTTGCTTAACATTTTCTTGTGAGCTTTGTCAACAGTTGATCTTTGCTGTTAAACCTCAACCAACTATATTTTGGAGACCACTTTTTCTGAAGCAGATTCATCCACAGTCCACCTGAAAGCATTGAGTTCAGGAGTTGCATCAGGGCCCTGCCATTTGGTGTCAGTTCATAGCAAAACTCCAGTGTGCTAAAGGCCTGAATAAGTTGATCAGGGCTTTTCTTACTGCTTCTTCAAAGAGACGGTTGACTCTGTTTTAATCACAGAGTCCATTACGAAGCAAAATCTGACGAAAGAAAATTGCCACAGTCAGTTGTCAAAAAGTTTGGGCCCCCTTCTGTTCCTTGTGTATTGAATTCCTCCCAAAGGTTCTATTCTTTTCCCCAATTTTGTATGTTCCTCTGTCTTTCTACACTTCACCATTGATGTGACTTAAGATGGATTCCAAAATCTTGGTAGCTTTTTCAGCTACAGATCACAGACATCTTAGATGATCAGATTTTACTGTGCAAGCCCCCTACGATGTTGGGTCGTATACTTTCAAATCAGCCACTCATTGATCCCCTACTCCAGGTGACAAACAGCGATTAATCAAACTATGACCAGATTTGTTTGACATCGCTCCTTCTCTGCGCTTCAGAAGCCGCTTAGCAACAACGTGCTCCAGTGTAATAGTGCGCAGACGTGACCTTAAGTGTGATCAGCATCTGCTTCTGCACCAGCTGATCTGTAAGGGAGCTTGAAAAGTTCAGATCAGTGCTGCAAGCAGACTCGAACTCGAACCACTCGCAGGTGACGACATCCCAAGCGTGTGACTTCCTCCCTACAAAGGTGTGAAAACTCTCAGGCGGCATGGCAAGCGGGGGTCTGGCACGGGGCTTCCTTCTCAAGGGCGGGCGGCAGGGCGTATTCACAGCAGGGAGCAGCAAGCTGTCACAGGCTGCCCCTCGGACGTCCGACGTAACTGACGAGAACGAGAAAGCGTCCGAAGCTGAGTCGCTTCCCATCCAAGGCGGCCAGCCTTTTCGCTCTGGTGTGAATGCGCCCGGAGCAGGAGCGAAAATGCAGGCGGCCGGCGGGTTTCATACACCAGGAGTGCAACCAGGTGTGAATACGCCCGGGGCAGGTAGGGTAACTACGCCACAGGGAGGGGGTGATTATAGATTCGGGACGGGGGGTGAGCGTAGACTCCAGGGAAGCGGGCTAGTGGAAGAATCTGGTGTGAAAGCGGTTGACGGGGATCTCAAAGTAACAAGTTCCGTATTGAAGGCAGGAACGAGTGCGCAATCTGGGCGTGCCAATCCACCTGCGAAAGCTGACTCTCCGGGAACAAAAAGTGAAGTTGCATTTCAAGGTCTGGCGAACGCAAGAGCGCAAGGGCTCCCAGATCCGAAGCTGGGTGTGAAGCTTAAGAGTGAGGATCCAGCGAAGGCAGCTGGATTGAAACAAGCGGTTGGAAACGAGGGGACCGCCTCTCGCCGTCCGTCAGTCCGGGAAGCAACAAGGTGGAGATCGGAGAAAGCGACTCTCAGACGAGAGACTCCTGTTAGAAGCACGTCCCTCCGAGAAGAGGGGCTTTCGGAAAAGTCCCCTCACGTCGACACAACTACCGGTACGGAAACGGTTGCTGGGGAAACGAAAGCCGGAGTTGGTGCGAGCGCGGCCGGAGGCGCGAAACCGCACACCGCAGAAGTGCCTACAAACGGTGGGAATTCTCACCAAGTCGTATGGTCTACAGCGCAACCGGGGGCGGGTGTTCTCGGTGGGAGCACAGTCTGCGAGATCGAGGAGGTGGTCGAATCGAGCGAGACGCAAAGCGGGGCGGAAACGGGGTTAAGGCAGCAAACCAGCCCTCGGCAAAAGACGCAAACCGGGTTAGGTCCGGAGGTTAGTCCCACAGTAGCCCCGGATCTTTTACAGGGGGGAACAGCTGAAACCGGGGGGTCCGATCGCCTGCGGTCAGGAGTCCCCTTCCGTGCCGCTTCCTTCCGCCGGATGTCCCAACAAAACCCCCCTCCTAAAACTCAGCCAAAGCTGCCCCCTGAAATGGTTTCGTTCCTGCTCGGCCCCTCCCCGGCGTTCTCTACCGGGTTGCAAACGACGAAAACCCCCCAGTCCAACCCCTTCGACCAAACACTCCCCGGATGGTCGGCTGAGCTCAGCCTGGCGTCAGCGGTGGCTCGTGATGACGTGGCAACCCGGTTTCTCAACCTCCCAGCAGCGGCGCTTCAGAGCGTGTTCTCAACGCTGCCGGCAACGGCGATCGTCAATTGCCAGGTCGGTTTGGAAGCTTTCTTTTCCGATCAGGTCGGAGATGTTTCTTGTTTTAGTATTCTAGACAAAGTACTTTTGAGTACGAATCCCCAGTATATTCACGGTCCGGGATCTCAAATAGTTGCAAACAATCTATGCAAAGGGGGTTTTGAAAGAGTGGCACGCGCCGATTCTGGACAATCCGCAATGTGGACATTCGTCGAACTCTATTCGAACAGCTTCAACTTTCTGCGTATAATCTGCTGAGCTGACTACAGGGTGTGATTTGAGAGTTTGGAGACAACCAACTATCACGAACAATCCCTTTACACGCGGTTTTTAAGACGTGGCACGAACGATTTTCGGACGGGCCGAAGCGGTGGGCGTCTAGCATATTTGTCTCGGACACTTCGATTTTCTGCGCACAGATAACTTTCTGTCAACCAAGAGGAAGCCCGCGTCGAATCTCAGGATCTATCGGGTAACCATGTAAACACAAATCACTCTTTGCAGGCGGTTTCCAAGACGTGGCGCGCCCGTTTTTCGGACGATCCGAAGCTGTGGGCGTCCGTAGACCTGTCTTCGGATGACCGGCTGAGAAATGCCGCTACGGACGATCTCCTTTTGGAGCTGCTGGGCCGGAGCCGGGACCGCTGGGGGACGTCATACCTGACGTCAGTCGACGTCACCGGCTGTAAGGTGAGCCGAACTTTATCTGCTTGTTCGATCTACTGGTCGTAGGCACCATTACATGAGTGTACACCGCCTACCCTTAGGTCGGAGCATTAAAAAAGGGTTCATTGCACCCGGCCAGTACTCATATCCGGACATTATCGACGGTCTGAAAAACTCCTTACAAACTGGGTTAAAGTGGGCGTAGCAAGCGCGCTTGCATTTTCATCGAACGGTGTATCGATTTGAGTGAAATGTATCGAACGGTCAGAGATCCCGTTCGTCATGAGAATTCGGCCAAGATTCGGACGGTTCGGACAGCGGACTAGGCAAATTTGGCCTCAGTGCGGACCGTCGACGGTCGGAGGCAGGCTGGAACCGGGCCCGTCCATAGGTATCGTACCACAGAGTACCGCGGTTCCATTTAGCTACGTCAGCATACGTCACCGGCGGTAATGTCCAAAAAGGAAGGGGCAAAACAGAGCAAAATGTCAAAGTTGCCGGAATCGAACCTGCAGCTCTTTTCGGAGTCTTGACCTCAAGGCGAGCGCGCTTGCCACTAGGTCAAGCCAGCAAAATCTGGGAAACCCAGATGGAAAATTTGGTCGTGAACCAGGGGTTTTATACCCCGACGCCCACTTTAAGCTACCTTCTGACAAATAAATGACGTCAGATACGACGTCCCCACGGTCTTTAACAAACCAGGCAATTCGAGAGCAAATAATGCCGGATGAATTCTGCCGCAAAGTCGAAGTCGATCTTTTCTCATGCCCCAGCAAGCTAGTCAGACGGCCTCTCTTTGCTTCTGGTCACGGCTTTCCTACGAGCCGCTCGATCGTCTTCGTTTCCCACGTGTAGCTGCTTATCTTTGCACCTTGGAATGCTTTGAGTTTTGGTCCGATCGTCGCTGACACTCTCTTCCTCCTCGGTGGCAGAACGTGACGTCAGCGGGTGTCATGAGCGTGATGAAACATCGAGCCAGCCTTCGCCGCTTGCGAGCCCACGCCAGCGGCGCACAACTACCGACCTACTTCGTAAGCCGCAACCCAAACCTTGCACGCATTAGCCCTTACTTTCGGCGGATCAGCAGGGTTTCGCAGGTTTCCTTTTATTCTTCGTCGCGTCTACTCCAGCCTCTGTCTTTTCGATGCATGTTATCCGCCCTCAAATGATTGGCAAAGCTTCTTCCGCTTTGTTACTTTCTGTTGCGATCGTCATTCATTGCATCTGTTCCCAATTATCTACCATCGTAGTAGTTTTGAGGACTCTGCCTGCCGGAACTGACCGGCTCTCATCTGAGTTGGGCCTTTGTTGACCTGAATTCTCGGCAGAACTTTACAACCACATGGAAGCCGACTGGAAAATTGTCGACGCAATGATCAAATTCAAGCTCGCGACGCACATGCAACTTGATGTTTAGTCTCAATATTTTCGGAGAAGCATTATTGTCCTTGGACCTGCTTCAACAATGACTGACAACTGTTTGGGCGTGTGGATTAGGCAGAAGCCCAAAAGAGCGCACACTTCGACGCGCAAACCGAACAGCCCCTTACCTACTCGAAACAAATATTTATGGCGGCGTTCACCGCAATCAGCCAACTAAGTGGTCAACCGTTGACCCTTTCCGGTTAACTAAATGGTTGATTATGTTCAGGCTCGTTGGTTAGCGGAAACCGGAGTGGACGCCCACGTCGACGTGCATACGGCGCAGCCGACGCCGAGCGTCGGGTTTTGCAACGTGGCCTCCACCAACGCCACGTGGCAGGATCTCGTCCAAATGCTGGCAGGTCAGCGATCCGTCATGCTCCCGGATGTTATATGCAGAAGAATTCAAACAAGCAGGCTTCACACGGAATCTTGTAACCCTCATATTTGTTGAAAATTCTGTTCCTAGGCCTCTAGGCTCCTAGGCTTCTAGGCAAATCACATGCTTAGAGAACGGTTCAGGTTTCCGGGAAAGTCCACCTGGCTATTCAAAATTTAAGTGATTCATTCCAGAACCCGCGATCTGGCCGGATTATAAAGCTAGGTAACGGACGTCTTTTGCAACGTCGCCGAACAAGAATTGGTGTCGCTGCGGCTTCACATTGGGTCTGTTCACACCTGGAGGGTGCCCGGCGCCGGCCCCTCCGTTTTCACGACCACGCGAGCCCATATCTCCACGCGTTTCCTGCGGCCAAAAAAGTGGAAGTACCAGCCCTGACGATCCAGATCGTCCTTCCTTTGAATCACTTTTCCTTTCTTCTGCAGGCATGATTGTGTCCAGACGGTTTCCCCCGACCCCCGATCCTCAACAGCTCGTCTTGTTGATTCCGTTCTTGAACGCGCTATTTTCCGCACCAATCCCCACAGCATAGGGAAATTTCTTCGTAACCCCTTCAACCTCTTCCAGGTATGACACGTGTCCAGATCTGCGGCCTCGACCTCCGCCCGACACCCGTGCCCCTGCCGTCCGATCCCGCCATCCCCTTCTTACACGCGCTCTTCGCCGCCCCAAACCTCCAAACCCTGCGCGTCGGCTCCGCGTTCGGCGACCGCGAACTGCTGCGCGACATCGGAATCATTCTTGGCGAGCGCGTCAAGAGCGGCGCGAAGGGTTTGGAGGTTTTGGAGTTGGAAGGACTGAGAGGGAAGATGGTCGAAGGAACTTGGGAGGCGGTCTTTGGGCTGCTCGGAGGAGACGACTGTCGGATCAAACGACTGAGGTGAGGATACAATCATTCTGTGTCTTTATGATGGGGGACGCACTTTCAGACAACGAGGGTAAACCGAAGGTTCTTGTGTTCTTGTGTCTTTAGACAGAGCTAGACTCCTATTCTCGATTATTCCGAACGGCACTTTGTTCTGAATGAACGGACAAGTACAAGAACCCTGTCTTGCGCGATTTTTCTAGCTCTTAGGTCTGCATCGAAAGGAAGTTTCACAACCGTAGCTTTGACGCTCGCAGCAAGACGCTGCCCACCTTTCTCTTTCGCTTTATTGGAATATAAGTCAGAGGTCAAGGAGTCCAAAACGACGGCAGAATGTGTTGAATAAATTGTACAGCTGGGTGTGTGAACTGAAGCAAAGCTGTGGACCAATGGAGTCACGATCGGTTCTCGTTAACGATTTCAGACTGCAACTGTGGCCGTCAAGGTGCTGCTGGCCCTTGCCAGTACCGGTTCCGTGACGTCCAGTATCATCAAAAGGTCCTCGAATGAGCGTCTGTTATTGCTGCAGCATCGAGCGCGAGGGCTGCAGGTTAGCCGGAGCCCGTTCGCAGATCTGTCAACATGCGTCCGAAAACCCTGAAGTCTCCTCCGACTCCTCTAGTCAAGCCACCTGTCCCATTCGTGCAGGATCAAGGCGGGAATATGCATATGAGGGAACCGCGGCCCTGTCCGCCGCTGTGTCCGGAAACGCGTCCGTTACGAAATGTTCAATCGCCTCCATTAGTTCGCGCCACGTGTCTTATTGTGCAAATCAGAGGCTGCAACCTGGGTCGCGCCGCCCTCTCCGCAGCCCTTAAGAGTGCGTCCGTTGTCCACTTGAAGTTCTGTGTTCTTTGATTGTGCCACGTGTCCTTTTCGTGCAGCAACAACGGCTGCAATCTCAGCCGCGAAGGCGCTGCGGCGCTGTCCGCAGCTCTGTCCGAAAACGAGTCCATTATCTCCGTATCCACCTCCAGCTTTCTCAATCATGCCACGTGTCCTTCCGTGCAGCATTGAAAACAGCAATCGTGACCACGGCCCTGTCCGCAGCCCTATCCGTAACGCGTCCGTAAGTTCAGTATTGTCGTCCCACTTTTCTGATCGTGCCACGTGTCCTTTCGTGCAGCATCAACGGCTGCAACCTCGGCCGCGAGGGCGCCGCTGCAATGTCCGCAGCTCTGTCCGACAACGCGTCCGTAACGGAGCTCGAGGTTTCGGACTGCGGCTTTGACACTCAGGGATGGCGGTGGCTCGCCGAGGCCTTGCAGAAGAACTCCAGTGTCAAGAAGCTCACTCTGGGCGGGTGGGGCTGGAAGGAAGCCAAAGCGGAAACGGGGCCTCTTGGGGTGAGTTTTGAAAAGTCTTGAATCTGGCACGGCCAAGAATGTCAAGCCTTCTTGCGAGACGCGAGAGACGCTTCTGTCGTTGAATGCGGAAAATGCTCGCCGAATTACTTGTTTTCAGGTCGAAGGTTGGTCCCTCCGAAAGCTGGACCTCAGGAAAGACTGTCTCTGTCTTTTTTGAGCGAGACTTGAGATGCTCTCACAACTATCAGCCTCCAAAGTGGTTTTTCTTTCGAGGTTTTGTGCACTGTCAGCAACTTTGCTCCAGAGAGGGCTTTTCCCTCCTTGTAATGCAGTGCTCTTCCTAGCTTGTCTCCTAGTTCCTCGGCAAGAAAAGCGAAACAGTCCCGACGGGCGTCAAGCATAGTCTCGTAATATCCTCTGGTAGAGCTCCCGCTTTCTATTGAAGAAATCCCACCCAGCTTCTTCTCAACGGCGATGCATGGATTCAGTCACATCGGCGCCGCAATCAGCGCTGCTGTCGAATACATCTCTTGCCTGACGCTGGAAACAACTTTTAGGCCTTGTTTGCGACAAACTCACCCATTCTTCCTCGTGAAAGGAAGCACTCAATTGAAACAGGGCCCTCCTGGGCTTCTCTCCAACGACAACGGAACGGTCAAATCGGCGCCGCCGTCGCCCATAGCGCCTCTTCTAAAGAACTCCTATATTCACAATCAGGCCTTGTTTTGAGATAGAGTTACTCACTTCTTCCCATTAAATTGTCCGCTTTCTTTCAAACAGGGCCCTACCGGGCTTTTCTCCAACGACGACGGGATCGGTTACATCGGCGCCGCTATTGCCCGCAGCGGCTTTCTCGAAGAGCTCCTTTGGATGACGCTATTAGTCACAATCAGGCCTTGTTTGAGAGATAGTTCGTAGTTACTCAAATCCTTTTTTGAATTGTCGGCTTTTCTCCAAACAGGGCCCTACCGTGCTTCTCTCCGATGACGACGGGATTGGTTACATCGGCGCCGCAATCGCGGGTAGCGCCTCTCTCAAAGAACTGCGCCTCCTTGCCTGGTGCGGCCCGTGCGTTCTGGACTCAACCGGGCGCGTCATTGACTTCAGCCCCGGCTTCGCAACGTTTCTAATTGAGCTCAGCTCCCTCGACCCGAGCGTCTCTCGGTTGAAGAGCGTTACCGTCGAGTTTGACGAAATGTGTGTGGAGGATAGGGGGCGTGCCGGGGCGGCGAGAATTGCGGCAATGATTGGGGGAGTGGTCGGGAAGAAAGGGGTTCGAGTAACTATGGTATTGGGCGCTAGGGAAGATGGGAGAGGATTGAGTGATTGCATGAGAAAAGCTTTCGAGGGTGTGCGAATGAGGCCCAGCACTTACAACGGATTCCAGGCACAAAGCGGGGCATTATTTACTTGGTCATGAAGGGGGTGAAGTTGACTGGTCACGTCATCAAGGTTGCACGAATAATGTACATAGTGCGAACTAGCTAGCAAATTGGGATTCCTTCCTCGTTAAACAAGCCTTCTACTGAGTACACGATCGAATCCGGGTAAGCTTTTCATAGCCTCGTGGATGCAGCTTCTCCAACTTACTGTGTGCCCGAGTTGCCCTAGCCTTAAGTTGCAAAGCACATGCATGAGGTACCAAAGACGCATGGAAATGAAACTCAATTGAAGCGCAATCGTGCGACCAAGTTTTATTCCTATCTTGGGGTCGATCCGATCTCACTATTGTGCTGAACTTAGGGATGACGTACGTACTAACCATGCAGACCCGGCCGCCCCGTCCCGGAAATAACTTCAAATGTCACCAGCTTATGCCCTGTCATTGTGCAGTACAATACTTCTCATCTGGACTCGGAAGCATGGCGGTCACGGTACATAAAGTGTCTCAATGCGCGATGGCCTAGCCGATGTTCCACGCCAATGGCACATGCAAATCGGTGCCTATCCCGATCGAATTGCACGGCAGACTCAGTCTGACCGTACTTCACACCAGCATGGCTGTTAAGCAAGTTTTTTAAGAATGCGATGACCGGACCCTACTTCCGACGTCTTAAGTTAACCTGATATTAGTACCTATCTAGCCTAGATCGAGTGACTGAAAACTGCCACTTGTAGTGGGAATGAAGCAGGCTACGTTTACACGTGCACTAGTTTTCCAATCGGCCTGTACTACATAGCATTCGGCTTCTGGGGCCACAGACACCCCTGATGACCAGTGGCCAGCTAGAGCTGGTAGTAGCGAAGGATGCCGACCGTCCGATAGTGTGCAGTATGGCAGCCTTTCACATGCCCTTGACATGCAAACGACAAATCGTCAGCAAAAGTATAGTTGTCAATCCCGAGATAGTAGGGACGATTTTCACGAGAACTGGCGGGTACGTCAATTTAATAGGGAAAGTTCAACCCTAACAGATTCGCATACCCGCACCCTTAAAGGATTCAACGGGTATGGAATCGTAATAAACCGACGTCGATACGCATGACCAAGAGTATTTGCGTTCAATCGAATTGAAAGCAGGAGACGACGTAGGGACAAGATTATATGCATTTGGTACGTACACCCATACGCCCGATGTACCCGCCTTAAAGGATGGAGTTGCGTTTATCACAGTTGCAAACACACGCGCAGAAGCACAATTCTTTGAATAGCACACCGAGGGCGAGACTTGCATGCATTGCTCTGTGCTCCACTTGAATTAAATAAATCCCTCCGTGTGCATCGACTAAACTACAACCTAGACTCCCGCATCCAATTCTTTAGAATACATCTCCGTGTGCATCAACTAGAATACAACTTAGGCTCCAGCCTTGGGATTCGCTATTGCAACGGGCTCAAGCTCGGGAACCCCCAGATTCTGCCGCGTGGTAACAGTGTACTTTTCCTTCGCCCTAAGCCAGCCCGAGAACCAGCCGTCCCTTCCCATCCGCTTCAAGCGTGCCATCAAGGAAGCATGCGCTACTCCATCAGGACGGCCGAGCGTGAACATCATAGCCTCCCCTGTCACGAACTGCACATGCAACGTTCAAGTTCGACTATCGAACGGCCATATTAGCTTGGGTTCATCAAGCCAATACCCATATCCGTCGGACCGATTTTTCCCCCAATTATGGCTCAGCAAATTATGCAATGGACGCATCTATAAAGGCTTTTGCATGGCAATCTTGGGCACTCGCAAATCGACCTACCAGATAGGCAAGACGCTGACAAAGAAAAAACATTGTCACTTCACGATGATTGGAAGGGTCCTGAGGTTCCGGGGTTTTGAAGGGCTCTCCCGTCATTATTTGGAGTGCGCATACGTCGATGGGACGATATCCCACCTCAAAGCCGCCAAATGGAATCCATACTTGTTGCTCCGCAGCATCTCCATACCGAAAGCGTCGCCTCAGATTCATCGCTGTCAAACGCCCCTGCAAGCAAGGGGGACGAAGCTTCTCCTCATCTTTAAACCTAGGCAGCGACAGGAGTGAGCTAACAAAGTCATTTGGGTAGGAGAGACTTCCAGTGACTTCTACCAGACCTTCCAAGCCCTGGCCTGGCTTCAGAGTACCTGTCAAAGACGTTTGCTTGCTGGTTTTAGGGAGGGTAAGCACCAAAGGCGAGCCGATTGCTGATGAAGCTGCATGCAAAACTCGATCTGCATTTGTGTTGAGCAAAGTCGTCTAGAAGTTGATACACTCCACCTTAAAATTTGAGGCTTGCTTCGCGTAAAGGACACCAACATCGGTTGCGAAATATGACACTGTCGCCACGACAAGAAAGGCCGCCTAGGCCGTAACGGTGCCACGTCAACATGTTGGTTGTTGTCCAAAAGTGCCACGTCAGCTTCTTGTTTTGTAAGAAAAGCATGGGGTGACCATTTGCGAGCCAATGGACAACCTGACGCCAGAAGAAGACGCTGCAAAACACTAAATGTACTTCTAAAGAGTCTCTTGTGACATAAACATATGACCACAACACATCCTTTCGTCACAAGGAAACACAGGACAAGAGCGCGACGAGGTTGCTGACAAAGAAGAGTCTACTCCTGTCATCTGCAAGTTCGCGCATGCTTTTAAGGTAAGCACTCACATGAGCGGCCGCCAGATATCCGAGCTTCGTTTCTTTGATGTCGGTCGCATCTCCAACCGCGTAGATGTTGTGGTAGCCCTTTACTTGTAGGCATTCGGTCACCTGCAGAAGCAAGCTACGAAGATTTCCGGGGGCAGGTAAACGCAACAGCTCCCGCAATGCCGAAAGCTGTGTGTATTCCATGCCGACTTTTCACGGAAGATTCGAACCACTTTGGATGAAACTGAAGAAAGAGAAAAGTGAGCCAAGAAAAACAACAAGCTCCGGCTAACACGAAAACTCCAACTCCAAAACGTGCTTGCTCCGCACCTGCCCGCCCTAACCCCCAGAGTAACCTACTCGTCTCAGTGCGGTTGCCTTAGTGCTTTTTGTTAGCTTTCTTGAAGTTCGATCCACTTCGGCCTTGCAAGTAGGTTTACTGCAAAGCCTGTCAATTGGCACCGTCCAAAGTCGGGGCACTTCCGGTGTTCGCGTGCAAGGATCAAATCGCCAAACCAGGACTCAAAATCAAGTCAGTTAAAACATTAGCAGATATGAAAAACAAAAAAAATCGCAGAAGGACCTGACCCTCCAATTCTGAAAACGATAGTAAGAGACGATGGCAAAGAACATCTAGGCAAAAAAGGAGGATTCCAATCACGAGAAAAGCTTTTGCACAGCAAGTGGATGCACGCCCAACTTACCTCAATAAAGCCTTTCGTGTTCAGCGGCACCAGCCCCCCTTTCAGAAAGTCGGTGTTCGGTTTTCCGCCAACGGTCATGTATACGATTTCAGCGTCGAAGCTTCGGCCGTCGGCGGTGGAGTACACCCCGTCCGCGTTCTTTGAAGCACGAGTGTTCACGTGGATCTGGAGACGGGATGACCGCATGGCAAACTATCTGGTGTCTCGGAACGAAGTTAGCGCCGTCTCGTCGAAGAAAAGTTGGACTAGTTCAATCGAGTAAGTGACCCGACTGCTTCAATTCGTTGGATCGAACAGGGCAAGCCAGTGGCTGAAGCGCAAACTGCAGTCGTGCCAGAATTTTCCTTGGTTGCCAGGTGATGCGGGGCCTTATCAAATATTAACTTCATGTCAACATACATTGCAATACCGTGGCATCAGACACAGCTGAATTTTGATGAAGCACCTGCCGCCTTAACCCAACCTCACGTTCAACTAATCGTGCCCCTGACGCAGGGGTGCAAAGTCTGCTAAAGCTTGCCTTCCAAAACATAGGAATCGCCGAGTCTGGGGCTCACTGGAAAGCTAGGCAGGTCGGCTGATTGAGCACACGTGATCTTTCTCTCGCTGTGGGCAATCCCAACTTCGGTTCGACCATAAGCCTAGATCGTCAACCCTGAACCTTGAATCCTACTCGCAAAACTAGTGATCACTCCCCTCCACATTGAACGCCGACTCTTGACACCAACAGATGTCGTTTCCTTGAATGAGCACTAACAGGATTCATGGAATGTGAACTAGGGCCGGCGGAGTTTCCTGGAGCCTCACCTCTACTCCTTGTCTTTCGAGATGATCCTTCGCCGCAACCCCAATCTCCGCAGGCTTGTCGGCAATCAGCCGCTCTCCAGATGTAAGCAGAGTGATCTTCTTGTTTGGCATTTTACTTAAGACCTCCCCTGCTAATTCAACCCCCACTATGCCCCCTCCAATGATAAGAATACGTGTGGCAGATCGCAGCCGAGCGTGCTCTTGCTGCAGATGTCGAAAGGAAGGTAAACGTTTTGAGGATGCCCGCAGGGGGAGTCACGTGTTCAGTGCATTGTTAGCGTTCTCCGGAGCAACTTGCCAGGATCAGATTCCCTACAAGCTCGGGTAAGCTATGGTCAGGATTTTCAAGCTATGATCAGGATTTTCAATCCTAGGCCGGGGACGATGCGTGAAAGTCGGAGAGACACCCTTTCGGCGGGACCTGCCTCTTGGCACCATAAGCGCAGCCAGTGATGCAAGCTGCGACTTCCAGTTGAAACTGACAGCTGAGAGCGAGACGTGGTGAACATTCCCAAGCTGCCTACTTACATACTGATCGTCCCTACCAGGCATAGCTACTCACACCGCATGACACAGTGTTGAAACGTCAAGAAACAGGTGGCAAAAATACATGGTAATTTCTTCTCCTAAATAGTGGATGGCACGTCCTACCTGAATGATGTTCTGGCGCTCCTCGAGCGAGTGGCAGAAGGCCTTGATAGGACCTTCCGCATACGTTGACCCAGGCGCAAGGATGAGCCACTCATACGCAAGGTCCCAGGGCCCTGTCAGCGCGCCGTTGTCCACTGTCACATGGTCTTCATGCACTGCAAGGACGCGCCCCTTGACCATCCGACCTGTAGGCAATGTGAGAGTCGATTGGATAAGGTAGACGGTCCTCCCTTGCGCGATTTGCCTACTTGAGATCGAGAGGTCAGTTAGTCAAGTCGACAGGGTTTGACAACCCTGCCTCCTCCAGTTGCATTTTGTGATACGCAGCAATTGGTACGGCCTGATTGCCAAACATGGAAACATGCCTTCGTCTGGAAGGAGTTTTGCTCTGAAGAATGGGAATACGGGTGCAAAGATTGGGATTCGACGGCTGGTGCCAGCAAGGGACAAGGACTTGAAAGCCATTCACAAACCAATTATTTAAGTCTTGAACTGTCACTCAATTTGCCAGTGTTACGTACTATCCAGTACAAATCATGGCACAATTGGACAAGTGTCACACAACCCATCACACAACTACTCTCCTTCAGCTTGCTCAGCAGTGTTATTTTGAGGCATATAAGTCGACCACTATCGCATGTGCAACCAGATCCTGTTTGGTACAGATTGCCCAGCAATACAGCCCTATGAACCAGGGCGGCCCGGACTCAATGCTTTGCATTCGTCATTTTCTCATAAGACCTTGCGACGGCTCATCAGTGGGTGGGTTGACCTCAACCCTGTTACACGCACTATTCAGTGAGCCACCAAGCTCACCTATGTCTGGAATGTCCTCATAATCAATGAGCACCTTCTTGTGCTGGTGTGGTGCGACGAAGGTCTGGAGCGTACCTGAATTCAGCTCGTGGTAGTCCTTCCTGTGAGAAGGAAGAAGGATGCAATCTGGGGAGTGGAAGAGCAACTGTTTAAAGTAAGAGGTGGTTTCGAATGAAAGCTGTAAGCGCTGGATATGAGCATGGCCTACTGCAAGCATCCATGCTCAGAGAAAGAGATGTCTTGAAGCTCTTTTGAAACGCGAACTCTTGATTCTTTTGAGCCTTGCATCAAAAAGCTTCGAATGCAGCTAGGGATGGTCGTTCTAGGCGAGCATGGCAGGCTCCAGAGAACCGCTTGTGATTGAGTATCATGAGCAGCTTCTGCTGATACGTGCATGCGGACTTCCTTGTTGCAAACCACCAGACCTGAGCAACTCAACAAACTGCAAGTGAGGGTGGTTCAAAGCAGATACTCACCCATCAATGATTGTGACATCAGCATGTCCATTCAGACCCCTGGCAGCATTCAAGCCCCCAGGGCCAGCACCAACAATCACCACTTTTGGCTTCTCTGGTCCAAACAACTTCAGTCTGGACGTCCACACGTGCAGTGCTGCCACTTGAGCTTGCAGCTGGCTAAGCAGAGAGTAGAGTGAGGCCATTGCGGTCTGCATTCTGAGGCACCAAGCTGTGGCACAGGACAAGGCCAGCTAAGCGCCACCTCGGACTCGTAGCTTGCTGCCACCCGCAGCCTTAGAGGACACAATTAGCTTCAAGAGGACATTGCAGCTTTCATTGAAAGCTGCATCAGCACGAGCTGCTGAGAAAGTCGACAGAAGACTTCTGCGATGTACTTTCGCGGTGAACTTCACAGAGTACGCCTTGTATCAGAACACCACGAGTCCTACTTCTGTGGGGCCCTCGCATTGGCAGGACAGCAAGCTGGGCCGCAAAAAGCAGTACCGCTGAGAACAACTCTGAGCTCCTTTGCTTCTAGATAGCTGAATCTCAGCACAATCTCAGCTGCTCCTCGACTTTGAAATTGATGCACCTTTGCTTCAGCAGACTACCGCGGCGGCCTTTCCGAGAATCTGCAGTGTGTTGGAACTGGCCAGTTGGAACCAGGTGAAATGGGGTGCAGTTTGCATGCATGCTTGCGCTGTCAGTGTGAGATTCGTTCGTGCCCCAATGCTGAGCTGGAAGCCTGATCTGTCACGCGAGCGGGTTGCGTATTAATTGAACTTTAATAGAAGTAGGACTACCGTATGTCGACGGCGCCAACTCCCACCGCTCAGATGAGCGCGGCCGAGAACGTCGTCGGCTTTAGCCACTCACAGCGCTGATGACGCACAGCTGCACCGTACAGCTTGCACAGCTGCGCAACCCCGGCGCGCAGAACTTGAATGCGCCGGCAGTAAACCCTGCGCAGATCTTCCTAGTTTGCTTCCCGTGCACGATTTGACCCTGCACTGATCATGGAACACTTTGAAATGAACTGCCTGGTTTGATTGACTAGCTAACTTCCTCCTAACTTCACGGCTCTGGCACTCTGCCCGGCCGGTCAGCTTGCAGGCCGTAGCACTTGCATGAGCTAAAGACGTTTGAACAACTGTCATTTGAAGAAATGAGCCCAACTATAGAGCAACAATTAAAGAGCTCAGAACCCGCTCAGAAACAGCAAGGCACTAGCAATTCTCCCCGTCGCCTGGCCCAGCAGAGCTACCGCTCTGCAATTGGATACTGGCATTTCGCTTGGGTGCATTCTGACTGCAATCACTTTGAAGGCTTCCGGACTCATCAACGTTATGCTCCTCTCTTCAGGTATGAAGAAGATCATCTCGGCTCAGAAGACTTGACGTGCTAGGTTGTGCAGTGGTTTTGTTGGCTTTGACCTTGCAGTGATACCATGCAGGCTTTGGAGCTGCATGTTGTTGCAACCCAAGGCATTCTGCGTGTCACATGCCTAATCTTACGCAAACCTCCGTCTGCGGTAGCTCTACTGGGCAAAGCTTGTGGGAGTCGCAGAACACGTTGCTAGGGACTTAGCAAAAGCAGAGCTTAGGTTTGCAATTCAAAGAATAAACAGTAGGAAAGGACTCAAAACTAAGTACAGTGTAGTCCGTTATGACCTTTCATTGATTTGGACGTCGTTTCAAGCTAGCATTGCAGCTGCATGGTCTTGTATACCGGAGCACCGGAGCGTCCATATCTCTGCTTTCTGGCATGCAGTGAACCATTCATGATTCTCATGGTATGATCATCATGGGCATGGTGATCGGATCACCATGCCCAATATCTGAGAGCTAATTTATGACAGTGAAGCATGGAAGACGGAACAAGTATCTGCATGACTTGTTCTTCAGATTGAATCGTCCTTGCTATCTTGTGGACCGCTTGTTGAAGTGGTGAGGATGCTTCCGGCTCTGCCATTCGTATACTAGTGGTAGCGAGTGGCCGCGCCCGCCCTATAGCCCTCTTCTAAAGAACTAAAGAATCAGTTTTTTAATACGAGAATAGTGCATGACACAAGTCATTCCCAACAAGTCCATCCTGCATGATATAGTCCCTGTCAACGTCAGTGCAGCCTCGTGTACACGCTAAGTAGATTCACCATCATTGATGCATATATGCACCATGTATGCATTAACATTCTGATTTTGATGCATCGAACATGCATCATGGCATCCGATCATGGCATGCCTGGCCGGGCAGCCACCGCTGAGGCTGCCGGCCAACGATCCGATTAATCAGGTGGAGCACCGTACGCAGCGGCGTGCCGCCTACCGCGCACTGCATGCGGCATGCACTACTTGCACTTACGCAAAACTACCGACCGATCATATGACAGTGAGCATGCACTGAGGCGATGCCATGATGGCCCAAATCTGAGTCCGACTGAGATGCATGCGGCATGGTCGGTTGGATTCCTTTTGGTAATCAGCCAGATCAAGAGGAGGGAATCTTTCGTAGAGTATGCGTATAAGGCTGCTTGCCATCGTCTTTTTGAAAGGCGTCCACCAATCATTTTTTGGGAAGGTTTATCGTCTTAAGGGAGACCGACGTTGACGATCGACAGAATCGGCTGCCGTATACAGAGGTGTCAAAGGAGTCCTTGGCGCTACACATCTTTGGCATAGGTGGCTGACCCATGTTCTCGAAACCTTCAGATCAATCAGCGCAGCATCCCTCCCACCGGAACTGTCCCTAAACTTACTCGATGAACGAACGACGCCTTGCCTGAGCGGGCCGTCATGATTTCTTTTGTTCGCTTTGCCGTTTGATCTTGGATGCTTGATCTCTTTCTTGAGCGGCTCCAGAAAGCTTTGACGACAACCAATCTTCAACAATTCATCAAGTACCTGCTCAGAAATGGACGTTAGAGGATAACAAAGCTTTGTTAAGATTTCTAGGTTGTATGATAAAATACTCCAAGCTTTGAAACACTGTGCAGAAGCTGAAAGAAGCAACGGACAAACAAAAACTAAGTGATGGCCGTGGGGTTACTATAGACAGGCCAAAACCGAAACCATTCCTAGGCAACTTTACGATAGCGCAGAAGTCTGGAAAACACACGACGTGCCACCTACCATCTCAGACTGGAAACGACCTGCAAAAGAAAGAACACAAATGAGGAGCTAAGCCTATTCTGTCTCAAAGGTAAGTCTCATGAGCACGCTCAGCTTCCATTGTGCACATCCGTTTGTGCAACCATCGACTTTAGCTCTTCGTGCCCCCTTCACGTAGTCAAGCAGACCTAAGGCAAATCAATACCCCAGTTGCAAGATCTTCGTCCCCTGCTTTTGCTTTCAAAAAATTTCCAGATCCTACTTGATAGCAAACAAATACTAAGCAAGTCAATCAAGCGAACGGTAAGAAAGGTTTGATAAGCTTGCCCTTCATGCCGTACGCCCTGAGGCTTCCGGTCGTCCTGCCGTTGCAGCCCTCCCCGCCCCTAGTTCGCAAAGAAACTCACGTTACAGAGTGCAGCGCTAGTGATGGGCTCACGCTTGAACTCAACGCCACTGATTATTGATAGTACCATTTATGTACGGCGAGATGTTGGAATCGCGTCTTAATCTAACGTCCTTGAAACTTGAAGTACTAGACCCTTAAACCTCCTAAAGCCCGTTGACCCGCGTTACTAACAAGCGAAGCTCCTCCGCAGCCCTCTCTTCTCCCGCCTCTCTACAGCGTTTCGCCAACTCGTCCCATAACCCACTTTCGGCTCTCGGTTGTGCTAGAACCAACGCCTCGAAGACGAGCGGGATGCTCCACGACTCAAATAGCTCAGCCCGAATTGCGGGCCCGTCGGAACTACTCTTTAGCCCAAGCTTGCCGCTTGCTAAGCTGAGGGCGACGTTTCCAGGGGTGCACCGCAAAAGGTGCTCTAGAGCGGCAACTAATTCTTGTACTCTTTCCGGCGAAACCTCACCCCCGCGTCCGTTGAGGAGGCTTTTGATCTCCGGCAGCCATGCGGAAATGACGTGGTTCACCAAAGAGTAGTCCCAGGCGGTCTTGTTCCACCAAGCGTGACGGAGTTGCTCTCTCAAGCCCTCGCTCGTGACGTCATCCCAAGGGGGCGCCAAAGGGCGCAGCTCGAGGGCGGGCCACCGAGCCCCCCCCGAGCCACGTGGCAAGAGTGACGTCAGCGCGGCCAGCGCGACGTCCGAGGTGACGTCAGCCGCGAATGTCGCGCGCTGCTCCGCGACGAGCCGGACGTGTTCGCGCGACTGCGCGAGCGCTTCCAGCGACTTCGCCAACTCGTTGGCTTGAAGTTGGTCGCCTTCGAGAGACGCCTTTAGAGCGCAACAGCAGAGAGCCTCCACGCAGTCTTTCGGCGACCCGTGTAGCGTCCGCTGCAGAAACCGCAACGCGGCTTCGTCTGATGTCCACTCTCGCAGCAGCTCGGCGCATCTCAGAACCGCTAGGTACTGGTCGCCCTCCGCTTCCGTTGCTGATTCCGTTCCGTTGAGCGATTCCGCTATGGGGAGCAAGCTCTTGAGCGCCTCGCTGACCTCCCCGTCGCTCTTCTTTTCCGGACGTCCGTTTTGGCCGCTCACGGGCGTTGTCCGCAATAGCATCGTTGCGCGCCTGTATGCCAAGTCCGTATGCCCCGGGTAAACTTCTAACAGCTGGTCACACACCGCGAGCGCCTGGTCAACCCCCAATATGAGCCCCGTGACAGATACGCTATGGCTCGCCAAAGATTGGAGACCCAGCCGCCACGCGTGCGTCGCTTCCTCAGACCCGCCCTTGCTTTCGCTCGCTCTGAAACTAAATTCGTTGGCTGCGATTTGAAAGACGTGTAAAACGGCCACCTCTGACCCCCGGATGAGTTCAAGCCTAGACTGGTCAAGCCACGTTTCTTCTGGAGACACCAAGACTTGCGCGAAGCCGAGCCTAGAGGAGGTGCAGTTCGGTAAGACTCCGTATGCTAGCAAATGCGCGCAACTAACCCACAGCACGACACTATCCGAGGGGGTTAGGCCACTCAGAAACACACGCCCGGCGTTTTCTACTTGTGTTTCGTGCGACGGCGCATCTGCGGTTGCTTGCGCGAGCAATGATTGGACTTCGGCGATAACCGCTTGATGGTCGCCTGATTCTGAATGGAGGTGCGGTTGTCGGAGAGTGAGGTCTAACAGGGCTGCGCTAAGGTTAACAGGGTCGCTGTCCTCCTTAACCCGCGTGGTTAAGGAGGAGGTTATGCTAGAACACGCGCGCTGGCAGATGCGAAGCTTGCCTTCGAGAGTGGTTCGAGTGTTGAGGTAGAAGACCCACAGCGCGTAAGAGCTAGGGTTGAAGCGGACCTACACGGAGGCAGAAACGGTGTACCAAGCTCTCACTAACTACAGGAAAGAGCAAAATCAAGCAACCAACTTGAGAGATTCGCAGATTCTGCACACGCAGCACGTAGACCAGATTGGTTGTTGACAAGCAAGTCCTTCCAGAGGAACTTTCAGAAGTCATCAGCGCGCAAACGAAAGATAAGAAGCAGACCAAGCAGCTTTGGGCAACTGAAAGACAACAAGGCGGGTTTGCTCTGCAATAGACACGCTGACCTATCCCATGGAAGTGAATCGAAACTGCCAATCGAAGGACCTCAAACGAACAACGGCTTCCGAGACAGCAACGGATGCACTCTTCCAAAATACGGACTACGTCAAAATGGGAACGCCTTTGCATGCTCGAATCAGTGTTTCGAGGGGTCATGATGCTCGACCAACAACACAAAGCAAGACGCAACAGACCGGTCCGATAGATGGGCCCAGCGATCCCACTCCTGCTTCTTGATGTCTACGGCTTGCGAAAACTTGGCGACGCACTTCCGGGACCAATTAACGCCTTTGAATAGATTGACTCTGTGTCTTGCAGCCGTGACGCTGGAGTTACAAAACTAGACGGACTCTCAGAAAGCAGATCGCTCAGGGAAGAGTACACTTACTGCTGCCTCGCTTTTTTTCTCCGGCTCGCAAATGAACGAGCAACACACTTTTCAGAAAGCGCATGCGCTTAACGCACGACTTGCACAGTTGTGCGTCGGAAAGACCACCATTGACTTCCACCCAGAACGGACAGAGTTCTCCAAGATAGCGACGGAACCCTAAAGAGCAAATAAATTAAAAGGAAAAGGCCAGGCGAGCTCACTGCTGCCTCCATCATCTCCACAGCTTCTTGGTCGTCCTTGGCCCTCCGTATGAAGAGCTCCAGATACACGGCCCAGAGACAGGGCACCTGCCGGTTCCCCTCGAGGGCGCGGGCTAAAATCGCCAGCGCCTGTGGGAATAAGTAAACAACAAAATAAATGAAAAACAATGGTACACCATGGGCAGATAGCACATTCCATGCTGTCATCAATAACGACGTTCAGTAACGCAAATTTAGCCAAGGCTAACAGGTCAGTCCATGAGTAACGCCCACCGGTTTTGCAGGCAAAACGATTGATATTCTTTCAAAGCGGAATCTGATGGGTGTTTAAGGAGGCATAAGCAGATGCATCCGCATTTTGGCGCCTCCTCTACTGGACTCTTTTTGTACCCGTCGCTCCACGATCTGGTATTGACTTTCGCGTAACAAGCATACATAACATGAATAGATTCACCTAGATAGAACGGAAATTGACGTATAAAACATGGAACACACACCTGGTCCAGCTTCTCGGTGTTTCGGGTCTCCAGATTGTTGTCGACGATGTCCAAAGCCCGTTGAAGAGCCTCCTCCCAGGACTCGTTCCCGTCCTGGAAGAATACACTGGCGATTGAGCAGAACAGCGTGGGGTGAAGACATTCTTTTTTGAAAGGCCTGTTTAACAAACCGCAATTTTGGGTCCAATTCGAACGCAGGACGCATTTGGGGCCAACAGAAGTCAGAGGCAAGTCCTAAAAGGGAGCTTACAACAGATACCATCAAGCAAGTCACGACCTGACATTCGCTTTCAGAACCCATTGAAGAGCAACAACAGCGAACGGATTTGTCAAACAGGCCCAAGATGATCCTGGCGAAATCCCGCTTCGCTGGTCTATTCCGAGCGAGGCCAACCGATTCATTTCACATTCAAATAACAGACATAATCTCCTCTCTAGTTGAGCAATTCACGATGCTTTTTCTAGGTCTCGAATCTATGAAAAAATCCGCATGAATAACAAGGTCAGTCTACTGGACAGGAACAAAGTAACAACCCCAATCAAAACGATCACCTCGGTCCGCACCCAAACCCCGCCTAAGCACCGAAGTTACCGCACCCGTCCCCCAAGCATGACGTTAACATTCATATGGCTTATTATTCGTACAACTGAGACTTACACGCTTTTGGGCAAGTTTGGCAAGCGATAGCTCAAAGCCTACTTCACTACTAACACACGGTCCTTGACAATTTCAGAACAAAAACATACAAGAGCCAGCAGACTCAAAAAGAATCCCCCGACTCCCTGGACGTGCCAGCCAACAGCCAACGCTCAACACAAGCCTTCACCACTTGCCACCTTGAAACAACTCCCCGCAAAGAAAACCATGTCTCACCCCGTTCTCTACCGCTTCCACCCGTTCCCAGTACCGCCACGTCGACGGCGCAGTCCCGTCGTCCTCCCGCTCTAGTTCGCCTATAAACGGCATGCCCGCAGTGACCGGCCGCACAAGCCCGGGGGACAGAACCGGGGAGGCGACGGCGCGGGGCGTGCTGAAACCACGGCCGCTCGGGAGGGGCCTTTCTCGGTGGTCCATCAGGTAGTTGCCGACGCGGTAGATTGGAATGGGCGCTTCGTTCCTGAGAGAAAGTGACGGAGGTTGGGCTTATGATTTTCGTTTTGTTGATCAAGGGTTTGAAGCCAGTCCGCTTTGACGGGGGGTGTTAAAACCGCGGTTGCACGCGGAGGGGCCTTTCTCGGTGGTCCATCAGGTAGTTGCCGACGCGGTAGAGTGGGATCGTCGCTTCGTTCCGGAGACAAAGTGACGGAGCTTGAGACATCGCTTTGTTAAGAGATGCACTTTCGCCTGAGTCGGTCCACCACTTGCGCGGCCCACGTTTCAGAAATTATCACCTTTTCCCCAGGTCTCTTTCAAGCACGACAAGATCTCAAGGGTCTTTAGTCTTCTAAATGCTTTGAAAACTAGGACTTTGGGGCGTAAAATGGATAACACTACCACTTCTTGAGTGCTGACTCAACCAGCGGCGGCGCCGGGATGCCCCTTCCGCCCGAGTCGGTCCACCACTTGCGCGGCGCACGCTTCGAGAATGAAAACCCGTTCCCAGGTCCTTGTTGAGCACGATAAGACCACAAGGGTCTTAGTCTTCTAAATGCTTTTGTAGATTCGGAGTTTGAGGCGTGGACTGGAGGGACATACCACTTTTTGAGTGCTGGCTCGACCAGGAACGGGGCCGTGATGCCCTTTCGCCAGGTTTGTTGCACCACTTGCGCGGCGCGTTCTTCAAGAGTCGTGACCTTGTTTTCGGTATCTTTTCCTCGCAGGGTGTCGGTTGCCGCGCCGTACCTGCCGTGACAAGAAGACGGGCCACAATAAGCGTAGGAAGAAGATCAGGAGCTGCCTATGTGTTTCTCCGCACTTAAACACTTCCGTCAGGAAGAGCGAGCTGAAAGGAAACGAAAAAGCCTGAACTAAGGACAGCTTAAGACTTGAAGGCCTGAGGCGGCAACGTCTCTGCCCCGGAAGGCGTCTCTTGTCTGCCACGGTCCCCAAATCTGTAGCACAAGCAGCGGAACGGCAAAATGATTGAAAAGCGGCCCCTAGCCCGCAGCATTTGCGGCTGATAATCACATGTAGTCCAATCCTTGCTGCAGATCTTTCTTCCTTGGCTCCTGCCAACGCATTTTTCGCCAGAACATGTTATCCCTGTCACAAGAAGAATGGAAACTGACTGTGAGCTGGCTCAAGAGCCCCTTCTCTTTCGACATATCATCGCGCATGCTGATACTTGCACCCCGTCTCGCTACACCTCTCACGGATCGCCCTCTATCGCACACAGCGGCCAACCTCTTCCAAACAAACTGATGCCCGTCACAACAGACTGAAATCTTACCCTCGAAGTTGCGCCAACAGCCCCTTCTCCTTCAGCACGTAGTCGCGGGCGTGCTGATACTCGCACCCTTTCTCGCTGCACCGCCCGGACAATACTTCCGTCGCACACAGCGGCCAGTTTGGAAGCACGGCGTTGCTCCACGTCAGCGACTCAAGCTTCCGTCCCCAAACCGTTCCGTACTGGGGGGTCAGCCGGAACGACCGGAAGGCTGTGAGCGCCCCTGTGAAAGCACCCCCCGGGGGAGCGGTTTCGGCCAGCAGCGTGGCAAGTCGCTCTTGGAGCGGGTTTGGGGGTTTGGGCGCATCCAACGGTTTGAGGTTTTGCCGTGGGTCCAGATTTAGAGCCTCTGCGGATTGGGGGGCTTTTGAGGAACTCGGTGTATCAGGCATCGATGGATTAACGGACTTGGGGGCTGGTTCGGAGCCGCACTTCGGAGATGCTCCCCTGACTTCGAAGCTGCTGTGGTGCGGAGAAGTCGACGTGCTTGCCTCAATGGGGGTTGGCTCCACTTCGAGCGAGGCGCTTGACGCAAGCGCTGGAATTGATTCAGGCAGAGGCTCTGAGAGCACATCGGCAGTAAGAGCCTGCAAAAAAGGGGAGGCGGTAACTTAGCAATCTGGAAAACGTGCACTACTGGCAGTTGAACAATGGCCTGAGGATATTTCGCAGCACTTTGCCTGCTGACGTTAAAGAAATGAAAGTCACAAAGGGAAGTATGAGGGTCCTGGTCGGAGCCGCAGAACCAGTCCTGTCGGAATCTTGAGAGACACACAAGAGTCAGTATTGCCAACGACAACGGACAAATTCAGATACACATGCACGGATTAGTGCGGCTTTGACGTCAATTTCCTTCAGTCCTCACAATACGCCTGCTGATAACCCTCTTTTCAAGGAAGCTGGCGCTCCTCGGTATCCATCATCAGAAAGCCCAACTAGCCTGGCTATTAGCAGAGCCACAGTATTCAGGATGGATTGCGTAACCGGGCTAGAAAGCTCACGGGAGATCAATGTCATAATAACTTGGCCGTTTAAGCAGTAATCGGAACCGGCATATCCATGTCGCCAGGACATGTTGTGTCTGCAGTCACCTTCGGCTTTGGACCACAAGCTCTCAAATGCACTCAGTTCTGACTCAGTGAGTAGCGCTTTCAATCCCAAAGAATTAGTCACGAGCTTTGCCAAACTCTTCGTAGCCCACTTACTGGATCGTTCCGCGCGGTCGTCTCCTTCGCAGCCAACCCGTTTTCACCATCCGCCTCACTCGGCCCCTCCTTCTCCTCCCCTCTCAACCTCTTCGGCAGATGGCCGTCCGCCTCCACCCGATACCGAACCGGCGCTTTCCCGTCACTCTCAGGGGGACGTTTTCTCCCTACTTCTTGCCCCCCTGCACGAGCCCCTTTCTCTGCTACTTGGCCCAAGCGTGCGCCGCTCTCTGCCGCTGGTTGTGCGGACTCCACGAAAACGTGCATTCCCGCTGCAATTGCTTGGACTCTTAGACCTTCCGCTCCCCCTTGGCTCCCTCCTTCCCGCTCCCCCTTCCGCGCCTCCGAGCTCGATACGACTAAAAACGCGGAACCTTCCGGCGACTCCCCTCCGATAGGCTGAGGCAAATCCGTCCCGGCCAAGTCTACCGGGCTCTCCATCAGTCCCTTGCTAAGTCCTCCCTTCTGCCCGGGGGCACCTGCACCAGGGGCTTGCTCGCCGACACGGTCTGGCGCACCGACGTCTCGACCCCCCCGCAGATCCGCACTCGAACTACGCCTCTCAGTGGCTCCTTCTCCGTGCGCTGTCTCCCCGGAGATTGCCCCCCCGGGCGCTTTTCGGCCGTCCGCGATGTCTCTTTCGAACTCCGGCACTGAGGCCACGGTAACTGGATCCCCAACCGCTAGCCCCCCCGGAACTTCACGCTGCTTCGTCTCACCAGCACCGCTTGGCAAAGCTGCATACGTTCCCGCAGCCTCTGGAGATGCATGCCTTCGGGCCGCTCCGTGCGCTCCCCGCCTATCGGCAGTCAGCTCCTTGACTGAAACAATTGCCCCCCGAGATGCCGCCCCCTCGTCCCTGGAAACCACTTCTGAAACACCACCTGAGACGCCTGCCTTTTCTGGCAATCCGCTAACGTGATTGGCCGGTTCTGCGCGCGGCTCGCGCTCTTCCAGCTGGCTCACCACATACCCCCCTTCATGCTCCTCATGCGTCCAGACTGCACCGTCCCCCCCAGTTGCGATTCCGGGACCCGCGCCCGAGGCGGCCACCACTAAAACCTCAGCTAACCCCTCTGCTAACCCCTCTCTCGCCTCCACTGCCTGCCGCACACCATCCTCGATCCGCAAACCACCATTTCCTGCACCTAACCTCTTCTCTTGTGCATCCGTCCCGCCATCTCGTTGCCCCCTCCCACGCACCTGCCGCAGCCGCTTCTCCATCCTGTCCCGCAGTTCGAGCTCCACCCGTAGCCGCCGGTTCGCCTCCAACTTCTCCCGCATCACCAGAACCCTCTCCCTCGCTTCCCGCTCGGCCTTCTCTGCCTCGGAAAGGGCCCTCTGCAACTCTTCCCGATTCCTCCCCCACTCCGCCGCCTCCGCCTCCCCCTCCCGCAGCCCTGCCCAGCAGCGCTCCTCTTCTTGGGCCAGCGCCGCCAGCTGGCGCTCCGCTGACGTCGCACCCGGCTCCGCTGACGTCACCCCGAGCTCGAGCGGCACCAACGCACCGGCGGCTGCTGACAGCTCCGCTGGAACGGGGGCCAAGGTTTTGGGCACAGATGGAGCGGGCTCGCCAGAAGTAATTCCCTGAGGGGTAGAGATAGGCTTCGAAGGGGACCTGGGTCCCAACGGAGCTGCGGTTGCGCCGTCGGGTGCTGCCTGCAGAGCGACCCCAGTAAGCTCCTTTTCTAGCTTTGGCTGCTTGAGCGGGGGGCGGGAGACGTCAGCAGGGGAGGCTTTCCGTTTTGGGGGGCTGGCTCGGCCAGATTCTGCAGCGCCTTTCCCTTCGAGAGGCTCTTTGAGAGGGGCCGGAACATTGGCGGACCTCAGTTCCTTCATTCCCGTCTGTGACATCAGCGTGGTGCTTGGTTTGGCTGCAGGAACTGCGACTGGGCCTTGAGGCTCGTCTGGCTTGTGTTTGGACTTAGGATTGGGATTCCCCCTCTCCAATTCCACCATGCCGACTCCTGTCCGGGACCCATCGTCCACACCTTGACCCTTTTGCGGTAGCACAGTCTGTTTCTTCTGGGGAGCCCGCGGCAAAGATTCTGACCCCTTCTCACCCACACCACCTTTGCTGGAGTTCGACACTCCAACTACTGTTTTAGGGGATACCACCCCGCCTGGCGCAGCCTTCACTTCCCCTAACCGAGCGAACACTCCCGGTGCCCCACCTCCAGTTGCAACTTTTTGGGGACTCCCCCCGGCCGGCCGCTTGTTCTCTTCCTTGACCCCAACAGGTTGCGCGACCGCTTTCCGTTTCTGGCCGACTGGGGGGGTTGCGGGCCGTCCCCCCTTGCTCGTTTGCTTCATTTCCTGCTCCATTGACGCCACCTTTCTCCGCATCTCCTCAAGAGCTGTCTCGACGGACACCGCTTTCGCCACAATCTTTGTGTTTGGCCCTGGTTTCTGGCCCCCTATTACTGACACCACCAACCCCTTGCCCCCGACTGCTAACGACCCTTTCAGAGGCCCCAGTCTCCCAGCAAACCGGGACAAGGGCCCTGGGTTCCCCCCCCCCGATTCGGGCCTCCCCCCGTTACTCCTGCTCTCGCTCTCCTCGGCAGGAACGCTACCCTCGCGGACATTCCTCCCGCCCTCTAGTTTCTGCAGCTGCTGCCGAACGCGCTCCATCTCGCTCTGGAGCGACTCCCCCGCCGAGGCCTCGTCCTCACTGTCGTCGCTGAAAGTGAACACCAGATCGGTGCCGTCCTCCTTGCCAACAAGGCCCCCACTTCGGAGGTTCGCCAGGAAACTCTCAGCCTTAGCCGCGCCGTCGACACTTTCACTTCTCTTAGTGACGCCGATAGGAAGCGCCTTCTGGGGGGGCCCTTTTGCTGGCAGACGAGCCCCACCGGAAGAGGCGAGCCCCCTCTTCTCGGTGAGAGCTTTGGAGGGTCTCGATGGGGGCGTGGACCTGTTGACGCGGCTCTGTGGGGGCTGGCTGGAGCTGCGCTCCGGTGCATTGTCACGGGCAGCAACGGAGAGGAGAGTGCTCGAACTGGGTATCTTTCTCAGGGGGCTCTGCTTGGAGGGGATCCGGGGCTTTGCGGCTTGGGGTGGAGGTGGGGGGGCAACTGTGGAAGATGAATCATAACTTTAGTCATTCTTTATGCTGGAAATCTGATTGATTTGGTGCAGCTTAGGCCGCTGCATTGGAAGAGGGTCGCTCGATCCTCTTTGAAGAGGTGGGTGTCGGCAAAGTTAGACAAGCACAGTATGAACATGGGTCACATTCTAGAGGACCTTCAAAGTGCACATGTCACAGAATGCAGACAACAACGTTCAAGGCGGCTGAGAACCAGAGACAGCGGAGTGCCGGCAGCATAAACTGAAAACTATTGTAGGTCAACCGGCACCGATCCAGACTGACACAAAGAAAGCATGCTTACAGAACTACGTTCCTCAGACTTACTGAAGAAGCATTGAAGCAAAGCATCATAACCAGTGCGGGTGCCCATTTCAAGTAGTGCAGTATCTTAGGAGCGGATCGGGTCAACAAACTCCAAGTTCCAACCATCAAGCCATAGGTGTTGCCAGGAATGTCAGGCACTTGGTTCAGATCGGCCTTTTTTATTGACTTCAAGGGTTGACCAGAGATGTTGACTTGCTGGGTTGACAAGAGTCAAACACCGACATCGAGGATTTAAAACATGTTCATGTTTCTACTGCCTCTGCTTCATCATGGGCAGCGGCAAAGATAAGCCATCAGCGACCATTTCCAAAATAAGATCACTGAAGTTGTTCGCGCATGCACGATGGAAAAGAACCCCATCTGAAGCCAACCAAAAGATGCATTCGTGCCAAGCGTTTCTGCCCTAAGAGATCCAGTTGTGCATCATCAACCACTCCAGATTCTGCAAAACGCAGGCCTAAACAGGCCTAAACATCCATTTCGGCAACATCCTGTCCTCAATAACCATCACAGAGTCCAACAGAGAACAAAGTCCATTATTCAAAATCCGCACAAACACCTACACTCACAAGCTGATGGTGAGCAGAATAAGTCAACCACTCAATCATCACCTTTTTCCTCCTGCGCGACACTCGTGACAAACAGGCTGGCCCCCAACATGCTCAGGTCATCTTTCACAAGCGGAATGATCATTCCCCGTGCCAGTCCCAGGAGGGCACCATTCTCGCCTTCGGCTGCCGCAAGCACAGAGACCATTTCCCCAGCATGGTCCCCCTCATTGCGTATCGGCGACCACTCTTCGTTCGCACCAGTTTCTGACTCCATTCTTCCACGGTGTTACATCATCCCAATGTTATGCATCGTCGGCAAAGGGCTAGTCGTTTGCATCTTGCAGGCTTTTAATGTGACTTTTAAGGCTTGTGTACCATGCTGGACCATACTGGACCAATGCTTGCAAGCCTGCGCTCCATCGCCATTGGCATTGGTTGCTCAGCTCACGGTGACACTAACAATGTCCCCACTCCAGACATAGCAAGCAGTGGGAACAAAGAGGACGGGTTATTCCTTCGTTAACCTCCCGGTTAACGACACTGAACATGCTTGGCGATCTGCGCACACACCCAGAAGTAGGTTGGGCGGTCGGAGGGTTACGGATTAGGGTTCATGAACTGGCGTCACCCTCTTACGGAGCCACATTTCTGCTGAACAAAGGACAGTCTTTCAGCTGGTGAGGTGAAATCGGGCGGCAAGCCCGTTTTTCTGCCACTGATTTTGCCACAGTTTAACTCAGACACGTTCTCTGCTGAGCAGTTGGTGCAGTTGATCAAGCACAATTCGATGCCAGAAGAGCTGCAGTAAAAGAAGATGCAAGGCGCCCAAACGATCTGCAGTGTAGAAGACTGCAATTCTCTGCACATATAAGCAGACTGCAGTTTGAGGTACACACCAGCACGGCAGCAGCTGAAGTGTGAAAGCTTCTTGGGTACCAGGTAAGGTTGATTCCAGGCCCAATCAAAATCCAGTGTCCTTGATGGTGTCTGCTGTGGAATCATACTCTAGAACAAGCCACATCCTTTTGTGAATGAGAACCTGTTGTGTTGAGCTTCTCAGACCTGAAATGACACTGTTGTGAAAGGAGACAGCTTTATAGCCTGTGCTTATCAAAAGCTGACCACTGGAGTATATTCAGAGACTGCCTTCCTTCTGCAGCTTCTTCGTTCTTGGCAGAACTGATGGCAGTTCATCTTGAACAGATGGCAACCCAAGGTGGCAGAGCGCCTTTGACCTTACTGGGAAACTGGCATCTGGTTCTGGACTTCTGACAATAGCCTAGCACGTTCATCACGTACATGAAGCAGACAGCTTCTGGGTTTGACGTATTTCAAGTTATGCAATTGGGGCTCAAAAACAGCACACATTCTTTGACCTGGCGATTTCATCTTTCAACAATATCCCTGAAAGTGCTTTCTGGCTGAAACCCCACCCGGATTGATCAGCTCCCATCTACCATGGTGTCTGCCCTTGGTCGTAGTAATCTTTAGCCGCTATCTTTGTGTGCCTTGATTCCTTTCCAACACTCAGATCAGCAACAAAGGGATTATTAGTGGTCATTAAGTCCACAGAATTTTAATCTCATGAAGTCCACAGATTTGGTTGTTCCAGTTTCCTGTATGTGAGGAAGCTGTTACGAAAGGCTTGGTTTTTCCAGTTCCTGCGATTTGAAGAAGCTGTCATGGAGATTCTGAGAAGTAACACAGTTTTTGTGTCTGCAGAGGAGTGCAAAGTGTGCAGCCCTGCATCAGTACATTCGTCGTTCGAGCAATCACTTCTTACGCCAACTTCCTGTTGCTCAGATTAGGGACTAGGTGAGTGCTGCTTGGTTGTCTTTGCCCTCTTTGCTGCACAATAAGAGGAATTCTGTTCGTGTGGCTATTATCAATAGTAGTGAAGAAAATTGGTGGGGAAAAAGCTCGAAGTCTACCAGGCGGATGATGCTACTTTCAAAGACAAGCCAAAAACTTCTCATCAAGCAATCTGGCATACTTTGTTTGTGAAGTCTCCTGCCAAGAAGTTGCGGGTCAAGTTTTGATGATGATTTCTTTCCTGCAATTCAAAGTCTGCGAATTTAAATCCTCCGTCCAGATCAATCTCCTGACACTCAAGTGCTCATATACCGAACATTTCCTCAGTGTTCAGTGACCATTACTACCTTGCTTTGACGAGAACTATCTTCATCCTCTTTTGCAGATCCCTGTTTCAACAGCGCTGCGAAATTGCAGCATGCAACCGGCGGTCCCTTCAACAGATTCTCCTGTCCTTCGAGGATTTCCCTTGCCCTCTGATCAGATTGCTGACCCTTCTCGGGAGACAGCAGTTAGCTTCGAGTCTCAGCTTTATGAGGCCGAGCCCCCCAAAACCCCGCTTAACCCGGTCTTAACCCAGTCAACCAGTCCTAGTGGAGGAACTGGTTTGGCTGAACTCAAGGGGTTTCGTTTGGGTGACGTCGACAACCCCCGGGGAACAGCTGTCAGCTTTGCTGCGGGTTATCAGCCAGGGGCATCAACACCGGAAGTCAAAACCCGCTCAATACTGTCCGACGTCCCTGCACCCCGGCCCCTAAAACCTCCCCCTGACCAGCTCAAAAGACGGGCCGACGCTGACCCCCCGGTGCTAAAGGGGTTTCGTTTGACACCGGATGAGGCCCACGCCCGCGACGCCGCGCTGAGCTTCTTCAGAGGCAGCTCCCCAGGGAGTGAAGAACCGTTGCAATCGCCAGCCTCAAACCCTTCCTTCGGGGGGGGCGTTTCCTCCTTTTCTCACCCCCCCGCAAGTCACGCCTCGGCAGTGGCACCGAAGCAAGGGGGTGATGTCGAGTCGCCCGTTCTGAGGGGTTTCCGGCTCCCCGACGGGGGCCCTTCCAGCCCCCCCACTAGAGACGCCGCAGTCAGTTTCGATGGGCCGCAGTCTCCAGCGGTCATTTCACACCGCCCGTTGCTGCGCCCTGTCACAGAAGACCCCCCCTCCGCCCCCGACGTCGGCCTCTGCATCGTTCTAACTGCCGACAGTTCCCCAAACCCCAGCCTCGGGAACTCCTTCAACAGTCCCAAAACCATAAGCCCTGGAAACACTAGCCCGGCTGGTCGGTCAATCATCAGCCGGGGAGAGGGGCTCGGCGGCCTGCCCAAGGGCCGGCTGACGTGGAATGATGTCATCAATGGGGCTTCTGAAGAGAATGCAGGGACGGGCAAGGGGTTAGGCGAAGCAGGTGCCACTGAAGCGGCAGATGCAGATTGCGGAGAGGAGTCTGATGACGTCAGCGATGGACAAGAGGAACCGGAGGGCGTAGTGTTCAAGCGGGTTGTGGCGGAGGGGGATGATGTCACCCTAGGTGCGGGGGCGCGCAAGGGCGAAGATGATGACGTCAGCACGGCCGAGGTGGGGTCAACGTCAGAGAGCCGTATGGGAAGAAATGACGTGAAGCTGACCTTAGATGTCGAAAAGGGAGGTTTCAAAGGAGTGGTTGCATCCGGTCAAAGGATGGGAGCGGAGCAAGGGCAGGGGATGAAGGGAGGGGGAAGCGACACAAAAGAGGACGGAACGGCACAGCTTCAAGGGAAGTCTGCAGCAGCGTCGGGGAGCCCATCCGGTCCCGTAGAAAGAAGCGTGGAGTCGCTTGAAGAAGATTGGCACGGGGAAGGGGAGGCTGAAACGGAGGCGGCAAGGGGCAGCGGATCGAGATATAAGGTCACAGGGAACGCTTGGACCGGGATGGATCTGAACGGAACGGATTGGGGCAGACCGGAACCGACGGGAGTGCAACGGACTACCGGTGGGAAGCGGCCGGACGCGCAGCCGCAGAAGGAGTGGGCGGACTCCCATGAGGACGTCAACGAGCCGGTCATCTCAGCTGCACGGGCGTTCAGTCCGAAGCAGAAGGCGCCAGTTTTAGGGTCACCTTTTCGGGCCGAGGGCCTGCGTTCCGGGGGGGATGTGTCGAGGTCACCCAGCTTCGAAAGGCTGCCGAGCTTTTCGGACAGGGAGGGGTCCGAAGTCGTGTCCGCAGCGAAGGCGTTCAGCCCGAAAGGGGGGGGTAAGACCAGGCTGGGGAGTACGGAAAAGTCGGCCACTCAGGACGAGGAGGAGACGGGGGCGAAGAACGGGCGGCAGAGTGTCGATGGTCGGGGGCACAACGCGCACGGGTCTGCAGAGTTCGAGCATATTGCTGAACATGTTTCAGCTGCCAGCTTGGAAGCATCCGGAGATAGTGCTGGAGCTGTGACTTCATCGCGGGTGACGTCAGCGGAGGTTGCCGGTGATGTCAGCGGGGAAACGGGGGGGCAAGGCCACGGGAGAGAGCCAGGAAGTGGGGTTGTGAAGCCGGGGGCCAAGGGCGGGACGGCCAAAGAGGTGCCAAGCAAGCGGGTGCTCAAGGAAATCGTCTGGGAAGGAAACGGGAGCGAAGTTTCGCATGAGGAGGGAAAGGGAGTTCGTGAACCTGTCGCGGCGACTGGAACGGCTCTGCCGGGGAGCGAGCCTGGCTCCAAGCAGAAGGCGGCCCCTCCAGCAATGGAGCCAAAACCTGCGGTCAAAGAACCCGGTGAAACACCCCGGCCGAAGCCTCGGCGGCGCAAACCAGAGGGGAACGGCCCGGTTGTTGGCAACCGGGACTCGGGATCACCAGACGGGTTGACTCTTCTCGCTGCTCAGTACGAGGATTCGCCTCCTCGGAAGGTCCCTCCTTCAGAGCCATCTCAAGCATCTCGGCCTCAGCAAGAACATGTCTTCAGACCAGCGGGAGATGCAGTCAGGGGCGTGGATAGAATTAGAGAAGGGGGGCGGATCTTGAGTCCGGAAAGCGGCGCCCGTATTCCGAAAACGGTCCACTCGGGCGCAAACCCCCCTGTCAAACGGAGTCAGCCTAAACCCCGGTCAGAAGAAGTCTGGAGCGAGGACGGGGGATGGACTGGAAACACTATGGACGCTCCTTCGAGTCCGGACACGCTTCCAACGGGTACGAACTCCCCTAAGAAGCAGACTCAACCGAGGCCCCGGGTTTTAGAGTCTGCTCCAGGATCCCCACTTAAAGCCGGAGAGTCTCCGAGAGCGCCTCGGAAACCGGCGCCCAAACCCTCAAACTCCGCCAGCGAGCCCCCGCCAACGGCTTCCTTGAGCACAGGGGGGCAAACCAAGCAGCAAACCGCACCCCCCCCTGCAAAGCGTCCAGCCAGACCCCCTGGTTCGGAGGACGGAGCACCCGGTTCAAACAGGCCTGGTCTCGGAGAAATAGGGGGTTTCGAAAACACGGTGACCCTCCGCCCGGTAAAGACCAGTCGCCCCGACTCCAGCGGCCAAGATATACCCCGTACTCAACCCTTGAGCCCAGCCCCTTCAAGCAGTCCTTCTCATGTGGGTATGTTCCCTGGTTTGAACGCTGCTGCGCGACAATCGGCCCGAAACACTCCGGACGATTCGGACCATCTCAGAATGCCGGAGCTTTCGGTCAGCCCCCGCGTCGCGCCTGCCAATCGCCCAAAGCCTCACCCCGTCCCCGGTGCAGGAAGCACTCCCCGGGCTGCGCCACGTGGCAGCCACGTGGCTCCACATCCGCCGCCGTCGGACCCACCCCGGGCTTCGAATGCTGCCCCCGGAAGCGTGCCACGTGGCAGCCACGTGGTTTCGAACCTCCCTGCAGGTTCTGACACCCCCCGGTCTTGTGACGCTCCGATGACAGACCCGTACCTCCTTTCCGAGCCCTACAAGCCCAGCACGTTCGGGGCCCCTGCCCGTCCCACTTCGGGGGGGCGCCCGCTCACTGCAGAACGCCCCCCCAGCGCGGACACGGCCAGCCGGTACACGTATAGTGAACGGCCAATCAGTGCGGAGCGGTGGGTGGCGCCATCAGAGTCTGAAACCCTAACCCATCCTCCAAACCCGCCTGAGAACCTGCCGGGCAATCACGCGCGCTCTTTCCCGCCCGAGTTGGCGCACGTCCTTCCATTCCCCTTCTCTGGAGTGCCGCCCATGTTGGGACACGTGGCAGCACCTCACTGGCCGCTGGCGCTGGGGCCGGACAGTCAGTTTGTTAGGTCGTCGAGTGAGGGTTTTGGTGCAGTAGCCTCGCTTAACCGGAATGGGTTATTCCCCTTCCTGGATCCCTACCAACAGCTGCAAGCGCAGTTGATGCAGCAGTACCCCGGGATTAGCTTCCCCCCGCCCGGTTTGGGGAACCCGTACGGAAGCCCGTTGACTAAACCCGAAAACCCTCTGCCCGCGCACGCGTATACGCCCAGCCTTTCGCACCTGCCCGCCCCGTCTCAAGAGTTTCCACACCCACAGAGTCAGCCCCAAACCGGTTTGACCCAAACCCCTTTTGCGCACCTCCAAAGCAACGCACATCCATTTGGTTCGTTCCCTAACCCCGGGCTCCAGTATCCCCCCTTTTCCCACCCCTACTTTCCGTATGGCATCCCTCCTCCTTTCTACTCCCCCCCTCCTTCTGTCTTCCCCTTCGCTTCTGCATCCGGGCCACTCAGTCAGGGTTCTGAAGCGGGGACTTCGCAGGGGGGTCCAATTGCCGGCAGTTTTGTCCCCCCTCCGGAGCCCAGGTCTGCAAGCCGGGAGGGGTTGGACAGGAGCGCGTCTGCCCGAAGCGAGCTTCTGAAGGCTAGGGACACCGCAATCCAGGTACGTTCTTAAGTTCAAGTGGGTTTCAGCTTCAGGTTCTTCTTGTGCACGTATGATTTCGATTATTTTGAATCAGAACCGAGACCTTGTAACCTGGTCCGGATGTCTCCCCTTAAACGTTCTCATCTAAGAGTCAGCCGTGTGTCCTTCACCTAATGTTGTGTGATCCAATTTCTGTCAGAGGGTTTTGTGGGCGGGTTCTCTAGGTCTCGCCTTCATTCTTGTTCGTTTGTTTGTTAGCATGTGCATCGTACTCTAGGGCTGATCCTGGTCCTCCGGATGACAAATTTGACGTTCGGAAACATTACTTGGACGCTGCGACATGAGCCGGGGCTGATCAACAGTCTGAGATTAGAAACTCAGGATCGTGTTACAGACCTTCTTTGCTACGAAAGTTTTGTGGAGCCCTCCTTGCTATTCCTTTTTGCTCACAAGGGCTTGTGTATTCATGCAGAGGGCGCAACAACGGGCTTCCAGAAAAGAAGCATTGGTTCCTCCTCAACCTGTGACCAAACCCCCCGAACCAAAGGCACCCCCCCCGCCAGATCTGAACCCTCTGAAACCCGCAAGTTCGGACCCCACAGGAAGAGCAAGATCCTTAGCAGGCTCCGCACCTCGCAAAACTTCCATAACCCAGAACCCCAAACCCCTGGGTCCTTCAAAAGTGGTACGGTCCCTAGAGTCGACGTCAGCGAAACAGCAACCACGGGTTGTCGTTGGCTCTGACGTCGTCCCTCCTGTGGCTGCCCCGTCATCCAGACGTCAGCAAGCGCCTAACCTCCACACCAACCCCCTCACAAACCCTCCCGTCAACCCCTCCACAAACCCTCAGCATAACCGGCTGCCAAACCCGGCTCCAAACCCTCCTCATATACCGGGGCACCCCCTCCATGCGGCGTCGGAAACCCTCCCCTCATACGACGACTTCCTAGAGTTTCTCCGCTTCCGGTCGGCTCTTGCGGCCCAAGCACCAGGCGCGCTGACGTCAGCATCCGCGCTCGCCGCCGCCTTCTCTCCTGCTGCCCCCCACCCCGGCTCGCTAATGGAGGGTATGCAAGGGTCAGCTAACCCGTTCGGAGGTGCGCTGACGTCAGCAGTCCCGAACGCCCGTCCGCCAGCAGGTCTCCCCGTACTCCCAAGCGGGGCGTCTCGGAAAGCAGCCCAGGCTGGGCTGCTGACGTCAGCAACGGCTCGGGGGCGCGCCGCCGCTGACCACCAAAAGCTCGCATCGGCCGCTCGCACGATCCAAACGCTATGGCGGGAGCATAAGCTGTTGAAGCGGGAGCGGCGCCTCCGGGAGGCCCCCGAGCGGCGGGCCGGGATGCTGCTGACGTGGCGCTTCCGGGCGCGCTTTTTGCACTTGAGAAGGGTCGCCGTTTTCCTACAGTCCCTCCGCAGGGGAGTGCTCTCGCGCCGGCGCTTCTGGGCGACACGAAAAGCGGTTCGGATCATTCAGAGCGGCTGGAAGCTCTTCCGGGCCTCACTCAGCGGATGGCAGCGGGGGAAGCTTAGAGAGTTGCGGGACTTCTATCGTTACGTGAGGGAGAACCTGGAGGTGGTGGGGTTGGAAGCGCCGTCGTTTCGAAGCTTTGCGCGGCTGATGGAGAGACTGATGGCCGCCACGGAAGGGGCGCGTGTGCGGCGTCGATTGCGGGGCCGGAAGGCGATCGCACTTGTCAGTGAGATGCGGGTGAGAGAATTGGCATCTTCCTGACGTTTTCCCTTCTCGTCTTTCCCTTATTTTTTCCCCTTTTTCTTTGTGGGAATATACTCTTGCGCGGCGAAGGCGATGGCATCCGTCAGGGCGAAGCGGGTGAGAGATCTGGCAATCTCTTGCCGTCCTGACAATATTTTGTCTTCTCGTCTTTCTGTGTCTCGTCCATTCTCTCTTTCCGTTCATGTTTCCCCCTTCCTGCTTCCTGCACTCGTCGTAGCTGCAATTGTTTTCATGACTTCATCACGAGTCTTGTCTAATTACGAGGATTTGGATCTGGCAGTTCAGCCTTAAACACTTAACTGAAATAGCTGCGTCGTGCGAAAAGTTTCTACGTTCGGGCAGATGCACTCGTGTCTTACTGAACACAAGTGTCCATATCTCCATCTTCGTGTGCGGAACAGTCGGCTTCGAATGAAATGGTCTATATGAGTACCTTTCTGTTTCTCTTTTCTGCATGTAAACCGGCTAAGACCAGGGTTCTCAGGTTTCGTCGCAGCTAGACAATCAGGAAAATGCATGCCCCTTGGATACTCTTTCTTCAACTGCACTTACTCAGCTGATTCAGTTTATCCGGTCAGTCCAGCAGCACGCTATTTGCCATCCTTTGAGGTTTCCAGTGCTGCCAAAACCTGCGCTTTCCTACAATATGCAATTCCGTGGCCCTCCAATCCAGTCCAAGGTTGTCAAAGAAGGTCGTGTTTGAACCCGTGTGTGCAGGATATACGGGACCTCTTGCGGCAACTAGAGGTGGAGAAAGCGCGGGGCGGTGCCACGCCCGACCGCCAGCTGGAAAAGACGCTCCGTGTGCAGCTCCGCCAGAAGCACGTCCTGCTCGAGAGAGCCGCGCACACCCCTCTCCTCTCTAGTTCCCCGTCCAATGTGAATACGCCCCTCTCATCCCCGCACCCGAGCTCAGCTGGGTTTGGACGCAACCAAAGGGGATTTGGACGCAACGGAAGGGGGTTCGGACCGGATCAAAGCGGCTCCGGACGCGATCTAGCGAGAGTCGGACGGACTTCGGTGGAACCCGGGCGGAATTCGGGCGGCTTTGGACGGAATCCGGAGGGGCTCGGACGCGACCAAAGCGTTCCAGACGCACTGCGCGCGTGGGCGTCCGGATCCGTCGGCGGACATCCAGAAGAGCGGCGCCGGTCCTTGTTCGAAAACGGCAGCGGCAACGGACGGGCTCCCAGGAGCACTTTCGAGAAAAACGAGGCGCTGGCCGCCGCTTATGCAGAAAACTCCCGCTCTAGTTTTGCGAGCAGCGCAAACCCTAGCCGCGCCTTTTCACACCAGGGCGGGGCGACGCGAGCACGCGCACCGGTGGCGGAGAGCAACCGGATCTCCTTCCGGGGGGCTTCGATTGGCTTTGGAAATATACCCCCGGCAGTGGCAACAAGCCGGCCAACGGATCGGACAGGACGTGGACGGGCTTTTGTAGCCGACGAAAGTGCGGCGGGCATGTTCGGACAGTTTGCCGGGCCCGTGTTTCGGACTTTCGACGAGGGGCTGAGCTTATCTCCGGTCAGGGTGAATTCTCCGCCGGCTAGAAGCAGGGCTACAACAGCGGAACAGGCGGACGAAAGTCTGCGGGAGACAAGACCTGGCGCGGCGCAGGATGCTACAAAACGGGGCCAAAGGAAAAGCGTTAGGAGTGACGAGGAGGGTTGGATTGAGTTCGAGGACGTTCCATATGAGTCGGAGTCAGACGGCATGCCAGACGCAGTCGAGTTCAACCGTCATTCACTTCCGCTGAACGAAGATCGTTTCACGGATAACCGGCCAGGTCCAAGGAGACAGGGAAGGGGAGCCTACGACGTGGAAGACTTGGCTCGGGCCAGTGCGAGCGCGCACCGCCATCTACCAGCTGACGGGAGCCAAGCGGCTGCCTCCCGGCAAAACGGGTCAAGCGCTAGCCGTGGGACAGCAGTGCGGCTCCCAAACCGGGTTAGCTATGACGACATCCCGATAACCGCCTCCGCCACGCCGCGCCCCCACCCGGACTTGCACGTGGACGTTCCCAGTCGCTCCAACCCCCCCTCGCAAAACCCGTCTCCTTCCGAGAATCCCGGAAGGGGTCCCGCCAAGCGCCCGTTCCTACGCGCTCGCTCCGGACGCCTCGGGACGAGCTTCACGATACCGGACCACCTCAAACTGTCCGTCAACGAGACGCCACGTGGCGCGTCTGGGGACGTGCCAAGTGGCACCACCGGGGACGCGCCAGGTGGCGGCGCCGGCCCTGCTTTAGATTCTGCGGAGCTCGGGCCGAGCACTGCGCCAGGAAATCTGGGACGGTCGTTGTTTGCGGACGGGCATAGGGTCAAGAGGAGGGTTAAGCGTAACCCGCTCGAGGGAGAGATTTCGATCTTGGAGAGAGATGAGGAAGGGGAAGAGAGCGAGGAGCCGCCGAAACGGGCGTTCCTGCAGCGGAAGTCGAAGGCGATGCCAATGCAGAAGCTGGATTGGTCGAAGGTAGGTGCCGGGAGTTGAGTTGTGTCTGGTGTGGTTTTGTTGCACAGTTGCTCCCACGGGCAATAAGGTACACGCTCGCTTGAAAATATGCCTTCAACACGCTGCAAACTTTCTTGTTAGCAACCGGAATATTTTCCCCCAGGAATTGCTTAATGGTGACCCAATAGAGCAGATCAACAAAGGTAGGTAGCGGAGTTTGAGAATGGGGCCTGTTGAAGAATGTCCAGCACCTGCAGAGCAATGCGTAGTAACTCGTTTGCAGCCAGCCTCAAACTCGCAAGAGTTTCTAACCGCTCTAAGCGTTCTCAAAAGCTCTTCGCTTCTCATTGTCTCCCTGAGACAGGATTGGTTCCTCTTAGTGAAACTCAGGGGGACTTTCAAACCGATGGTTAGTCTTAACCCTCCCAGGTTAAGCCCCTTGTTGAAGCTCTTCGGATTGTAGGTAGAGTCTTGGATCAGCATGGTTTCTCTCCACCTTGCAGGTTAAGTCCCTGGTCGAGGCCCGTCTGGACCCTGAAAAGTTTGCCGCCTCGTGTCGCACTGGCGCCTCAAAGAAAGATGAGCCGCCGCCCCTGCCGGTAGGTCTGTCTTGTCACTTCCTTTCTGAGAGTCCTCTCTTGGCGTCTTTGTCCGGACCGAATTGAACGCTCTGTATACGGTTGTACAGCAAAGGCACTTCTTCCTTGTACTCATTTTTATAAGAACCCTTGACGACCCTTGACGTTTTATCCAACAACAACCTGTCCAGGCCCCAAGAGCGATTCGTCATTGCTTGTGGGCAAATTACGAGTGGCTCTCACTCTGGCAATCAGTTGCAAAGCCCGTATCTAATCTGACACTCAGTCGCTGAAGTTTGGATTCAAGGAGTAAGTTTGAGGCGAAGAAGTAACAAATGTATTCCCGCTTTGTGAAAATTTCAAATAGGCCCTTGGCCATGAGGTCAAACAAGGCAGTCGTATTCAAAGATTGTCAATCGTAGGACAACTTTTTGAGAACCCGCAGAACGTTTGCTGGTCTTCTTTTTGGACACCTAACAAAATACACCCTGCTTCTTACAGGACTACAAAAACGTGAAGAGCCGGCTTCTGGCTTATCGTGAGCCCAACAAAAAGTATTCCTCAGTCGAAGAAGAGCCCTCCTTCGAACCAGGCGACCAGGCCCCTTCTCTTAGACTGCCCACGTCGCCACGAAGGAAACCGGGTAAGAGCGCAGCGCGAGACCTGAAACGGAGCGGATCGGAGGAGAGCTTCGACGGCGGAAAGCGGAACGGACACGTGGCAGCCCGTGAGAGGACGGAGAAGGTTGTGAGGAATGGGCGGGGGGGTTTGGAGGGCGCCAGAAAAGAGGCGTGGGTGGCCAGTGACACTGACAGCGAGGGGCGGTCTCTCGGATCTCAGAACCGGAGACCCCCCCGCAAGGCGGAAAGTCGGAAGAAGCATAAGGGAGACGAGGCGAGCACGCCCCGAAGAACCGGAAGAGGTGCGGCTGGGCGTTTGCATCAGGAGGGAAGCGAAGAGGAACCCGGAGAGGACGGAGTCGCGAGTCAAGGGGAGCTGTCGTCGACAGGGGAGCTTTTGGAACGGATGTACCAAAAGTTGCAACGCGATGGGGGGGTGGAGTTCAGCAGTCTGTTCCCCAGGAGGAGAGGGGGGGAGAGCGTCATTCCTAGGCTCAGGGGTGACGAGGACATGTTCAGCGACCAGGTGAGCAGATTTGGTGACCTTACTTTGACGGCAGCCTATTTTCAAGTAGCAGAATCTGCTCCCGTATTACCTACTTTTAGTAGCGTTAGAGAAGACTGACGGCTTTTTGACCTGTCAAGGAGATGGAGTCCCGTGATATCTTCAGTATCGCGGTCTACGAGTTGTAAAACCGGTTTGAACGTGGAAGCCCGTTGTATCTTTCATGGTCGAATGTCGTCGCTTTCATTACCGACTGCCCTTTCCTTGAGATCGGATCTTGTTTACAATGCTGTTGCCTTTAGATGCGGAACTTGACAAAGCAGCTTTCCAAGCTGGTTCATACCTCTCTTACTGCTCGGTGGCTGATAAGATCAGGCATGCTTAAATTGGCATCGCTGTTCCTGCGCAGAGGCAATCGACATTCAGTAATCCATGTAGACCGTTTATGAGGTCAATTTGAAACTTGGATTTGAAAGCTCAAATGCCTCGTGCGTGTCAACTTCATTCCAATCTTGTTTCAAACGTCCCGCACTTTGAACAGCGGCAACCTCCCCGCTTCTCCACAGCCTGTCGATACCTCGAAACTGCAACGCTTACTTTACAGCCCAGGTGACAACATCGTTAGGATAGGCGCTGCTTTTTATTACTGCCGGTCGGCGCTGTCAATTTCGTCTGTCGATCGTTTTCCTAACTTTGTTTGTCCTTCTCTCCTTCCGAAATCTCCTGCGGTGCTAACTCAGCCACTCGCAACGCATCTTGCAGGGCAACAGCTTGTACAGTCGGCTGACGAGGGAATCAGGATTTGACAGGCTCGAGTTGGGCCGTTTGACCTTCGTAGCCGCTTCTGATGGGCTGAAAGAGCGTTGATTGAAGCACCGATGCTTCTCGTGAATATAGCTGATTCGTCAAGAGTAAACGTGAGATGAGTTGAGAGCATGCTGGTTTTCATGGCAGCGATGAGTGAACCCCTTCAGATTGGGGGACCTACCAATTTGTGGACGGTCTTTAAAGACTGCAAATATTGTGACTTTGAAACACAGCTTCTGTCGAGAGGGCTTGTAAAATCAGACTTGCTATTCTGATTCAAGGTGGCGCAAGCGGCGGGCCTACATACTCTTTGGCAGCAAGCTTCACATCACATCCTTTTCAGTTGTGGCCGCGCGATATTGCTTGAATGAAAGTAGTTTGTCCAACACTTTTGGACGTATATTGCCAGCCGCAGTCCGCGCGCCGAAACAGCTCCCTTGAATTGACCGTCGAGTGGCAGGTCAAGTGCATAATGCAAATCGAAAGAATGGTCACGTGCAGCTATGAACGAATAGATTAGTGTCGATGGTCGCAAAGATGTATGGCGCCTGTGTTTTCCAATGGCTTAATTGGATTTCGTTCGGAAGTTCATGAGAAAGACTGAGGGGAGACGTCTTCAATCGAAGGCGCTCGAATGACAGAGTGAGGTTAATCACTGATCGATCAGCAATTACTAGCTCGACCTCTTCCGACATGTGAATTCAGACAGTGCTGATGATGTCGGCCGGCGTTCATGTACGGTTTGAAATTGATCAATCTATCGAAACTATAATATTTTGTGCATTCCGATATTGTCCGCAACGTAATTTCAAGTCTACTTCTATGGCATTGACGACTAGCTATCTGTGTCGCTTAGTATAACATTGAATGTATAACATTGAATGTCAATGCACAACTGAACTTACATCCAGCTGCACGGGGCCGGGACATTCTCGCGAAGCAGCCTGGGTGCATGTAACTTTCGTCACAGCAGTCTTAGTATGTAGCACTAGATGTACTTGCATCAACAACGTTAGTGGGCCGGGCGCGGGCCCGGCTTAGGCGTCTTCCAACAAAAACGGCAAGTCAAAGCCGGCGCGCCCAGCTGTCTAACCGATCCGGTTATGCCATGATGGTCTGCACGGCCATCATTTATGATCGATGCCATGAGGAGCTGAGCTTGAATTGATGGCCGCACACGAATTCTCCTCAGCCTTGATCAGACGACGACGGTGGTTTTAGTACTGAGCGGGGCCGATTTGGGGATGTATAACCTTAATGGATATTCTGCCAGCTATATTCGCGTGACTCGATTGTGAGTCCTCATGCATCATGATGACTAGCTCGGCGCATAATATTAGTTGATATATAGCATATGACTTCGTATGTCTCCAAATGTTACCATAATACCTTCCATGATGCCCGGCCTCCGATGACGTCAGCATCAGAAGACACTCAGAGCCTAGATTGTTGAAAGTGGCCGGACTCGATATTGATAACAATTGATTGCATGGACGGTGCGGTAGCGCGCGGCTCATGCAGACGGGTGAAACGGCGTCGAAACTTTAAGTTACCGACACGATGGTAAACAGAGTATTGATCAACGGATGCACAACGAGAGCGCAAAGTTAGGAAGTGACGGATCGAGTTTTCTTTCAGGACTCACGAGCATAACGGCAAGTGCGATTGGCCATCATTACAACATCCAACTTAGGTTTCCTGTTTGGTGCCCATGCACTGAGGCCATTGGCCCGCTCCTCAGACGCTTATTGCCACGTTGCAAAAATAAAGATAACTCGTCGAAAGAGTGTCGACCTAAAATATGCAAGTGAACAAAGCCTGATGGCCATCTTGGCTACTATCGAGCAGTCCTGAGTATCTTGGCCAACAACGCTGCAGATTATCTTGTCTTTATTATAGCGCACCTGTCAATAACACCTGCATCTAAAAATCTGTCCTCAAAAAACCTATGTGCGTGCAAGTCATGAACAAGATTAGAGAGTAAGAAGTGAGTCTTAATGGTCCGATACGGCTACTGGCAGCTTTGAACGGCCTGCAAAGTTTCACCAAGGAACCTTTCCCACGAAGCCCGGGGGCGTATGTGGATGGAAGCTCCCCGCAATGCCGCTGATAGCAGACCACGTTCCAAAGCCCGCTGCTATGCATCCTAAAAGCATTATTGATGTGCAAACAATGGTTTCCAGCCACGATACCCGTTTGCCATATATTCGAAGGTAGCAGGCGCATGGAAGGATGACCGAAACCGTCATGCTGAGGAACGAACCAATGAAGGCCATCACGTAGCCTGCAAGTACGGGCAAAGACGTTGGAGATATTGGAGAGAAGCAATTAAAGAAACGCACATGAGATAGTGAAAGAATGAAAACTCCATTTTAACAACACACAGTCGAACAGTCTATGAGTCCTCTTTCAAGCCGTGCATCTTCTTCATTCCTCCACTTGTACACCCCCGGTCGGAAGGAATTCGGACGTGCTTGCGTCATTCAGAAGACTTGGCGGTTGTAAGGAGCAACGGCAAAACTATCATGTGTGCAGACGCAAATCCGTTGTTTCCAAAAAATCCAGAGACTTTGATATACTCAAGTCACCTTCTTGAGGCCAGTAAGAACACAATCAGAAACTGACGCAAAGAGTTTCGAAGCCCGCACCTCCGAGAATGCGCATTGAACCAAGGCGATCGGGAGCCGACATGCACGTCCTAAGCGCCGATAAAAAGAAAGCATAAGATTGGAAAAACTCACCGAAGAAGGGGACAAGAAGGGCCACTAAAATAGTGCTCCCGACGAGGGCCGTTCGGATGAGGTAGCTGAGAGTGACGAAGCTGGACGCCGAAACGGACATCGGAACCAATTCCTCTACCGCCATTGCGACGGGGGTCATCGTCAGAGCGAACTTTGTGAACGGGTTAACGACCTGAACGGGAGGGGGTTAAAGAAGGTTTTTCACTCTGTCAAGCTGCCAAATCATCGTCAGAGCGGACTTGGTGACTGGATACTAACGAAGGGGAGGAAGTTCAGTGTCTTGAGATGTCTGTCGCTCGGTTTTGAGAATTGACTAGAATCAAATAACTGGTCTACGAAGTGCGTGCTTCCGAGACAGAGATCGGTATTCATGGCGATGCGATGTGCGGGTGGACGTAAGCTCTGAAAAAGGAGAAAGAAAGGGGGAGGTGTTCCGATTTCTTCGGCTCAAACGTAAAATCTACAGGACGAGACTCCGGAGCCGGATCTCAAACTTCGCGAACTCACAGCTCATGGTCGGGGTGAATGTATGCCTTGGAGTGGCAGGCGTTCTCTCCATGCAAAAGGCGTCGCTGTTTCGTTTCCGAGCGTGTAGGGCAGCTCTGCGTATTGGCCTTTTGAGGCCCTGTCACTGCAATCCCATACAGTCACCACCAGGGTAACCGCTAGCTAGAGGGAATGACCGCTAGCTAGAGGGAAAGACAACCCTACGGGGCAGATGAAGTTCCGTCACCTGTTCTTCTCTTATGGGTGACTGCATGCGAAACAGTCTACCACTGTCCGGATGACAAGCCTCAAGACCACAAACCGCTTGCACTTATTCTGCGTGGTATGTCATCGCGTCTTCAAAACAGAAGCAGCTTACACTTTTCAGTATTTCAAGGCCCGATAAAGCAAAGCAACAGGGTTCAAGTTGGCTTACCGTTGTCCAGATGGCAATCTTAGACGCCAGGAACTGCTTTGGCAGGTTCAGCGTGATCTGGGACTGCGTCTCTGCTCCAAACATGGTGAAGCCCGTAACGGCAATGCCACCGTAGATGAGCGTACACATGGCGAAACTGCGGAATAAGAAAGCTGGCATGCAGATTGAAGCTTCTCTGGCACCATGAGTCGTTAAACGCTCGAGTCGTTAGCTTCTTTGTAAATGCGTCACTGCTCCGATATGGTAAAGCTTGTGAAGACATCGAAATGCAAACCCGTGATCCCCCAGACGTCAGCCACTCGGCGTGGCTGTCGGACTGTATTTTCGGCACCGTACTCTATAGCCCGTGAAGGGATATAGCCCCTAAAAAAGCGAATGCAAACAACCGTAGCCGTGAAGGGATACGAAGGCAGAGCAAGTGTTCAGAGCAACTTACATGATGGTCAGCAGGAGCTGAATTTGGCCTTTGTCCGACAATCAGTTCAGGATGTTTGAAAAAAACACGTGGCGTAAGTGGCGGAAATAAGACGCAAACGGGAAGTCTGCCCTCAGGTAAAGAAGCTCATAAAGCAAAGAAACGAATAAGGAGGAAAATCACCGATTCACGTGATCTTCAGTAGACATGCTTGGTCGGAATCGAGTTACCCAGAGAAAGGCGGCTTCGAGAAGAGCAGAAAGCAAACACGCCGAGTGTGACAACGGACAAAATTAAGCAAGCAGAAAAAACGAAGAAGAAAGCAACTAGATTCGAGAAAAGGGACTCACGTTATGGTTAGCAGGAGAGGAAACTGGCTATTGTTGGATAGCGAATTGTAGATGTTCGGGAAAACGGCGTGCCCCAAGTAGCAGAACCCCAAATTTCGGACGCTAACAAAAAGCTTGCGCTTAATCAAAGAAGTTCTTCAAACAAACAAATAAAGAACGAGCTATGTAAACAACTCACATAATCGTCAGAGGGATCGCAACATGCTTTGCTCGAAGCGAGGTATCTTTGGCGAAGGCTGCTTCCGGAAGAGCAGGCAGCAAAACAGGCCAAGCACGACAATTCTGAAACCAAGCAAGCAGAGAAAAGGAAGAAAGGAATATGGCCTCGAGGAAAGGACTCTCGTAATGGTCAGCAGGATTGGAACTGGCTGCTTTCGAACAGCGAGTTTCAGATGTCCGGCGAAACGGCCTTGTTCATAGAAGCAGGAGTAAGTGAAACTAGCGCAGCCCTGAATGGCTCCACAGAAACAGCATAAATCGAGAGGCACTCACGTGATGGTCAGCAGGAGCGGAAACTGGCTTTTGTTGGACAGCGAGTTGTAGATGTTTGGAAAGACGGCGTGCCCCGAGTAGCAGAACCCAAACAGGCCGACGCTGACGGGCAACGTGCCCCAGCGAATCAGCGGACCTCCCTGGGAGAAGCCAATCCCATCGAACTCGCCGATCCACGCGACGGCGAAGACAACTAGAATGGCGGCTAGCACGCCCGCGGCTGCAAGGAGATGAGAAGGTTGCTGAGAATGCACTCCAGGATTTTCTTTTTTAGCAGGTTCCAGGAGTCGGGGTGCGTACTGCAAGTACTCAGGGCACATCTTGTGATTATCGGAGTGGTGTTCAGAGTAACGCGCAGCACGTGTCGTCTTGAGGAAAAAGATTCATTTTACGAACTAGCTTTGGAGGTCAGAGGAGAGCGGGCGAACCAGTCCTGAGACAGAGACAATCCGCGTGTCTTTGGGCACTTCAGTGCTCGAACATGGCGCTAAGCAATCTCGAAAGGAAGAGGAGGGGGCAGCACATGCGGTGTTTGTGAGAAAAACAAGTGCTCTGTCCGAAAGCGCTAGAGTTATGCGGGCGTCGGCGTTAATGCCAATGATCTAAAGAACAAGTGTGCCCCTTGGAACCGCAAACATCCTGACACTGTGATTCAAAAGTCGGATCACAATAAAGAGTCAACGATCCGAAGCATAAGGGTAAACGAACCCTTGGCTCTGCGTCAATCGATCTGGCTTGTGGTGCTTATTTTCCACCAGTAAGAACTGAACACAAAGAACTGAAGATGAGCCGCAGTCAGAAGTAGAAGACGCGCAGAATGAGCACTCTGCCAACGCAAGACGACGAACAGCTCTTGTGACAAGCGAGAGGTGAAAGGTTTCTTTCTGCACCTTTTAGGGTTTCGGGGATCGCTCAGGCGATCGACAGAAGGCGTCATGTCTGGCCTCACCCGATATGTACGAGAGTAGGCTGAGGTTTTTCAGCCACACAGTCGGCAACACTGCCAGTGCCGTGAGCAGCATAAAGAAAGTCTTGCTCTCCAGGGGGGCGCCGAAGACTGTGACAGAAGCCCCCGGGAAGAGCGACGACAGGTTGTCGCCCTCCAGGATAAGAAACTCCACGCAGCAGGCCTGCTCGGCAAAGGACACGTGGCACTCAGTGATTTGCGAATCCAGAAAGGGGGACACAGCTAAAGACAGGAGTAAGCGAGCAGATGCTAAAGGATATTGTTGAGAACTGTCAAGAACTCGAGAAGTGGTGAACCTACGACTGCGTTTCAACTTTCGCGTTGAATCCATTTCAACAAACTGAAAGCACGTGTAATGCTTGGCATGTTGGAGGCTGTCAAATGAGGCAAGAGACCACCTTTGTGCGTGCCTTCTTTCGGGGGACTTCATGCAAGTGAATTCCGAACTTCAAGAGATGCGTCTTTGAACATTCACTTCTACCAGACAGCGGGAAGCTACTTACATACACTTCGAAGTAAAACAGCGTCTGCACGAGATAAAAGAGGCGCGTTTGTCCACAGTAGTGGGACAGTTTCAGAGATGCGAACTAGGGACTCACGTAAAGCTCGATGTATAACACTAGCTGCGGTAGACGGTGGGGTGGCAAGGAGGGGAGACAGACACAGGGGAGAAGCAGTGAGCCAAGGTTGTACGACTTGTCTGCAGCTGTTGCACGCACAGACTGACGGCGACAGGACCACGGTTGAGATAAGAAGAATAAGGCTTGATAAGTGACTTGCCGTGGCTGTCACGATTGCAAACACTCTAGTTGGCTGGAAGCTGCTTCGACTTTGGCTGGGAGCTATTCCGTGAGCAGTAGATGCACAAAGAGCACCGCTATCCACGTGCATTCATTTGAAAACGAATCGACCGCGAGCACTCTTCTTCAATGCCTTCGAAAACAGCCCCTCTCACAACGTAACACCAAAGGACGAGCAATACAACAAGCACAAACAGGCACGCACCAACGGAGCCTGAACATGTATCTAGACTGGCGATGCGAAAAAAAATTCAAGGTTGTGCCTATGCGAGTCATGCTGATACCGAACAGAGGCAACTGAATAGAGTTTTAGTTATGCAATGTTCGTGCCCAAAGTTTCGCTTCTTCAGACAATCCGATGATTCTTTTGGTAACCACAAAAGCAGATTTTAGTCGAACGTTTCCCGCAGCCAACATGCTTGCTCCTCCAATCCCGCGAAAGCCGCCTGATGTACATCGACCCTCGATCAACTGCTCCAAAGAAGGGAGGAAAAGCAAAGGCAAATGCTTACCGAGATAAGAATCCGGCCCGTCAGGCCAAAGGCGGCTTCCCCGATATCTGGATACGTCTGTACATGGGGGGACGACTGGAGGCAGCGTATGAGAAGAACGCCAGTGTAGCAGCAACAGACGGCTAAAAGGAGCAGAACCCCGAGACTGAGCCAGCCCCCCTGAAGGAGACCGTAGGGGGTGGAGAGAATACCGACGCCTGCTAGAACGTTCATGCCTGCGGGAAGAGTTAGAGCAGTTTAAGAAAGAGAAAAGAGAAGGCAGGAGAGTGGAAATGTGGGCGCAGATTACGGCTGGAAGGAGAAAAACGCCGGAACTGAGCCAGCCCCCTTGAAGGAGACCGTAGGGGGTGGACAGAATGCTGACGCCTGCTACAACGTTCATGCCTGTAGGAAAAGTTGGAAACGGTTTATCTCTAGGGAAAGAAATGTCTGCAGACCGGAAAAGGATCAAATTTCTGGATTTTGGGGAGAGTAGGAGGCCCGACTATGACTTGTAGGGCCAGGGCAGGGCAAAAAGGAGCGAGATTTCGAAGGTCAGCAAGTTCGTCCATAGAGGTAAGGCCTCAAAGCACACCAGAGCGCTGCTAGGACGTTAACGTGTAACACAAATCAAAACGGGATGGAAAGAAAAAAGCTTTCTTCCTTTCGGACCCAAGCTTTGCAGACCGATAGCGCAGGACGTCGAACTTGGCAATATTCATGAAAATGAAAGACAGGTGGTGTTTACATTACACCGTGGCCTTTACTCGAGCTTACTCCTCGTGAAATCCTGAGACCCTGGCCGATTTCCCAGACTGGAAACTAAAAGTTCTCCTAATCTGATCCCCATTGACCTGGGCAGTTAGAAATCGACGAACCCCAGAAAGGTCCCACAACTAATTAGCGCCTGCATGGCCGTGCACGAACTTGATCTTTGGTTTGGCCGTTCTTCTTTGAAAACCCAAACAACGAACAACACTATGGTGAGTAGATTCTTAAAATCTTCAAGCACACAGATTTGAACTTCCAAGAAACTACGTCCGAGTATGGGCTAGCCCGAGGCCTTGCTACAAGTTTTGACTGGACATTCTCCTCCCAGGTCATAAGAAGCTCACCATTGAAGAGCGCCTGAGTAAAGGTGCTGTTCCCAAGATTCATCTCGTCCGGGTCGAAGTATCTACTGTCTGGCGGCAGCGACCGCGCCGACGGCAGCCGGTCGTACGACTTTATCGGGAGAGGGGGTAGCGGCACCTGTGCGTCAGATTCTATCCTGCTAGGCGGTTTCTCTGGAAGGAGTGGGCTGGCTGCGCGCTCTAGTGCGGACTCCGGCTCGGAAGTTGTGTGGTCGAGTTGCTGGGAGTTTGTGGAGTTCCAGCGTGCGTAGAAAGGGGAAAGAGGGGTGTTGGCACCGGACTGGTGCGGGCTGAAGAGGGCGGAGCGGTAGGACTGGCCGGTGTAGGCGTCCATCGATGCTCTGCAGACAAGATATCAGCCATCTTTCTTATTGGTCCTTCCTCGTTTAGTTGTTTATCTTCTATATTCATTGCTGATTTCGTTCTATTCCATATCTTGCACGGCTGAAGAGGGCGAAGCGGTAGGACCGGCCGGTGTATGCGATGAAGGATTACATCAACCGTCTTCTTCTTTGTCCTTTCTTCTGATTTGGACCTCTAGTTTTCTCTACGTATTTTCAGAGTTCCTCTGACTAATTGTTTTCTGGTAATCAGAGGTGCAAAAGTCTGCTCGGATGTTGGTCGCTCGGCTGATTGTCGCTTCCACTACTTGAATAAAGACTTGTAAACAATCTAACCACAGAGTGCCGGCGAGTTCACTGGAACACATTCAGGCTGATTTGGTGGCGTGTTTGCCAGTGAAGAAAGAGGCCATTGGCGGCATTTCAGATCCACAGGAGAGAAGGAAGATAAGCACAGTGCTTGCTTTCCGCGTATGGCGGAATGGGAGCCGACAAACAAAACTCTTGGAAGAAACTTGCTCGTCTACACTGTCACTCAGGCCAAGAACAATAAAACGCCTGCATCCTCTGCGTACAACAGTCTCAGTCTTTGCAAGGGAATCTAATCGCCACCCTCCCATGCTGGCGAGATAAAGCAGCATCAGAACAGCAGGACCACAACATCTGTACCTCTACTAGCTCAACCAGTCAACATACCCGTTCTGCTTTTCATACCGCACATCGCTCGCCGGAAAGTTCACCACTCTCAAAAGTCCAATTATCTGAACCAGAGCCAAAGCTGGTGGCAAATTTGATCCAGACTCAAAAGTGGCGGTCATCCAGGCTTTTTCATGGTCTAAATCTAGCAAGTGCACCGCAACTTTGCGCGGAGCTTGATGAGCACTTATTCACCAGTATCTTGCGGTTGATTTCGAAGCAGATGAAGAGCAGAGCGATGCCAAGGGCTTATACTCTTGGAAAAGGCCGTTCACCAGTCAATGATCAGGAGGTTCTTTCAAGCAAGCAGGAGATTAAAGCACTGAAATCTGAAGGGGGTTTGCTGGAAGTCCAGCACCATTGACCGATCGATGCATCAAAATTGCCATTCAGCAAACCACTGATCAATCAGGAGGTTAAGCACCCCTTTAGATCAAGAACAAAAGCCACAACAGCAAATCCGCGGAAATTCTCACCTGTAGCTTTGGGGCCAATGGTGCCCCACGGGTGTCTCCGGCCTCCCCTTCGGTGAATTGCTCGGGGAAGACAGCGGAGTAGTCTCAGCATCTGGATCATCATCCTCTACTGGACGCACCTCTTCATCGTCGTCCTGCTCAAAGTAAAACTCATGCTGGCGGGACGAGTTTGGCCCGCCCTTCCCTGAGGGGATCGTCATGCCGACCATTGTACCAGAATAGGGACTCTGTTGGACCAAAAGCTGGTGCTATCGCTGTTGCGATGCCGAATCTACAAGCAAACAAGCTGCCACTCAAAGATATGAGGAGCGTTTGATGTGCATCATGTCGATATTCCACCACCTTCAACAACTTTGGGAGGCGGATACCGTACCCACAGCAACAGAATTTGTTGCCACGACCTGGCTGACTTCTGACAATCTGAAAAATACTTCAAAGGTGAGCCCACAGGTCTTGATCACAGATAGCGATGGCAACAAAAACGTGCGCCTTCTGCCAGAATCCAAGCCTTAAACTTAACTTTGAGAATCTTCCTGAATCCTGTGCTGGGAATCGGATAAGAGTCTCATCACTTCCCGCTCGCCGTTCCGGTTGGCTTCCGGCGGACTCGAATGGCTTCCTTTGACAAGCATGACTCACACAACCCATACCGCAAGTTGACGTTCCGGCGGACTCCCCTCAAATTGGGATTCCAGAATTTAGGGGCACGCCGCACACAATTCCAAATTTCCATCCCATTCCATTCATAGGGATAAACTTTAATTGTAATAAGGAACTTACGGTAGACGAGTACGGGTGGGGTTAGTTTGGTGGTTAGGGTGGGTTCGGGTGCGGAGCGAGTCATTTTGTCCTTAGGGTTTTAGTGTTGGTTAAGTCGGAAATCCAGTACTTTCATTACCTTAAGATCCTTATTACTATTAAGTTTATGGTGTAGTCCAACGTGATGATTCCGAAACGAATTTATTATGAATTATTTCCAACAATCCAACAAAGTGGAATTAATAATGCTGATTCCGACAAGAATCCGAATGCCCTATGGTTTCACTTAAAAGGGGAGTTTTTGGCTGTTTTTGGCAGTTTTACGCCTTCCGAGGACCATTTCAAGATTATTTTACCTTTCCAAAATTTTACTTTCCGAATCAGAAATCCGAATTTCTGACTTTCCGAACGCAAGTAATTATTCATTTATTCGGAATCATCACGTTGGACTACGGGTATCCCCATTCTCCTCATTTTTGATCTCTCAAGCATGCCTGCTGCGAGCTTAGAGAGAAAGGAAGCTGTTGACAAAATTGTTGCACCTCCCCACATCCGCAGTACTTTTCTGGAAGGCGCAGTATCAGCCATTTCTCTGGCCGCCTACGTAGGCCCTTTTGCGCATGAGGCCTTGAGCTGCGGTGATTGGGCAGACCTGTCTTCCTAGCTCCTTGTCAAGTTCTGCTGCATTTGAAGAACCACCGGGTTCCAGTGCTGACGATATGGTACTAAGTTGATCAGCAAATGCGATTCTAGGATCTAAGAGTGCAGTAGCACCACCAGCTATGGAGGCCAGGAACCGACCAGCGGTGGTTATTGACAATGGAACAGGGTAAGTCTTATGTGTTTTTCACAGAGTTGTGCAAGTGCGGCTGGCAAGACATTCTGCCTATTTGTGGTGGTAGGTGTTGGTCTGGTGTTTTGTGCTTTTTAAACAGGCTCGCATGGATGTTTAAGTTATTTTGTTGGAGTTGGCAGTATAACCCCCTACTTCTCTTGGCTGATCATGCCAAGTCAATTTACCGGGTCCTGAGTAGATAGCAATCTAGATTAGGCAGGAAAGTAGCCAAAAGTAATCGGTTGTTTCCCGCCCTTGAGTGTGCGAATCGCAACTTGGAGGGGGGCCTGATGTAGTTTTGGAACAGCTAGGGACTGATCGTATGTCACCAGGAGCAGTTGCAGATTCAATTGTTCAGAGCACTACCTAACTCGAATTGACCCACTTTGTATGTGCAATCACAGCGTGCGTGCAGTAGGAAGGTTTGAGTCCTTAATAAATAACGAGGGGGATATTTTTAGTACTGTCTTCGCAGTCTTGAGGACTCCGCTGGCAACTGTTTCCTTCTAGAGGCCTGCAGACGACAAGCCCTCCTACAGCTGAGGGCTGGGTCTTTTGATGTTGGTGGTGCTAAGCAAGGGGGACAGGTATATGGGGCACTTTACTGAAGCAGAGTCAAAAGCTGACTACAATCTGCTCTGATCACTGGCTATCTACATGGCACATGTTTACGATGTCTTGTTGCAGGTTTCTTATTTCGATCATGGTTTCGATTGTGGATCGGTGCAGGCTACATATTGACTTTGTACATGTTGAGTGTGACACGTTATTGTTTGCCACTTATTTTGTTGCACTTTGGCACAGGTACACAAAGATGGGGTTCGCAGGCAACGTGGAGCCGGCCTTTATAATTCCAACAGTTGTGGCCACTAATGAGACATACGTTAAGTCGGGGGGAAGTGTGACGTCAGCGCAGCACAGCGCTGGCGTCATGGCGGATCTGGACTTCTACATCGGTGATGAGGCAACGCCCCGAGCGAGCTCGTATAACATAAACTACCCCATCAGGCATGGGCAGGTGAGGAACCTTTTCCACAGATCCTAGAACAGCTGAAAGTTTCAACGGCCGGGTGAATGCCTTTTGTTGATGGAAGGCATGGGAATCTTGTCCATGTTCCATTGAAGGTGCACTTCTGGTTATTTTCTTCTCTGACTTGACCCTTGGGGCGTTGCTTCTTCTTTGAGCAGGACAAGGCACTGAATCGAATAAATAGAGGAGCGAGATATTGGGCGAAAAGGTATCTCAAAAGCTTATGGATCGTTGGAGTAACCGCTTCTCAAAAGAGTTGGACCCCAAGAGTTGCTTTTACACAAAGTGCAGAAGTGTTGTTTTCCGAAGCCCACCTTCTACGCGGGGACTAATGCTATTGTGAGAGAGTTTTCGATCCGCCGCGGAAAGATCAACGATCTTCGTCGACATCAACGATATCGCACTTGATGCATTTCACTTTGCAGCATTCTGTCATCATTTGACGGAGCTAAGAAGGCTGTTCCTTCATGTGTCTGCAAATGACGTCAGCATGACAGCAGTGCAGAATGATAGGCCGCTGTTATTACCTTTCCAGGTAGACAACTGGGACTCCATGGAGCGCTTCTGGCAGCAGTGCATCTTCAACTACCTGCGCTGCGACCCGGAAGACCACTTCTTCTTACTGACCGAAAGCCCGCTTACCCCCCCCGAAAACCGAGAATACATGGCCGAGATCATGTTCGAAACGTTCAACGTGCCGGGACTGTACATAGCAGTGCAAGCAGTGCTGGCGCTAGCGGCCAGCGACACGAGCGGAAAGGTGACATTCTTTCTTCGTTCCTTTTGGCATCGTCAGCAGGAGAGATTGCGGGACGTTAAAAGCGAGCGGCATCCTGAGAATTTCCGAAAGCACTGAGGTTACAATGTTTGGAAATGGCGTGTGCGAGGCGACTTGAAGGCGGAAGGACAATGTTGAGAGGACCGATGATGTTGGTGGCGTGCGATTTCAACAAGTTTCATTTCATACTTCAATTCAGCGAAGCTGTCCTTAGCCGATAACATGTTGGAGACGTTCAGATTGCCAAGGCTGTTCAAAGTAGTCCAGGTGTTGTACTCTGACGCTTGATCAGACCATAGGAAGATTCTGTTTTCGGGCGGAAGACAAGGTCAGGCTTCGTCAGGCCGTACTTAACTCTCAAAGCGGCAGGCCCAGTCGTGAACCAGTGATCCTGTGACACGTGTTTCGTCTGTTCGAAGTCTGTCTGGGGACGCTATGGGAGATGCGTCGACCATGTAACTCTCTCTCGCAGAGCCACTTTATCAACCCGGCCGCCGATCTCCGAACGGGAAGGATCAACCACCCACTTAAAAGCCGCTCCACCATCTTGAAAGTCACGCAGATCCATATACCTAGTTCTCTATGTGTCTTCAGGCACCGCTTCCCGTCATCTTGCTGAACTGCCAGCTCAACTAACCAGCTTTCCTGTCTGCTCCGTTTCAGATGGAGCTAACGGGTACGGTCATCGACAGCGGCGATGGCGTCACCCACGTGGTTCCGGTGGTGGATGGGTACGTCATCGGCAGCAGCATCAAGTCAATACCAATTGCCGGAAGGTGGGCATCCCTGGTGCCCGTATCATTGATTCATACGTATCCCCAAGGTTGAACCTTCTCGTTGCTCAATTCTGACCGTGAGTCGGAAATCACATGCTTGCAAAACGCTTTCCAGGTCCGGTTATGGGACCCCTTTAACATTCCGCCGTTCTGTATTGTTGGCTCTGTTCCATCTTCCAACCTGCAGACGCCACGTGCCTCTACCTGAGCAAAGTCTTCCGAATCCTTGGAATGCTCTCGAAGAGAGACTGTGACTCTCCTGATGCTCTAGTTTTTCTCTCTCCCAAAAGTTTGTGAATAGTATGTTGACTGTGTGACACCGACACTTCCCGCTGCTTTGTCTTTCTTACAGTTCAGCACCGAGTGTTTGGCATACGACATCAATGAAACACTTTTCGCTCCTCCTTTCCAGAGACCTGACGAACTTCGTACAACAACTGATGCGCGATCGAGGGGAGCCAGTTCCGCCGGAGGACTCTTTGGACGCAGCTCGACGAATAAAAGAACTGTACTCGTACACGTGTGCAGACATCGTGAAGGTACGGCCAGCCAATCAATGCTATAATGGGGCCTGCGGACCAGATAGCGAAAGTGATGCTTGGAAGACTTTGTCTTTTCGCAATTGAAGAGTCTTGAGAACAGCTCTGCCGAAGCTTTTCTCAGCAATTATCGTAAGGATCTAGGACAAACGATTAGTGCACTGTCGTAAGGTGGGCTCATCTTCAGGACCAAATTGCTGGAATCGGTATTCAAGTCACCTGGCTCGACGAGAGGTCCCTCGGTTTGACGCGATGCACGCGAGCAAGAAATGAAAGGAGCTTCGACATCCTCGTGCTCAGACCCTCCTAATGAGGTACATTCTCAATCGACGATCTGATCAGGCCATTGCTGACAGTATGACCTTTGTTTGCATTCGAGACAACCCAGAATAAATTGACCCTCTTTCCGTATCCTCTGTTGCAAACCGCTGCATGCTGTCGCTCTTCCGCCTATGCAGGAACACACCAAGCCCGCGCAAAAGCTCTACAACTTTATCAAACGTTTCAACCCGTCTTGACCACGGGAAGCACGCCACCCTTTTCTCCTCGCGGGCTGTTGCCAACGATCGTATCCAAGCCACTGCTGACGTGTCAATATTGCAGGAGTACGTGAAACACGACAAGGAGCCTTCCAAGTATATAAAGCAATGGACGGGGCTCAACAGCCGGACGCGGCAGCCGTACTCTGTGGACGTGGGCTACGAGCGGTTCCTGGCTCCCGAGGTCGGTTTTTCGCTGAATTTCTGACGTCACCCGTGTCTCAAACCTTATTTCGCTCGAGTCTTATAAGTTGCTCTCTTCTGAACACCCGGTATGTGTCCGAGGCCGCCTGGCTCCCGAGGTTTGTTTCGCCTCTGGTTTTTTCACTCCGACTCAGAGATTGGACGTCACCTGTGTCCCGAGACATATTTGGTCCGAGTGTTCATGACTTGCTCTCTTCTGAACACCCCAAATATGTGTGACGTCGCCTGGCTCTCAAGGTTTGTTTTCGCTTCTGGTTTCATCGACCTGCTCTCGTCTGAACACCCCAGTTTGTGCGACGTTGCCTGGTTTCCGAGGTCCTCTTTCTTCTGGGCTTTACTGTGGATCCGGGATATATCTAAAGGCACCTAGCTCCCCTCGTAAAGTAGTGCACCGCAATTCACTCCAGGCCCGGCGTGTGCAACGACCGATTTTTTCTGACATGGAACAGTGGAACGAGGCTTGAGTCGCTTCTTTGTCGTTTTGAACTGGTTTTTACTTCGAACCTGATATCTTCCTGACGTCACCAAGATGCCAGAGAATGGTTTGGCCTTTGGTTCTCTTACCCTTCTTATACCCGCAACTCCAACCACTTCTTTTGTCATCTGGCTCCCCGGATTGTCTCGCTTCTGGTTTACTTGACCTGCTTTTGTCTTGGAACCCTCTTTGTCTTGACGTCATCTGGCTTCCGGGCTATAATTTGCTCTCTGATCTTATGGACATAAAGCTCGAAAAGAACTGCAGTCGGTGGTGTGGTGTTCAATTCTGCGTCACTGCATCTACCGCACATATGTGGACTCTTGTCAGCGAGAAGGCGATGATGTGACCCGTTGACGACGATTCGTGCCAGGAAATGCTTGTACGCTTGACGCCTTGCGATTGAGCACGTATCTGCCTACTTTCAAAACCTATAAGTAGTTCATCCTGACTCGAGATTCTGACATTCTCCATGATCCACATTGGAACACGCATGGGGAACGTAAGGCTTCTCAAGTCGTGTGACAAGGTGTGTGATGGAAGAGTATGTAAAGCTCTCGTCCCGCGGCGCATTGGCTTTGCGGATCAAGCCAGACATTTTTCAGATCTGACTTCTAAACCGTATGCATTTGAGATTTTGAGTTCTCCGTTTCGCTTGAAGCAAGTGTCCCATCGTCGAGGACGTGCAACACGCGAGCCCGTTTACAAGGTTGTGAACCGGTTCCCTTCGGAATGTTCTCTGGGTCGTCAGTCCCGTATGGAAGGGACAATCCTGATTAGAAGCCCTCTCTATCTAACCGTCCGCTTGTGTCTGACTTAGGTGGTCAATCGATCAGTCGCTCAATTGAGCAAACGCTCAATCAGTGTCCTCGGTCTGCCCCCACAAGTATTGAGGCGGCGATGTAATCCATCGATGCTTTCTTGCTTGAAACCACGACGTAAGTGCTTGGACACGTCTTGGCATGTAGGTTATACTTCACTATCAGCGTCCAAGACTTCAATACCCCGAGGTCGCTCGTGACTTGTTTTCTGCAAACTCGTTCTGAGTTGTTGATGTCAAGGATGTTTGGAGCTCTTCGCGGGCAGTGCGCTTGTAAGGACATTCGGAAAGTCCTGTACGAACACCTCAGTGTGGCAAGGACGACAGTAAGCTCTGGCAGTGTGGTGCCAGTCTCCATTGCCAGGATCTGTATGCCTCGATGTGCGTTAGGGTGTCACATCAGCAAGTTGTGGAGTCCGGCAATCTTGCTCAAAAACCCCTGTTAAAGGGTACGATTCTGCTTACCTTGCTGATGCCGCACACTTCTTTCGGCTCAGTATTTGCAAGTTCTTGAAACGACTGATCACCCCTTTTTTGCGCATTTCTTAAAAAGCCCAGCGAGGGTCTTTTGCACCAATTCGGAAGGCATCTGCCTTATCCCCAAATGCTTTGTCCTCGTCCAGCTATTCATGTTTTTCTATTGAATGCTAGTTTCTTTGGTCGCACTTTCCTCACTTTCCTCATCCCGTCATATCAGATTCATCTTCATTGTTTACTCGTATTGCCGGCAATCCAGGTCGATTACGACGTCTTCGCCTGTGGGGAATACTTCAACACCGAATCCTTGTCGGACTCGAATCGCCGTTGCAAAAATTTGGTTGCCTAAGTTGGGCTCCGAATTGTTTATTGCCAGTGCCTTTGCCATCTTAACCTTTATAGCGAGATTCCGTGTCTATCTGTTCATTACGTCCTTTGAGGATTCGATAGTGCCTTCGCCACGAATGTAGGATGGATGCAGCTGCGAGCTGCACCATGCTTTGCGCACACTCCTCTGAAATAAGCATTCTTCTCAAAAGGTGTTCGTTCGAGCACCTTCTGTAGCAAGTTTTAGGATCCTCTGAGGAACCTGCCTCTTCACTAACGAAGATTCTCTTTCAGGGGCAATGACACATTTCTACCTTGGGACCTTACCATCCCAAGCCTGTCCGAACTCGGACGCCTTCTTTAATGAAAAAGCGTGTTGCGCACTCCGGCCCCATAGCCGCCTTGTTTCTTGAAAATACACGTCGCGCACTCATTGCGCGATAATGCCTAACCTGTTACAATCGCGTTTGGGACCCATTGCCCGATACGGCTTCTTTGCTTGAAGTGTGTGTTGCGCATCCGACGCCCTTGCCATTCCAAATCGAGGGATTGAACGATGATCGGTCAGCTGCAATCGTTCTCTGGCACTGAGTCTCTAGGTTGCGGACGCCCCGGACGCCCCGCCTGAGCAAAGGTTTCTGTTTGCTTCCAATCCTGTACTTCTTTTGGAACTGTTTAATTCTGGACGGATGCTGTTGAATTTCGTGGGACAGGCGGCTTCGCTGCTGCCTCTCTCCACTCTCAAAGCTCTCAAAGCAGCGGCACTGCCTGAAGCAGATCAGCGGGTTCAGAAATGTCTGCAGTGCTTACTGGGAGGCGCGAGAAGAGAGCTTCCTCTCAAGAAGCATCCATCCCCATTGACGGATTTGGACCTGGTTGCAAGGCTTTCTTCGAACAGGGTCCCATATCCTGTTGTGCTTAGACGAGTGTTGACCTTCTGTCTGAGTCCTTTTGTTCAAAGGCTGTTTGAGGTCGGCGATGATCAACTGATAGCGCGACAAGCTGTCTTGAAAGCTTGTCACGCAAATCGCCTTGCACGCTCCCCGACGACTTGATTTTGCTCAGCTCTCTACGTGGCTTAGGTCATTTTCTGCACTGTCTGTCGAGTTTTTGTCTCGCGAGCGTTCCGGCTATCGAGTCCGGTCAGGACTTGCTGCTTGGTCTTCTTCTATGTGTTTCGCTGAGCGCTTATTGCATTTGACGACCTCCGACTGGAGGAAAGCTTTCCGAGACCGCTTTATCCGCGGTTGACATGCAAGACCTCAATAGTGAGATTTTGGGTGAGATGGGAATGACAGCGAAAACCTGCCAACGCCCACTTTGAAACGACGGACTATCAACCTCGAGTTTCTCCAACTTTCGGGGATTGAGGTGCACCCCACAAACACCGTTGAGCTGAAGCCAATGCCCGCTACTTAGTCTACGCTGACCTTCCTTGCAGCTTGTTCCCTCTTTTGATGCTCTTGTCACTTCGGAGACTGGGGCACATCTTCTATCATGAGATCCGGACAGCTGCACCAAAATTCTATCCGTTTTGGAATGCGAAAGCTCTAACGTCCTACTCGTCTGATGCGCAGCTCTACTTCGCTTCTGCGATTTACAGCCGTGGCTCCGAAACCGCTGCTGGATTGTTTTTTTTTAGTATTGGCCTTTTGGACACTCTGGCAAATGGTGTTTTGCAAGATTTGACCGAAACTCCGTCTGGGTCGCGAGATCTCTAACGTCCTATTCTTTTGATGCGCAGCTCTACTTCGCCCCTGAGATCTACAGCAGTGACTTCAGTACGCCGCTGCCAGAGGTTGTCGACAAATGCATACAGAGCAGTCCGATTGACACGCGGCGAGCGCTCTACAACGTGAGTGCCGACACATATTTGGTTCTTCCGTCGAAGCTTCTTCAAAGGAGTGTTGCCAGACTGATGCTGGGTCGTGCGGGCCTACAACAAAGGCTCAGATCCAAGGTGTAATCTTGGAGGAAGTGGCTGCATCGCTCGCAAACGGTGCACCGTTACGGGGCTGCCCACTACTTTGCGTTCGCGTCGGTTGCTTTTGCGGGTAAAAGTAAACTAGTCACATGGTTTCGCTAAACAGTTGCAATACGTCGTGCTTTTTTTTGAGAACTTTCCAAAGAACGGCAACCACTTCTGCAACCACCGTTTTTCTCACGTTGTTCCGCCTCTGTTCGTTCTTCCTCATTGAAAACTCGTCATTTTGCGTCAGCTCGGCGCCTAAGAAGTTGCACCGGGCTCTATAATTTCCGCATCTCGTTCCATCCTTAGGGCCAGTTACGCTCCCTGAACGTTCCGTTCGTTCTCCGTCACAGAACATTGTGCTTTCCGGCGGCTCCACCCTCTTCAAGGACTTCCAACGGCGACTTCAGCGCGACATCAAGAAACTTGTGGACACGCGGATTGCCGCTTCCGAGTCGCTTTCGAGAAAGGATGCCACCTTCAAGGTGAGCGACCCTTTGAATCATCTAGAATTAATTCCGCTGTAGGTAATTCTGGGACTTTTAGTCAGCTCAGAGGGTCCACCATTGTTGCAAGCCTCTTGGGGCTTCGCTCGACTCGCAACCTTATCCGAACTCGCATTGTAGTCCAGGTCTCCCCCTTTAGCACTTGCGGCCGAGATGGTAGGACCTATCGAAGTAGGCGTTCCTTCGCCCATTCGTTTTCTTCCCCTCTGATCACACTCAGAAGGCTTATTTGTGCTTATTCCCCGATCTGATTCCGTTCCGTTACGTTCCGTCCGTACCTGGCAGATTCCTGACTGTTCAAATTCGTCCTGCAGACTCAGGCGGTGGACGTAAACGTTGTGAGCCACCCGATGCAACGGTTTGCGGCCTGGTTTGGGGGCAGCGTTATGGCGTCCCTACCAGATTTTTACACCGTGAGCCGCAAAGCCTTCGTAGATTTGTTTGGAACACTTGCTTATGCTTTTGAACCATGGGGCAGCTTACGTCTCTCTTCGGATTGTGCTTTGAAGAGAAAGGTGACAATGAGAGCGCCATCCATCTAGCAGCTCGTCGGAATTTTTTCATATCAAGGGTGATGCTTTCGGAACCGCTTGCTCCGTTGCCGCATCTTGAGAGCAGACTCCGTTTGGTAGGAGGGATCAGGTCTTGACCACGAAGAAAGATTTTGTGTCAAGTTCGCGATACTTGCGAAGTGGGCTTCTTGGCTGAAGGAGCGGTTGAATATGGATTCCCCGACTCTGAGTTGGAGCTGTATATCCGCAGTACCTAAATGTCGGGTCGAAAATGGTTCAGGCCCACTGACTGGAACATGGGGTTGAGACGAAAGAACGCAACCCTTGGCCATGAAACGTCAGGTAAAGTATAACAGTTTTAAGCTCTGGAAAGGTGCAGAAGTCGACCTTTGCGGTACAGCCAAAAGCGAAGTCACTCGCTGCCTTATGGAACCAGCAACCAGAAGAAACGGTGACTGGATTGGCTGCACAGTGCAGGAAAAGTTGGGCTTGTGCCGAATCCGTATAAGATCTCCGCCACACCCGCACGTAACTCCTTAAGATTGAAAATTTACATTGTTTCGTTGCGCTGCAGTCCTGCCATACAAGAGCTGAGTACGAAGAGATTGGCCCCAGCATCTGCCGTTCGAACCGAGTGTTTAAGGGGCTCACGTGAAAGGAGTGGGACGTCGTTTTCCAGCCAAGTTAACCACCTTGAGGCCAATGATTACACAACAGACGTACAGCCGATGACCGTGACCCGATGACCCCTGGCGCATGACCGAGATGCATTCGTGATTTTCGATTGCCATGTACGCTGTTGATGTCGTCCATCCACGTTGGGACATGGCCTTGAGTTTTTCCTTACCGCGTTCTCAGCCTACTGCCGCTTGTGTCCGGCCTAGCCTGGCTCGGTGCATGCAGGCAGCTTTCAGTCTTAGCAGCCGGCAGCATCTATTTTGCAAAGTTATGTAGCTAGTATACATTGCCTGGTACGCAGTGTCAACGTCACTGAGTGTCACAGCATCATCCAATGTTGCCCAGCGCCGCCGCTGCAGGCCCTGCGCGGCCAGCATGACACAGAACTATCTTTGATTCCTGTAATAACTTCAGCAATTGAAGCTGAGTCTGGCAAGCTGCATACCAGTTGGCCAATGCATGATCATTGCTTCACGTAACCTAACGACACTTTAATACACATAGCTGGCAACGTACACGTTTATATGAAGAATTTTTTTATAACGAAATTATACATAGTGTACTTAAACCTTCAAGTATAACGAATTGCAAGCTAGCCTCGACCATGCAGGCATCATTCACACTCATGCAACTTCATGCAAGCTATAGCTTGCAATTTATATCTCCGTACGCGTGCGTACGTAATCATTGCCGACACATGTCGGATCCTCGGAAATTAAGTTCGGCGATTGAAGGTGACTGTTCAACGTCAGAAATACTTAAACCTGTCCTTTGTGACTGAAGGTGCGATGTATCTAGCTCGCCTCTCCTTTTCAATGCTTCCCTCTTCCAATTGGGGACGTACACGAATGATGCTTTTGCATGCCAGGATGGAAGAAAGCTAGTTCTGCATACTCGAGTCCCTATTGTCTGGCAGTGCTGCTTTTGAGGCTTCATGACAGCTTAAAATCATGGACGCTGCATGATCCCATGCATCATGCATGCATAAATTGCCGAGCTTGATGCAGCTAGAACCGCTGAACCGCGGCGCGGCCCGCGCTTTCAGTAGAATAACGTACACCGACATTTCCAAAACTTTGTTGTACTGATCCGACATCACGACGGTCACATATGATCCGCAAGGTACAGTCTCGAGTCCAACGATTTTGGCAACTGTGACAGCATTGAACATGCGGATGGCAGAGACGGAATTCAATATCACCGATCTCTCTTGCACTACTCGTGGTTGACAGTGAGTGATTCCAAGTTAGCAAGCCTGACTGAGGAACGTCGGATCAGATCAGATACACCAGAAGCAGCTCAGGAATCTGTCTACTTGGCATCCACTTAGGCAATCGACCTTGAGTACAGTGCTTATAAATCTTTTACCTACACCTATGCTGTAGATCGAGTCCGACTTTGTTGCAACCGACCACGTACAACGCTGGCATCAGCATCGAAATGAGCAGTCTCTAGGCCACTTGACGTTGACATCTAAGCGAGGGTATTTCTTCTGGAAATTCATGAAGCCCAAGAATAGACGGTCCAAATCTACTACCATAGCACTTATGATTGGAGCAAACCTAAGCGTTTGCAAATCAATGTGTATGCTCTTTAAACCTGCTGCACTTCTCGTCAATTTGATGATACTTTCGAGCACTCCTCTTGGGATGTTCTCAAAACCTACCCTCAAATGTTGAAGCTTTGTGAAGGGTGCAAAGAGATGATTATCCTGCTGGAACTTCAGAAGTCCGGTCATGTTGTGAGGAATGTCTATGCTCTCAAGATGCGGTAATGGAGCAAGCAGTTCTGAAAGCATCATCCTTGGTATAGGAGTCCCCTCATGAGCTGCAAGAGTCGACGCCGCTCTCATTGTCAACTCTTTCACGTCAGGGCACAATCTGAAGAGAGTCGTGAGCTGATTAAATGGTTCAAAAGCATAGGCAATATCGAGCACCGAAACTTGCCAAGGTGCCACTTTGACGATGTTCCAATCCTCCCCACCGCCAAGTACAAGGTGGTCAAGGCGGGGTGCATCTACTACCAACCTTTCACACACATAGGCTTCAAGGTACCTCAGCTCTGGAGTCTGCAGTGTCACAGCAGGGATACTGCTTTCTGACGAAATTGAGAGGCGTTGCAGGGTGCTCGACTTGATGACGGGACTCTCCAGCTGCTCCACTTCTTCTATGACGAGGTTCTCCAAGCTGGGACATGCGCTGAGAATGCTGGTAACGCACGCATCGTTCAAGAACACACACTGAAGCTCCAGCGTTCTCAACGAGGCCAGCGCGCACCTTGCCGAGAGCGGCTTATACAGGTTTGCTCTACACCGGAGCAATCTCAATACCCTCAGCTTTGGGCAGGTACAAAGAACTTTGAACAGGATGTGTGTTTGCTCATCGTTTACTTGGCATATGTCTGCTCCGGAAACCTCAAACACCTCCAAGTTGGGCTTCGCCTGCGGAACCGCCAGCAGAAATGCCAACGACATGTCATTGTCAGCATGTTGTGGAGGCCTGCTGAGACGGATGAACTTCAGTGCTTGATTTTCCTGGAGGAATCGAATCGCCCCAGCGCTCATAACTTGGCCAGCATCACGCCACCAAAGTACGTTCTCTACTTGAGGAATAAGGCGATCAAACTGGCGACACACCGCTCGCAACTGGCATAACTTCTCCAAGGCGGCAGATCTGCAGCCTGATGAATCTTTTTGTATTGCACCATAGTCAGAGTCGAAGCAAGAGATGTCGTCCCGATCAGCCTGAGCCGCGAGGACTAGGATGCGAAGGATGAGATCGTCCGACAGCCGCTCCAAAGGGCTCGACGGTCCTATACTTGACACACCGGCCCCACTATCCATCATGTGGATCCCGCAAAACTATCCCCAACTCTGCCCACTTTGCACACAAGGAAGAACTACGTTCCGGACGCTCACTTGTCTCCCACAAGCTCAGGAAGTCCTGGTCGTTGCAATGCAGAAGACGGTAGACCATGCAGTGCCAAGTCGTTCATCGGCCAAGCTCTAGCTCTGACTCTGACTCTGAGTATGGCCCGCCTGCGCTCTACCTGTCAATGTCGGTCGCCAAAAATTTGGCCGGTTTTAGCCTCGGTTTCTCGGCGGGCCTGAGTATAAGGGGCCCTATTTAAAATACGAAAGATCGAAGGAGCGAAAGAACCGTCGTCTATCAAGCGTCGGGCATAACTGAGCAGCGACCAACTTTTGGGGACGGGTGGAGCGCGGTCGTTGGAACCCGGTCAGAACCCTGCCAATGTGCGCATGCGGCCGCGACCTGGTATGGACGCGGCGCCGGGTCGGCCGGGCGAGCGGGCTCAGCGGGAAACACGACAATGCAGTGCCGACTATAGGGACTTGGAGATCGATACATAAAGGGGCCACTTTTCAAACTTAGCATCGACAGAGGTCCACGTGATGAGACGTCATTTGAAGAAGCCTGCCACTCATTCAAGTTGCGGTGCAGCCAGCTGGACTAAAAGCAGCGATTAAGAGTGAAAGAGTATCATACCGGTGATCGGCAGATTCAATGAATCCTGTGCTCAATCACCTAGCTGCACTAGACTGTCACACCGCCGAATATAATATAGCGGTTCAGCATTCAAAACAGGGAACACTGAAGGCTCAATATTGCAGGCGCACGCGCACGGGATAACGAAACGCCCACAAGCATGCTGCAAGCTCGATCATAATCGTACGCCCCCTATGTATGCATCCGGGCCCGAATCCCGTTGATCCAGGAAACATTAACTTATACATGTCCTTTTAAATGGTTATTCAGAAGCTAGAAGTTCAGGACCACCAGTGTTCCAAGCGGCCGAGCTGGATGATGTCTGAGTGGTCACCAGTCACACGTTTCATGACAATATCTTGCCCGGCATACTTCCGCGCACACCGGAGGATTACCGCGTTAGTGAAACAACTTTCCCGGGAAATTCTCAAAGAAAATGAATCAATTATGGGCTGCATCGTTTCTGAACGCACCAATCTAATCAATGGACGGCTACCCTACATACCAATCTACATGCACATACTTGCACCCGCGTTGCAGATCAGACCGTACGTATGCGTGTTCACCTCTTTATTACTAGACAGTTATATTCATGCCAATCGCTGGTGTGACATTCGTTTTTGAAAGCCGCTTCTCTGGCAACGTAGGAAGAGTGCACTGTCACATCAAAGGCATTAATGCGGACCTAATTGCAAGAACTTTGCCGGGAGTTCAGAAGGGCAGTTGCTTGAAGCTGCACCGACGTCACATCCACGTACGGCACATATGCACGAACGGCTGATAGCTTTTGGTGCACGATATTGACGCTATTGGTAACCGGAGAGCCTCTCTACCATCTCTAGAAGCAGCTCACAGTGGTTCCGGATGCTTCAGGTGGGTTAGCGAAATTCATGACGCATGATGGCCGGAGTGACTCAGACGGCCTGCATGCAGCTCTCCTCGTACGTATGCACCTCACTGAAAGAAGTCAGTTAAACCATTAGGGAGACAACGAAGGATCGTTTCTTGGACTTCTTCACCCGTTAGTTCTCCAGTAGGAGCGCATACCAGAAGCCGCAAAAGGAAGAATGAAACGTACACCTAGTTTTCAAGTGCCGTACAATCCTGATCGTCAGTAACTAGATCGTAGTACTTGAGTATGCCAAACTCCGCGAAGGCTGATGTACTTATCTATGGAGTTAGTTCTTTGGCGTTCGACTGGAAGCATTGCACTTACGTCACAGAAAGAGCCCACTTCCAAAAATCCTCGACGTCCTGTCTTGGGTCCAAGCAGACCCTCCAACCGGGGCTGTGGGGATTCTCATACTCCAACAGTGCAAAAAGGTGAAACTTATGGGACTCGCTACCTGGCCGTTTGCGGATCGTGCCGCAGAGACAGAACGCATCTTGCGAGCTTGCAAATTCAGGGGCCGAACGAATCCAGTTTAGCCCGTGCTGGCCCAGCAGACTGTCAATGGCCCCGCTCGCCTGAAACGTTGCATGCCAAAGTTCTTCAGAGGTGATGCTTCGGTCAAAATCCATTTCGGGTAAGTCATCTTTCGTTATACCAGAGGACTTGAGAGCGTGAAATTCCAAGGCCGGCACTCGAGCTCCTGGTTTGAAAAGGTCACTCTCCTCACCAGCTCGCAATTTTGAGTACTCCCGCAACACTGCTGCTTTTGTTTCGCCAAAAGCAACC